GAAAAGGATTTCCCTGAAGGTAATCTAGGTGGTGGTTTCCTTGAGGACGACGACGACAACGTTCCGGCCCTGTCTATGAGGGGCGAAGGTACCAGCGAGCTTGACGATGAGTTTTTCTCCGGCCCGTAGCCTGTTATTCCGGCATCTATTGCAGCTTACTACCCGAGCTGAGATCATACATGTGTTCTAATGTAGTCTCCTACTGTTCAATGTGGACTTCTAAGTACGGAATACAACTCGAACGGACGTGTGCTCTGAGGCCTGAGGCTCTGTGGGCGCCAAACTGTGGTGGGGAGATCTCGGATCGGGCGTATTTCGCATTGGCCAGAATCATGATTTCGGTCGGACGAATCTCAGACAAAAACCAACGCTCAAAGATCACGATTCCCCGAATCACAAAATCCGCCAGATCTTGAGCCCCACAGTCTCATCCGTGCAGCTGTGTATTCGACGCGCGGCAAGGATTATTTCTTGGCTTGCGCACATGCGAGTCGCCGCAAAGACCGGCAACTTCAGTCTCGTTTCCAGACATTCTGACCCCATTATCTTCATTGAAGCCATTAAAAAACGGAGTTTGAATTGGCATACATCTGCAACTTGACCGAGAACAAGTCATTAACAGGTATTCATTCCCTTGCTTACTGATCGTGCTTGCACGGTCTCTGCGAACACCTTCCAAGAGAGAGGGAACGGAACTGTGGCAACCTGAGGTTCGTACATGCGAATCGAGCTCGGCAGATTTTGAGGACTCTACATGTATACAAGCTAATCTTTCGGATTATCCAAGTCAATTAAGGAAGCCAGCCCTCCTCCAGTACCCTATCCACGCCCGCGCGTGCCGCTCGTTAATCTGAGATAGCTTCTGTACCGATGGACATAATGTCCTCAGCTTGGAATTGTCGTACGTCGAGAAGCCTCCAGCTTCTAGAACGACATCTTCTGGGACATCGTACAGACGACGCCGGTCGACGCCAAAGGCCCGGAAGTAGTCCAACAGTTTGAGAGCGGGCTACCATTGCCGTCAGACATAGCTCGCATGTTCAGTACGTAGTCACTCACTATGCGCTCTAAATCCTCCGTGGTTGCATTACTTGCTGCACGCTCGAGCTCTTCGAGCCACACGCCATACGGCACAACGTTCAGAGGACGGTCGTACAGACACAAGTTGATGTCTTCCACGACCTGCTTCCAGGGGACCGGACGTGGGTGGACGGCGTTGATCAACGCGGGCAGCTTGTCCTCCGACAGCACGACATCTTTGACGACGTTTGCCACCGCGTCCATCGGAATCCATGACACAACCTGCGGAACGCAAATGTCAGGCGGCAGAACGCTATCCAGACGTGGCTGAACGCACCCCATCGAGTTCGGGCAGCTTGCCCATGGCAATGCTCGATTTGACCAGGATGGGTACCCACTCGCTGGTCCCCCATGCTCCAGTTGATGCTGAGCCGCACACCTGCCCGACACGCAGCGACATGCAGGAGAGCCCGCGCTCAGCCGCTCGGGCCAGGAGCTGTAGAATGGACGTGAGCACATCGGCTTGTTGCAGAGACGCCGCGACGTACGTTCTCTCCCACGAACTTGGACGACCCGTATCCCGTGCTCACAGACAACGCAGGGTCAGAAAGCGGCTCCTCTGGCACAGGCCCTTTGGAGACGTCCCAGTCTTGAGCAGCAGAAACAGAGGAGACGAAGATGAGCCTGGCGGAGCACTCCGATGACGCGCAAAAGTCGATGAGCCGCCGCGTCCCTGAGACGTGCGTCTCAAAAGACGGTAGAGAAAGATTGAAGTCGACGCGCCACGCATTGTGGATGACATGCGTTACGTTCAACTTCAGCTGTTAGTTACGGGACGTCGTCAGCCCGAGAAGATCATCGCATGCGTCAGAACGTACTTCATCGAAGACCACCTGCTCAAGACCGAGTCGCTCATCTGTCGCATTGCCGAAGAGCTGGACGAGTTTATTGCTAGAAAGCAGTTCTATCGGAAGGCCTCGCTCGGCGAATGCTTTTCTCTGCCGCTCCTTGGCCGCAGCAGAAGGCCGGTTAAGCGTGTAAACACGATGGACCGCCGGCTCTTGGAGGAGCGTAGTAAGCATGTGCGATCCTACGTTCCCCGTCGACCCCGTCAACAAGACGACGGCGCCAGCGCGGCTGATGGAATGTGTACGAATAGGGGTTGGAAGATCCCGCGAATAAGTGTCAAGCATCATCTGGACTTCTTCTACGGCGGTTCGTCTTGCAGAATCCTGGCCTTCGTTGACCAGCTGGGAGATCGCGTTGGCCAGCTTTCTCAGCGTGGGATGGCTGAACACGAAGTTCTGAGAGACTTGGTGGACTGCGTCCTGGGCGGAAGGGTCCGCACTAGACCGGAGAGCGCCGATGATGCGGTTCCTGAGAGCTGCAGCGTGTAGACTGCGGAGTGGCCAGTGTTAGGTGACGAAATAACATTGAGTACGGTAGTTTACTTACCTATCGAAGCCTTGGTTGAAGATGTCTTTCGACGCAGAGATACGAGAGCCGTCTTTTATGCTTGTACAAAGCTCGACCAGCCATTGTTCAATATCTTGCGAAGACCACGATGCCGGAGGAGGGATACCATCGGAAGGAGCACTCTCCTTCGCTGATTCATATCTGAGCAGATCTCAGCTGATGAGATGGGGATAACGTATAAATACACTTGCAATTGCTCAATTTCGACTTCGTAAAGGTCTAGCGCCTGCTTGCGTATGACTGTGCTCTTTGCCGCTCGGGGTAAAGGCTTGCCAGGATCCGCAACCAAAATCATCTCTTTAAAGACGCGCGCGAACGCAGGAGCTTTCGCATTTGCTTCCTGGACGGCGGGCCTAACCTATCGTGAGTCAATGTTATTACCCGGCCTCGGAAGGAAACGCACCAAATCAAATCCCGGGTTCGCTCCACGTAGACAGGATCCTGCGGGTTACCCTCGTATCCAGGCCCAACTTCTACGAGCACCCCACACTGAGCCCTCCCCCTGCCAAACATGACCGCTCCTGTTACGGCAGAATGTGCATTCAAGACGCCCTCCTGAGGGAGAGGAACAACCTTCTCGCCAGCACCGAGGACTATCACGTCGTCCTTACGGCCAACACTGCAAGCGTGTGCTATAAGTCGAGGCGCAGTTAGAAGAGCAGGTATCGTACATTTTCCATAGTCCAGACTTGGAAGGGTGCGGTATCCACAAATCCTTGGTGGCATAGCCCCTTGTGTCAGGTAGATTTTCCACGCTGGGGCGGTGGGTCGGGCAAGTCTATGATGGTACGACGCAATTCAGTCGCTAACCCTTACACGCAACGTACGAGTTGGCACGCACCAAGAACTGCAGCTCGTACGTCCCATCACCCTCTGGGACCCATCGTAGCTTGACGTAGTCCGAGAATGTGAACCACTGCCAGTCCGCGCTGGTCTTGACCGGCGCATCGGGGCCCTGCGAGTCGTCCGCATCCAACAGGCGCGTGTGGTTTCCGAACTCGGTGGCGCCATAGCCGGCGCAGAGTTTAACTCCGGCGTTGTGGAGGCGTGAACCTGTCTCGGCTGACAGAGGCCCTCCGGCATAACCCTGTCTTGAGGTCAGCTTAATTGCTATGACGAAGGGCAGAATACACACCAGGAAACGCAGGGATGCAAGGTATTGAACATCCTCCGCTGATTTCGCCCAAGTCTAAGACCCCGTGAGCATCGTTCAGAAGCGAGAAATCGCATGAACCCACCTCTATAAAGGCCGGAACAATTGCGATAGCATTGCATCTGAGAGCTCTACAAGCGTCGAGAACGTTCTTCGGTGATGGAACCGGTGGCGGCGCAGGAGCCCTCGGAGCGTACAATCCGACTGGTCGTCCGTTGACAAGCGGTGCGTATAGTTGCATCATGAACGCGAAGGTGTGGAACGTTGGGAGTGGCATTACACCCCATAATACGTCCTTATGCCTCCAGTCAAGCAGGACGTCTGCGTATCAAGGCGCGTCAGAGGTGACACCCTCAAGGAACCGCTAGCCGACGTACCGCTGTTACACCAATGTAGGATGTTGATCTGCCTCTGAGGTATAGCCCGAGGAAGGCCTGTCGAGCCCGAGGAGTGCAGATAGAGAACAATATCCTCCATGTCGTGGGGTTTGCTCGCCCTCGGATACGGCGTACACGGTGCGACACGGCCGTTCTTGTTCAGGTCAGGGAATATCTCGAGCAGGCCGGGCAAGCTGTCGACTCCGAGGCCGTACTGCTTCTCACCAAGCTGCGTCTTGACAGCAGACACAAGTGGTGCAAACTCCGGCTGCGAGATGATGCGATGACAAGAGGTTATTTCCAGCATATTGAGGATAGCTGGGATGCCGTTCCTGGGAGACATTGGGAAGGGCTTGAACCCAACAGCTCGTCAGTTACTACTCAAGATGGTGCAAACGTACAGACGACGTACCACAAAACCAGCGCGAACAAGGCCGACAATGAGAGCGAGATACAATACAGAATCGCAATTAATGAGGATGGCAACAACTTCGCCTTCCGGTCCCCCTCTGTTGGGCCGGAGCATATGTGCAATCCTGTGCGTTGCATTCGCGAACTGTAAGAAGGATATCGAGCCAGGTTTCGACCCCTCTTGCGATGGCCACAGAACCCACGGCTTATCAGCGTTATGCTCAGCGTGGAAGTCAGCGAACCCGGGGAGTACAGGGATTAACCCATCGAGAGGCGGAAAGGCCGGGCAGTCTGACATGATTCAGAGTTATGAGAGGCAATCAGAGCTAGTGGGGATTAGGGCTCGCATTGTCTGGTCCATATATACAATGTGTCGGAATCAGCTTCTTGCCTGGAAGATGCTTCCGTGCGAATGCTGTGAGACGCAGGCGCTTGTGAGAGGGTGTATGGCACGCTAGGGTACGATGCACTGCTCCGTTCAGCGCATTCGCGTAACGAGTTTGATCATGCGCTGCTGATGCGCCTGACATGTTTTGTGAAAAGCAGATGACGCGAGGATATCGGAGACAGCTTCCCGCTCAGAACTCACGGTCGATCCGAGGAAGCGGCGATTTCACGTGGCAGAGCTGTGGTCGTTGCGGGCGGCTATAAACATCGGCGACTCACAACTTGCGGTGTTCTCGCGGTACCGACCCCGTTCTGGTAAATGGTGAGATTGACGGCATTGTTGAACTGATACGAGCCGGGAACAAGACAGGGCCGCGTGAGAGTGACTAACGGTCCTAGTCGGATAGGATTCAACACCGCAATTGCGCTCTGTGAACTCCCGGTCAATGGCAAGTTGAATGGAACTAGGCACGAGCATGCGTTCACCCAGGTGCGATATGGGGACGATCCTGAAACACGGAAGCTGGGATACACATCTCGGCTTCTAAGCACTGAAGCCAACCCCGCAGCAGTGTGAACATTCCCGTAGCTCGCCTCAACAGTCGGCCAATGACACAGCCAGTGATGGGGAAGTCCTAGTATCCGCGCCCGTGAGCGCGTCAACCAGAACGAATGATGAAATACCCACCACGGCGTTCGTGAGGACATTGTCCGCATTTGGGTCCAGACATATTAGTCCTACATGCGATGCGATATGCAACGACGTATGTATCGGTAGCAGGTTTACGCCAATCTGTTTCGTCCAGCCTTGTTGGGGGCAGCGAGTTCAATTCTAGTGGAGTAATGAAATCACATGTCGCCTTTGTGCTCTTTGCAGCCAACGCAGATACGCTGTTCCAGCTTCCTAAGGCAGCGTTTTCAGTTGCCGTCACACATTACAGAGAGGGCGGCTGGCGGCGTGTCGGCATCATCGTCCCACTTCGCGGAGGGCTCCACCTGGGAGATAACGTTATGGGACACAGCAGACATGGTGTTACTTGTTCTTGCCATTGTGAACACGCCCGGCACAATTCAAAGCCTTAGCTTCAATCTTGCTGTCAACTCTAAGTGTGCCATCTAGGCACGAGCGATTGGATAATATTTCACTAGTCGCGCGAGGTAAGACATCCAGTACTTACCCAACGAACGATTTCCAAGACGGGATGACGGATTGTAGCGTATGTGTCGGCTGAGACTGCGCCTTCCACTCGCGCTCCGGTAGCGGGTCGCACCGAAGGTTTGTCGGCCTTCTGGTCACTGCAGTTGTAAGGCAGGGTCATGTATGCTAGTACGTCGTACGACATTGTTGTGGAGGTTCGGGGTATACCTGTACATGGTGGCATCTGAAGTTCGGACAGGATGCTGATGGCGATCGGGGTTAGGGTTTTACTAGCGCTCAAAGCTTGAGCTAGGCTCTCGGGCCAATCTCGCTGTATACTGTACTACTCCGAGTATGAGCAACCGGGCATCCTCAAGCGCGACCTTGAATCATTCCACAAGATTAATTTTACACAAATAATTATGTTGATATACAGATACAACAAAACACTAGCAATGCAGATGCCGTCGCCGACTCACGGAGGATGTCCAGAAAACCGTACTACACAGTTTTTCAACGGCTCATTTCTTCTCCATATAATGTTTCAAAATTAAAACATCATGGAAGAGATGCGAATACATGATAATCCATTTTTGGAGGGGCATTCTGAGAGTTGCAAGCTAGATAAATCGAATGCGCTCGTGGATGCAGTACTGCCCTGGGTGCACTTCCCCGGTAATGGTAGTAGACACAAGTTCATATTCACTACACAATATTGTGCTTGATAGATCCCATAGAGAGTATTGACATACAGATAAAGCGGAGTGGTACAGATGTAGGTGACTAGAGTCGGAGGTTGGACTTGAGAACAGTTTCATCTTCGCTCCCCTTTCTGCGCAAGGCGAGAGGATCTTCTCAGCTGTGTATTTTCAGAGAACTCCTGCTCGGGTGAAGAGGGTTTCCTGCCGCGCCCCGTCTTCACAGCCCCTCCTTTGGATCCCACGACCGCAGCAGGTTTGCCGGTGGCCCTCGTCAGCGCCTCTCTCTCTGAACCGCCACGTTTGCGCGATGTTTCAGTTTTGCGAGAAGTTGTAGCTTTGGCACCAATCTTGACCTGTGGCGCATTATCTTTCGGAGGAGGTATGTCTTTGCGTGCCACTCTCCGGCTCGGTGCAGCTGCCCTTGCAACTGTACCTCTGGGCTTGCGCGATGCGGGAGTCTTCAGCTTTCCTATCGTTGTAGTCTCAGTGTCGGGCTCGATCGCAGCTTTGGGCTTCAACGCAGCTTTCCCTTTGGCTTTCGAGGTCGTTGTTCGGGGTAGCCTCGCTGGGGCAGATTCCTCGAGCTCCTCGGGTATCGTTCCGAGAGCAGATTTTGCTGCGCTTCTCGTACGCCGTCGCTGTCGTGATCCTTCCTCGATACCGTCTTCACCGTCGGGGGATCCGGGCTGAGCGCCCGCTTCCTGCGCATCTTGGGGCGTGGGTCCCTTACTGAGCGGCGAGGTCGAGCTTCCGGAAATCACCACGCCTCCAGGGTTCTGCCTCCCACCAGAGAATAGGCTCACCCTTTCGCGGGACCACATCTGCGAACTACAGGAGCCTCCGAGGCGCTTCGCATTCCACTATCGTTCCTTCGCGGCACATACGTGATAATTCCTTGGTGGACGAGCTGATCGAAAGCCTTGTCTTCGTAATATACTGATATGTCGCGCTCATTGTTATCGTCGTCGAAGAACAGAGACTTGAGAACTTCGTTGAGAGCGCGATGGTCGAGTCCCCCGCGTGGGCCCGCGGGCGGGGCTGCGTTAGCGGCAATGATTTGGGAGGCTGAACCTACGTCGTCCCTCGGTCGCAGCGTCGCGCCAGGCGTCATCTCAAGAAATACCGACAGTTTCAGATCGCGTGCCTTAGGCTGAGGCCTGGGCTTGTCGGACTCGTCTGGTCGCGCCTTGTCGCTTGGTTTCACCTCGTACGTCGCGTATCGCTTGAGGTCCAGCTGACTATAGTGCTGATTGAGAAGGTCCCATGCCTTGGTCAAAAACACTTCAATCAGAGGCTTCCTGTCATTGTGAGGGAGAAACACGACAGGTAGCTGCCTGAGACTGATCAATGATAGCTTCGTCACTCCGCCCATAACGAAACCTTGGCCGACAGGTTCGTCTTGAAAGAAGAAGCTGTTCACCGCAACGGCCAGACGACTGTTCGTGTTGTTGAACTCGTTTCTCTTCTCACGCGTTGAGGGCACCTTCCTGTCCTGAGGACTGAACTGGTGCCAGTTAAACCGCATCCCCATGAAAGCTATCACATAGATGAACGACTCGATGTCATCGGCCACTTCAGGCGGTTTCCGCGGATACCGCAGCGATAGCACCGACTTGAAAGGTATAGTACCCTGGTGAACGAAATACTGATGAGTGAAAACGGATGTTCTAGTACGAGGACGCTGAGACTTACAGAAATGCCCGCGGGCTCGGATGCGGGTACAAGTTTGTCCATGTCTTCCTTGAACTTCGCGAGGTCCCAGTCGTTGAGGAATCCAGCCCCGGTAGCTGCATCTATCATGATGTTCCCAACGCTCACATCCCGGTGCAGGACCCCGGCATTCTCCCACGCCCTCCAGTGTGCTTACAGGTCATGAGCGAGCTGGCGCGGAACGTTTGCATGTGCAAGACTCACCGACAAGCGCGTGGCCCACTATTATCAGTAGCTCTGCCGAATCCTTGTACGTCTCCAGCATCAAGCCAACTTGCTTGGTCACCAGACGAGTATGAACCCGTCGCGAGTGTCTCTCCTCGTGCGGAATGTGCGTCAGATAGTCCTGTGTCAACGTGCCATGACGACCGACGTCGCCGCCTGCCATAGGCAGGGCAATATGCGGGACTTCGTGTTGGTGCAACCGCTTGTACGTCTCCAGCTCCGTTCGGACACGACCTAGACAACACCACTGGTCTTTGAAGAACACCAATTCGTGACTGTCAAGGTCGAATGCAATGTATCCTCGCGTGCACCTGCCTGTCGGCGAGTAATGGCCGGATATGTGGCGACCTATCAGGTAGCTCTTCGTCGCACCATGGGTATCGGAGCCATCCATCGAAACAATCGGACAAGAAACCTGGTAAGATAATTTAGCGTACACGCAGAAATAGTGATAAGACGGGCAAATACTTTGTAGATCGGGTAAAATGCACGATAGTCTAATATCATGTCGCGGTACTGCTGGAGATATTCATCGACGTTGTTGTAACCTTCGAGCTTCTGAACGTCCTCGGAAGACGCCAGCACAGCTGTCTCGTCGAACCCCCATGCGTTCAATCGGGAAATTCGGTACACAATGTTGTAGAAGATCTCCGAGTCCTTCGAGAGATTGATAGCCGGGGATACAAGGCATCCGAGACGGTCCCACCGAAACACACGGGCCCAAGTCCCTGCGATGTAGAAAGCGAAGTAGTGGGTCCGATGCTGACGAAGCATGGCCTCGGTGAAGTACTTGATGAACTGGGCCCTCGCAGCCCTCGGTTTGTCGCCGTCCCGAAGGAGCATAGGCTTTCCGTCCTTATCTGCTTCCTGCTCGAAGTGGAATCCAGAATCCTTCTCGTCGTCCTTGACCTCCACAAAGCTGACTAGCCATCCCCAAGCGGTACGCGCTCTGTAGCCGTCGTTCACCATCTCGTCCTCTTCATACTCAGAGTCTGAGTCCGAGCCTTCCGAGTCTGAGGCTTCTGATGCAACTGGGTCGTCCCCTTTCGTCTTCGGCATCTTCGCACGTTTCGACCTGCTTGTCCTTGTCGGTTCTACCTTCCCTGACCTTGCACGCTTCCGTTTCAGCGGTCTCACGCCATCTTGATATGCGACAACTGCGCCCTCTAACGCCTCGCAATACGACCCGATGTCTGGCCGATGGTCCGTGTGAGCATCTTCTGGGATGTGTGCTATATTCTTCCATCGATTGCGTGTCTCGGCTAGCTCCTCAACTGCGTTGAACGCGTCGCACTGAGTGGCACGTTAGCGCGCGAAGGGATACAATGTGGCATGATAGGCTGAGTGAAAGTTTGCCGACTTACCAAGGGATTATACTTCCGATGTTCGCTCGACAGCTTCTTGAGAAATGTAAATTTCGGGAGACCCTTCAGCTGCTCGTGGGATCGATCCTCGCCAGGTATGATCTTCTTGAACTCGTCCAGAGCAAGTTCGACAAACAGGTTGTCGACTTGAGCGAGTGTCATGGTACCCCATGTTGATAGCTTCAGCGGACTGTCTTCCTTCGAAGCAAGGCATTCGTCGCTTCCAGGTGTGCGGCCACAGGGCGAAGCCATGAGTCCCTTGAGGATGTAGATCGCAGCAGCGTTTCTGTCGTCAGGGGGAGGAGTACAGAACCGTTCGTCTAAGTCTTCACGTTCCTCTAAGTCGTCGCAGTTCGTGCAGCACTCGGCCGACAGGGACGGGTGACAGGATGAGAGCCCAGCCGGCGGCGCGGAGGGGGGACAAGTGGCGAGATGAGGGGAAGGAGAGTGACACCCGCCACCGCCGCCAGGATCGTATGAGTGACTGGCAGATAGTGTTGAGTGGCCCTCCATGATAGAAGTGGTGGGGATGAAGGTACATACTGCTAGGAGAACGCGGATTATAAACAAACGAGCTGTCCTGTGGCCCAGTCGCACGTTACAAAAAGTCGTGGCGGCAAAGGTTTGACCACACCACGTGATCCAGTCCCAGGGAACGGGATTCTAGAGTATGTGGTCTGTGCACAAGCATGCCCTTTGTCCGGAGGCCTACGCGCTAGTAACCAATCAGCCTTACTGGGTGCATCGCTCAGAGTGTGAAGATAGGCCTTACAATACGCGAAGATTCAGACACGACTTGCTATGCAACCAGCTGTAATCAAAAACGCACCGTTAAAGTTGAAGTCAGTAATAAACCGTCGCAAGGTTCTTATCGTGGCTGGACCGCTCATTGTTGTCTGTTGTCGTTCAGGCCCTCTACGGCGATCACCGGCTTTATTTCGAGCGCTCGCTCGCACTCGGGTCTTTACACAAACTACAACACTATGATGGCACCCTGGTTAATAAGTGTTCCCTGCTTGATTAATTCGCTTTTGCTACTTCAATCTGCCTCCGGAGGTACTGGGAAATTTTTTTAAGATAGATCTGTATTCATGCTATAATATGATACCCATATCATGACAGACATAAGGTGAAAGATGGTATGGTATTTTTGTAGATGCTCAGAAGCAGTCCAAAACTGGCCGAAACATGCTACTGATGGCTTAATCCAACCAGATCTCGCTCACCAAATATTCTTGCGATCGTATTTATGAACTTGTGCACTTGCACTGAGCCTGGTAGGCTGATATATTTTGTTTTTAAAGTGCTAGGGTACATGCACAGAGAAGGAACAGTTGTGGAACGTTACAATGAACGGGCAAGGTGTGATGAAATTGTCACTCCGCCTGATCTCAGACACAGCAGGCAACAAGGGGCTCTCGATAGCAAGTCGCAACGACCTTCGCCAAGACCCGTCGGTTTGAAGACCTCTATACGTTGCTAGATCGAGGCCGTCGATCAGCCGCGAACGCAGATGAACTGGCCGCACACGAAGACCCGACAGAGCAGCCCGATAATGACGAGATATCACGCCCCACCACACCGCGACGTGCATCGCTTCCACTCTCACCCCACCCCATGCCCTCGCGCTGGAATCGTCGTCATATTATGCCGGCGCTGCCTACACTACCCTCTGTTCCCGGACCATCTCAGTGGCCCGAGTCCTACCATTCGCATCACGTCTTTGAGTATACTTACAGCATACCATAGCATCTATATTCCCGCTAGATTGTCTACCGAATTCTTAGTGTATATGTCCCTTGATTACTTGACCGTATACATGTTCTCGCGTGTGTCTACGTGACTTAAGGTCGACCTTGGAGAAACGGCTCGGCTTCTCGGCAGCAGCACGGCTCGACGGCATCTAGTGGGACACCAGTGTGACGAAATTAATCAACGAGGGAGCAGGTCCCATTTTGCGCACCGGAATCGATCCGCAGCTCTTGCAAGACCTCAATAAAATACAAAAAATATATGGATACGTAGTAAAGGTGTGCGCACATCGATTTATGCAGAACCGCTTACGAAGAGTGGCTGTGGTAAGCTACAAGAAGCAAATTTGCCCAATTTTTATGAACCAGGGTGCCATCATGGTATAGGACCACTCCTTGGGACACCTGATCAACATTTGCTGCCCTTTCGTATATCTCTCGCATATAAATACCAAATAAATTGTATTATATTACTACAACATATGAAATACCTCAGTGCAAAGATGCAAGGCGAAACGACAAAAACTGAAGTCAAGGCGAAGGGCACAAGACGGAGGTGGTCCAGGACATGATATGATCAATGTGACAATTTGTGACCTGTACCAGCAGTCTTGGCAGACGCGGCAGTCACGCGGCAGTCAGACTTGTCACGCCTCAGTCACGCCTAAGTTCAGTAGAATCATCTCTGATGTATTCTAGCTCGACACTTCACATCTGAGCATCATGCGCATTTTTCACACGAATGGAGCATAAATTTGAGTGTTAGCGAATATTTTCGCGAATTTTAGGCTCACTGCGCGACTCTGGTGACGGTCGCAGCATCACTCAAACCGGCGCGCTTGAAAATTTTTGAGGCTTGTTGCTCCTCCACCCACGCTGCAATCACCGGATGGCTCTGAGTTTTTGATGGCATATAGATATAAATGTATTATATACAGGAAAGTGATAGTGATAGGCCCTACAGGCTGTGCGAGGGCAGAAAGTGGCGCGTCCCAAGGAGTGGTCCTACACTGTAGTACTCATTAAAACCTCTTCAAGCATGGCCAAATTATATATATAAGAGCTGGTTCGAATTTAGCTTCATCGGAAGTTATGTCATTACTACAATATTCTATACAGGCACGATACATAATCAACAGTCTGCAATTTATCCCAAGTCCCCCTTGATCTTCCCTATGTTTTCTGCTCAGAAACAAGCCTCGAGTCGGGAGTGACTCCACCCTTCTCCTCATCTACCATGGTTGTCGGTGCGGAATTGACTCCATACTTCTCGTCCTTATCTGTGTGCATTGGTATCTCCTTCATCAGCAGCACCGACAGGAGCCCGAGCCCGGCGATGCCGATCATGACCTCAAAGATGACATCGATGCTGTCCGCGAAAGCGACGCGAACCTGTGTCCGGAGAGGCTCCTCGAGGCCGTCAATGAGAGGTATCGCGGCATACGCGATCTCGACACCGCCCGGGAACTGCGCGACGAACGCCGCGGGAAGCTTCTTCTTCAGCTCGTTCTGCAGCACCGTCGATCCGATGGTGATGCCCCACGTCTGCGCGAAGGAGCGCACGAATGCAAAGAATGCGAGCGCCGCTGCTGTCCGGTCGATCGGCAGAGGCGCAAGGGTGGGGAAGACGGTTGCTGGGAACTGTGTGGAGTATGTAAGTGGGGTATATGTTGAGATAGGCAGGAGGGTACGTACGAGGAGGCCTAATCCGGCTGAGACGACGACTTGGTAGCCGGCCCATTGTGCCGTAGAGGCACCAGCCTTCAACAGGCTTGCTAGACCAAATCCGATGGTGATCAGAATCCAGCCTGCGTAGTTTACTGGCATGTATCTCTGGAACCGCTCGACAGATATACCGCATATCATGGCAAAGGCGGAGATAATGAGTGCAGTGGGGAGGGTCTGTACTCCAGACCGGACCGGTGAAGATCCGAGGACGGCCTGGAAGTAGACGGGTATGTAGTCTGTGAGTGACCGTCAGTCTCAGGTTTAAACTCGGAAGGACTAGATCTCACAGACGAGAGCCATGGTGGTGATACCGTGCACAAAGGTTCCTATATATGCGCTGAAGGTGGTCCGGTTGTTCAGGACATCCCATGGGATAGTTGGTTCCTTTGAAACCTTCGCTTCGTAGAAAATGAACGTCGCAACGAGGGCGAGTCCAATGACAAGGGGTGCCAGTACTTGAGCAGAATCCCACGGGAACCGAATCCCACCAAATGTAAGTCCAACGATCGCGAGTGTTGTCCCCGCAACAATGATTGCATTGCCCCTGTGAAGTGACCATCAGTCGGCCATTGAGCAGTGAACAGATCCAATACTTACGACCAGTCTATCCGCGCAAACTTCTGTCGGACAGAGCCCTCAGGCGCACGCACTCGGAGGAAGAACCATACCAAGACGAGCGCAATGCCAGAAAGTGGTAGATTCAAGTCTGTGAAGCCGAGTGTCAGACAGAATATATCGATCCGATATTTAGCTTACAGAATAGCCATCGCCAAGATGCCTCGCCAGCAAACGCCCCTCCCTACATCACACAGGTCACTGCCAGATACATAGTGTGGAGAAGCGAAGACTTACGACCGGAGGGCCGACGCCACAAGCCAGAGCCCATGTCAGACCAATCAGGCCCTGGTACAATCCCCGCTCCGCGAGTGGAACGAGGTCAGATGTGATGATTTCTGTGAGGTTGATAATGGCACCACCTCCGATGCCTTGTACCGCTACAACCGTAGATGTTAACAACGTGAACAAAACATAATGTGCCAATTGGATGTACTTCGAGCAGCGATGAGCATGTTCATGTTCTGTGCTGACCCAGACAGGGCGCTGCCGACAGCGAAGAAGATGATGGATCCAAGCATGATAGGCTTCCGCCCAAATATGTCTGCGAGAGCTCCAGAGAGCGGGAGCACCGCAGTACTGGAGAGCGCATAGGCGGAGCCGACCCAGGAGTAGTCGTCGCCACCGTGGAGGTCCGCGGTGATCGTCGGGAGCGCTGTGCCGACCGAGGTCATGTCCAGTGCGCTTAGAAAAGTCGAGACGAGAAGGGCGAGAAAGATGAGCCAGAATGCGGAGCCCTTCGCCTTGGGGGACGAAGCAGACTGCTGCTGTCGAGGATTCGTTAGTGTGTCTGTGCTCGACATGGTAGAGCCAAGGTAGTGTCGATTGTGAGCTTGAGAAATGTTCTTCCATCTCCTTTCGCCCTATATACTCCCGAAAACGGGGGCATCATTCTGCTAAGAGGATGTATGTACTCTCCGAGTGTCCGAGGCTGTCTGAGGCAGTACGCATTGATATTGCAGTACTAGATCGCAGTAGGCACCAGGAACCGGAAAGAAATCGAGGATCTGAAGACTCAGGATTTTTACGCGTCCCGATGACAACGTTGATCCTCAAGATGCAGAGACAATGCAAAAGTGCTGGCCGTATGGCTTACTTGCGAGCAAGTTGCACCAGCCGAGCCTCGCACGTAAGCACATTTTGTCATGTAGACGCCCATAGACGCCCAGATCGCGATAGCCCTAGGCAGGAACGCCAAGGAGCACGTACCGGATGTTGGTCTCCGAGAGACAAAAGGGGCATCTGGTTCAGAAATTGAGAGTGAGCTAGGAGATTGTGCGCCGTTCCTGCTCACTTTCAATCAGCGCTCAAGACATGCAGCGGCAGGGGTCAACGCGGAAGTCAACATTCAAGTTTCTACGTGCATTACCGAGTTCCTGGGTGAATGCAGCAATAGGAGTACAAGAACCGTGGAAAGAGAGTAAAGCTGTGCTGCGGCGCGATGACATTCTCTAGTCCAACCGAGGCAAATATGTCATTCGAGGTGTGGGCGAGACCATATCCTTGCTTCGCGAGTTCCTGCTCATCTAGAGTCGAGGTGCATCAGTGGGGGTCAGGTGTGGTGACATAGACTAGTTCGAGAAAAGGAGACTAACGGTAAAAAGCCATCCGGACTGACACGAACGGGCGAGAAGACGGGAGACCGGACGATGATGCGGAGGGGACATGTGGCGAGATGAGGGGGAGGTGAATACCCACCGTCCTCGTCATAGTCGCAGGAGTCGCATGTATCACTGCCAGATGGCGTTGAGTGACCTTTCATGATAGAAGTGGTGGGAATGAAGGAATATACCGCTAGGACAATGCGGATTATAGACGAACGAGCTATTTAATGGACTCACGCACGTTACAAAAACTCGCGACGGCAAAGAGTTGGCCACACCATATGAGCAAATCTGCTATGAATGCGTATCAACTCAACTTCGTTGTCTGACACTGCGCGCATTTTTCTCCGCGTAGAGGGAGCGGAAACATGCAGCAGTAGCAAACCGCTTCGAAAAGACCCGGAGACTCCCGTGCAATTGGTTAACGGTTGGCCTACTCCGCTAATTAAACTTCCAGGTAGCAGGAATCCTTGCCATGGCCAAATCGTCCTGCAGTCGGTAGTGCAAGTGCTGCACAGCCTGCACACGTACATGTATTAAACCCTTCCTTTCCGGCAACTGTCCTTCCCTGTCCATCGGCCATGTTCGCCTGTCTCTGCCCCCATAGCGGAAGCCGAGCGCAGCTGCGTCGGCTTGAGTAGTCTCAAGCGACCTTTGAAGCTGCGTCTGCTGAGAGGATACGCAGTTACCCGCAGAACTGCTATCAATCTGTGATTCGAAGAGCAATCAGAGCAAGCACACACTTTGTCTTCACCTACAAGCTAGAATAACAGAGTGCACCCTGTCTGCTTCTAAACGAGAGCTATCAGCACTTAGAACGGATCTGACACAGACTCAAGCTCGTAACACATGCAGCTATCAGAGCATACCTCAGGCTGAATCGTTGTTGAGCCTCTAGTACTTCCCTCAAGAAGCGTATTGGAACGTGAACCGTCTCTCCATTGTACCAAAATGATTCATCAGAGCGATGCAAGGCAGAAAGCAGCAGGCCGCTAGATCCGTACTCTCCGTAATACTCTGTGGAGCCGTTATGCTTCATGGATTCCCCGAACTCCTTCGTGTTTTCCGGCTGGTGAACGATCTGATGCTCTCTCACGTTCTGCGAAGTCAGGCAATTAAAATCATCGCGCATCGCCGAAGTATGCACCTAGTCGTTCTCCGCCACTTCCGCCTCGCCACTTTCACCACTTCCAGGTCTGTTTACCGTCAAGGATTCGCCGGTGGGTTCGGTGGTGGAACATTGATATCTCACGGTGACACTGAAGCGGAAGGTGCAATCATGACATCGCATGCTCCTGTAGTTGCTGTTGAATGATAGGCAATGCATCGACGACCACTCGTACGCTTACCGGTGTACGATGTCAACCTCGCATGCCGTGTCTTAACCTCGTCGAGTGTGCTGGCATCGTAGTGTATTGGCGCCTGCACGGCAGGTCTCAGATATATGTCGTGCGCAGGGACAGTCTGTGTACTCATGCAAGAAAGAACTCGATTTAGGTAAAGAGACGTATGAAAAACCAGAGAAAGGTCTCGAGCTCCACGTGATTTTCTCGATTGATGGCCATTATCTCCAGTCTCACACGTCTAACGTTCGTGCCTGCGACGGCGCCCGTGCTGAACCCGAGCGGCAACACAACAACCTCAATGAGCTTATTCAAGTCAAGAAAGCGGGAGCATCAGTCGCAGTATCAGGCAGAGTGTGAGTCGCAATCGTGGAAGATCGCTTACTATTGCCGCTCATACCTGGGCTCTTCCTAGTTATCCGCTGCTGGGAACGGCTCCCCCTTGAATTGCACGACATCATATGCGACCTCCTAGTGATCATCGCTGATGACAGTACGAGCTCGAGGCTCTCTCTGGTCTCGAAGGTTTGGTCCCGAAGCTTTCGCCCTCGCCTCTTCAGCTCGCTTCGCTTGAAGAACGATGAAGACTGCCACACACTCCATAGTATACTCCGATCCCCGCTGTCATCATGGCTTGCAGAGTACATCATTAAGCTGGAATTTCTCATTGATAACCACTTCCACTATCCACTCTGTACAGCACTTCTCCGTCTCTTGCCGGCGTGCCGCGCCATCTGGCATAGCTTTAATCAAACCTCTGGGTATGTGTTACGCAGCGCGGCTCTGAAAAGCTCGTTACGGAACCTCACCTCTCCGGAGCTGTCCAACTGGACCTTTCCATCATTCCAAACTCTGCTACGCGTGCTAGCAGACATCACATACTTGAAGACCATCGAGTTTAGCTTGGTCAAATGGTCGGGCGACATTCCCACAACAGCCGATGCTGTAAACAATCTCTGCTCTGGCTCATTCAGCCATGTCCGCAAGATCCAACAGTTCCGCTGCACAAACAACGCAGCGGTGCCCGCTTGGATCCTGGCCGCCACGAGTACCCGACACTCATTCACCCGACGTCGGACTCCAAGGCCTGCGGTTGGCGAAGAAATGCTGGCCATCATCAAGCTCATTCAGATGTTCCTGGGAAGTAATAACACAATCGATGTCTCATCTTTTGAAGTCACAGGAGCAACTCGAAGTGAGACTCATGGCTTGCTCTCCCAGATTATCATACTCACAAGATGCTCACAAGATGCTTACACGTTCATTGGCTCTCTATGTCTGTCCTTTGCGACAACAATGAATGTGAAGATCTGGGTTAAGGTCATCAGGTGTACACCTTCCGACGGCGGCCACGAGACTTGGTCTGTTCGCTACATCACCCTCACTGACGAGCAGACAGACTCCGGCTTGTGCTTGCTGTCTCTTGATTGGTCTATAATCGCTTCCCTTCTACCTTTGTTCCCGCAGCTGCAACAGCTTCAGATCCTTTGCGCAAGCAATTACACCAAGAATAGCTTTCACATTCTCCGTGACAGGGTTAGGCAGGCTGTGAACAACCATCCGGTTGTCAGACTGAATTACAACCCTGGACTACCTGACGGGAGGTTTTTGGAGCCAAAGTTGTTTAATCTCAGCGAGGAAATAACACAAACATCAGTGGTATGGACTGAACTATGTTGCTTTGCACTGCACTGAGCAATGTTTTCACGCAGATTGACAGTATCATGAAGGGCAGGACTCGGAGGCTACAGCCCTAGGCTGCAAGTATACCGTCTGTGATATCTTGTTTTGTGGCAGAACCAGACAAGCCTGTGTCCTTCCTCCTGCGCAGCAGGCTACGTGACAGTAGGGTGCGACTACGCGTACACATGATATGTAGCTATCGCGAAAAGATGTGTTTCACAACCAGTCACATTATCGTGTCACTGCATCGATCTACACTACAGTTACACCGTCTTATCGTGTTCTTTGCATAGCTCTAAATAGCCATGCATTTTACGCTCGACTACGACATAACGAGGGAGCTACTGAATACGGGAGACAGCAAGTGGAGCGTACATCAAATGGCCTCACATTGACTCGTATGATCTGCAACCCATCTACTGGGTGAGTAAATACAACCATCTTGCGTCTCATACATCACCTGAGAAACAAACCGCCAGTTGAGCTGAGCTGCACAGCTACGTTAGATGGCGCTGATGGCTTATCTGTCCACGGAGTTCATGGCGAGACACTGACTCTTCTCGTTGGCAAGTGTCATACCCACAACTACTTATCCGCTGCGCACGCAACTAGGGGCCATCTTGCGTAGTCGCGGGCAAGAGGCGGCCGGTATTCCTGAAGCACTTTTGGAGGTCAGGGTCAAGCAGCTTTCTTCCCGAGTATACGAGCTACGAAATGCTGATCTCAGTTCGAGGGGAAGGCTCAGAGAGGAAGACGAAGAATTTCATGGAAGCCCAACAGGGAAGCTTAATGCTAACGATACCGCCATGGCCAGAGGTGTCGGGTCCAGTACTTCAGGGAAGGACACCGTAGCAAGGAGGTGCGTTGAGTCTTCATCGCATCCGCCGGCCGGGCCTTAATGCGATCTCCCATGTTCACCCTGCTTCTGTGACCTACCAGACGCTGCATCACGTCTCCTTGTCTTGCATGGCACCTCTTGTTGTTGACGCTTGGGACGATATGTTACACTGCGCGTCTGTATGAGTCCCACCTCCGTACGTGAGATGGTATCATACCTGTACTATAACAATGCATATAATGACTGAATACCCCAGGCCGAACGCTAATTATACAGAAGGAGTTGTGTTGGGCGTGCCACTTCGCGACGGTCTGGGCACATCCTTCCGGATCCGCCGCTCCGAGCTTAACCATAATGTACAGGAAAACGTTCCATGCCCTTGAGACCGCCCCAGGGGTTCCACAGGTCATCATCTTCGAGCAGAACCTCAAATGGCTTGCATGGCATCTCTTTATGTCTTTTCCAATCTGCTCTCTGGCACTCAGCCTGTTTGCGTGGGCTATTAGCAGACAGCACAGACGGCGTAGGTCAGAGTGGCTTACCGAACAGTAGTTCGCTACGGTGCACCGTGAGCACCGGAGCATCTTAACGTCCTGGCTTGACTTGCCCCGAGTTCTCGTCCGGAGGCATTCTGGATTGTTGCATATCTTGCGGACTTTCGACGACTCTTCGAAGATCTCGTACACTTCGGGATCCATGTCCTCCTCATCGTCAAGTAGGGCAAGCGCGGAGGACGGGTCCGTCTCGGGTGTTTCGTTCGCCGAGGCAGCGCCCTCCACCTTCGGTGAACGATAGTCTTTCAGGGCGCGCTTTTCGAGCAAGGCGAGATCGCGTGGTGGGGGGCGGCCGAGCTGGGCGCGTCTCTTGGCAAGCACCCTCTCGCGGTCGTACTCACAGGCCACGCGGTCGTGCAGGAAGAGGCATCGCGGATACAGGCAGCCCGTCTCCCGGGCGAAGAACTAAAGATCAGACATTAGAACACAGGCCAGAGACATTGGCACGCGCTGGTACTCACCATACACGGAACCATGCCTCTATCGAAGTTGTTCCTCTTCAACTTCTCGAAGAGCCGATCCCAGGGTTTGTAGCCTGTAGTCCCCGCGGATGAGTGGTAGTTGAGTATCATGTTCCAGAACTCGCGTTCCTCGGCCATACAGCGCATGATACCACCCTCCCGGCACTGCCAGTCGTCGCGAAGGGTGCGTGAGTAGAACTGCAGGTCTCCAGGGAGGATCGTCCCGTCCTCGCGCGGGTGCAGCTTCACGCCGGTCACAGGCTCAAGTTTATAAGCGGTATACTTGTCAAAGACGATACCCGAGTGAGCAAACAGCTGTGAGCGCGAGAGGTCGGGCGGGACGGTGGTGAGCTCATAGTCGCCTTTGACCGCGGCACAGAGCTGGTGGTACCATTGCTCGGCCACTCCATGCTGTTTCTCGCCGAGCTCCCGGCGTACTCTGTCCTTAACGAGGTCCTGGGTAGTATAGTGGACAAAGCGAGTGACCCTGCGACCATGGTCAAGTTTCGGAGGCATAGTCAGGGAGCAGAGATAGGTTGGCACGCCATCCCTAGTACTTGCTGAATATTGATTTCAGAAGCCCTTTATATAACGTAAGCATTTGCATCTTCGCAATCGCCTGGTTATATGCCTCTCACGATGTATATATGCTTTGCAGTTTACATGTTAGTGGTTATACACATCGTAGTACGCGTACACGCATGCTACACAATGAACAAGCAAATACCACAGATAGCCCAAGAAAATTTATAAAAGAGCGTCAGAGCCACATCATTACCCTTGGTGTACCCATGACCGTCTCGCCAGGAGACAGCCTCATTTCGCAGGCGTGTAAAAGTCGTTGCCGGTCATCAATCAATGCTGTAATGAAACGAGAATGTGATTAGCCATGCGTTGAGCGCGACAAGATGGCAATAAAACGTCGACAGAATGTGTAAAGAGCGTGCCCGACAGGTGCGGAGGAGGTTAAGACTACAGTAGACCAGTACGTAGTAATGTTATATATAATATAAGTTAACGGGATGAGAACGGGGGGAGTAAAGAGAAGCAAGGTCAAATGAGTCGACTAGCAACCCACCTCCTCGATGCCAATAGCGTTTGAGACTGCGTCGAGCAGTAAGTCGTTGTAGTCGCCCGCGGCTTCCCAGATAGCGAAACCACGCAAGCCCTGCTCCGCGATGAACTGGCCTTTCGCAGCAATGGATGTCGGGTCGTCGTAGGAGATCATGGTCTGCTTGTCCTCAAGGTATACGTACGGCTGCCAAATTGAAAGAAAAGATTGAGATAAATCAGAACAAAGGCCAGTGAACATAGTTGGAGTGAACGCACTGTCTGGCTGCAGGTATCGAAGCGGTAGCCTACACCAGAGACGGCGGTGCCGTTCTGGTCTAGAACACCACCTGTGATCATTCCAGCAAAGTTCCAGATACCGCCCCAGCCGGGCGAAGTAGGGCGACCGCATTCATCGACACCACCACCCGGAGACCAGGCATCGGTGGAATCACCCTCGGGGGTCGAGCTGTTGCCAACTGTGGGATACGCAGCAATCGGGGTCGTTCCGGCGGGCATGGCGCTGCTCGTGGAAGAAGCAGAGGCAGCTATATTACTGCTGTCGAAAGCAGTCGAAGAGTTGACGACGAAACCGTGGCCATAAGCAGCGAGCGCAAGGACGATCTGGTTTGCTGGGAAACCGGAAGCGGTCCACGCGTTCACAGCCGAGACAGCAGAACCATCCTGGTCGCCACTGGGAGCGCAGGTATCATTCAAGGGAGCATTTGGACCGACATTATTGGACCAGCCGGGACCAAAGACATCGTAGTCCATAATGGCAATGTAGTCGAGGGCCTTGGCGAAACCCGAGACGTCCGTTGAAGGGTTCCCAGAACTATCAACCCACGGCTTAAGGGAGACAGCAGCGGAGAGCGTGAGATTTGAGGCCTGTCCACGAAGCTCTTGCAAGAACGAGAGGAAGTTCTGAGTATCATCCGGGCTGTTGACATTGCAATCGCCTGACGAGCCAGGATACTCCCAGCTGCATCGCAAACGTGAGTGACAATACATGGGGACAAATGCAGTGAACGCACTCGAAGTCAAGCCCGTCAAGATTATACTGGTTCACGAGCTGCATCGAAGCATTGACAAAGGCGGTACGATTATCCGCATTGCCCACAAGGGAGGAAAAGTACATCGAACCCGTCCAACCTCCAATCGTAAGCAAGGCTTTAGTGTTCTATGGTGATGGTCATTTTAGAGTGGGACGATAAGGAATATACTGGTGACATACGTGGCTGTGAGCTGCCTCAACAAACTGTGGAAGCAGCGCAACATCGCTGGATTGGAGGAGGATAGTGCCGTCCGACTGTGGAAGTCTACATGTGGATGAGCACTCAAGACAAGCAAAGACGCAAACGTTGGACGTACGCGAAGGCGTAAGTCATCGAAGTGTACTTGTCCCAGCTGACCTGGGACACAGGGAGCTGTGCCGAATTCCAGCCTGTGTACCACGCTGTGGCCACGATATCATTGTTAGAGGAGTTGCCGGAGCCAGAGGTTGCCGGAGGGGTCAAGCTGGAGCCACCCGCTGGGCTTGAAGATGGAGTTGGAGATGCGGCTGCCGACGAAGCCGACCGGAGACTGCACATGGGCGCAGCCCAGGCAGAGGACAGGGTGACGAGAAGGAGAGCGAGTGGCAACATGTACAACATGTTGACAGGATTCCAGAGGGAGTCTCGTCGACTAGCGAAAGAGAGGGGGGCAGAAGGTGAGCAGGAGGAGTGAGCAAGCCTAGCTATTTAACGGCGTGCAGAGAATGCAACCCTTTGTCCTGCGCGCAAACAGCCCAGGAACAATTTGTGCCACAGAGAAGGTGCGAACCGATATTTCTAGGACCGCTCAAAGCTTTGTCTGCGGGAGTAAGCCTCATGTCAACGGCGCACAATAGATGGGCCCGGATCCGTGGGACAATAAGGTTGCCGTAGAGCCCAATCATCTGGGAAGCTAAGGAGCACAAGCTGCAGGCAATCAAAAATTGCAGGACGAGACTGGTGCAATTGTTGGCTAAGCAGAGCACATATACGAGGTAGGCCAGAGGGTGGTCGCGTCGAGACGACAACGGATAACGCAGCAACGCTACCCAGTACTTGCGCGCCAAAATCCTCGGAATATGCCGAACGCGCTATGCTCTGCCTGAAAATGCGATTTCTCTCTATTCTAAACACACGCTTTGGAAGTCGTTCTTTAATTTAACAACGTCGAAACGGGTGCATCATTCTTCTAGCATAGGTCTATGATTATATGGGTGCAGAGGAATAGTCTCTTCCGAGCTGGATGGCGAGGCCGTGTCCGCATGCAAGGAGTGGCTGTTCTTAGACATGCGCAAACGGTGTGCTCGGATGGCCCTGCTGAATGTGCTATCTCAAGAATACTAAGCAGCTGACAGCTCATCTCGCAAGTCTCAGGCATATGACTTTACTCTCAAACGCGATCGTGGAAGACGTTTCTCGCCCTGGGGCTTTCGCAGTGCTTCCATGGGTAGCGCATACATGTCGAAGGTTCTTTGGTTCTTCTGCATGTTTCCCTCGTTCAATCGATTTGCCGTCTCCGGAAAGAGGCCCGGGCCCAGTGGACTCCAATCAAGTAGCAGATAAGTGCAATGAGACAGCAAAAAGGAAGCTGCGAAGCTATGAACAATGAATTTACTAGTCTACGTTCTGGATTAATGTCATTAGGACCTGATGAAAACCAACAAAGGTGACTGCAGTTAATGTACAAAGAGATGCACATATAAGCACAATAATAGCTAAAACGAAGAAAGTCGCGGGGAAAAACTTATCAAAAAGGAAGAGCGGGCATACGGGATGATATACATGAGTGGTACCTCACAGGCCTCACCTCCTGCATTGTCATATCCAAGCGGTCCGAGAGAGCTTCGCAAGATACGATGCGAATGGTGACCGGGAAGCGATGCCGGAATTAAGCGTCGGAGAGGTGCGCATGCACGACATCACGACTGTGCATGGCAATCGTGAGGCGGAAAGGGCCCGAAAAGCAGAAGCAGGATGTTCCGGGTGTACTATGGCGTGGGCGGCGCGTTGCGACTCGGACAAGGCCCCAGGAAATCGAGAAGGTTCCTCCTCTCCAGTATAGGAAGATTCCCGCGGATGATGTCTTGTATCCAGTCCTCAAGCGGGCACTTATAGTTCTGGATGAGGTGGTTGTAGACAAGGTACGGTTGGTAGGCATGGAACGTGACTTTCTCGAGGCTGGGAAGCTTGTTGAGCATGCGCTGGATGTGCTTCCACTTGACGTCGCACAGGACTTCCTCGATCCACTCTGGCTCTTCGCGGTCCTCGAGCGCGAGCTCCACGTGGCGCAGGCACGAAGGCAGGTCCTCGAAGATGATCTCAACGTACTCCCAGAAGGGGTGCAGCTCGAAGGGCGGGCGCGGCTTGTATGGGCAAAAGTCGATGTTTACGTAGATGGCAAGTGTCTCGAGCGCTGTGCACTCGCCGAGCTTGAGCTCTGCCCAGATGTCCTGGGGATTCGCTATTAGACGGCAAAGCGGTCAATATTTTCCGGATAAGACGATGGAATGCACTCACGTTCCTCGTCCAGAATAAATTGAATGTTGGTGGTTTTGAAGTAGAGGTAGCGCAGAGTATCCTTCACGGCATGCACGAACTCCCCGAGGTAGGGAATCTCCTCTAAACTCAGATGAAAAAGCGATAGAGTAGTAAAGTTGCGAAGATCCATAGAGTGGAGCATGTAATGTAGCAGAGGGGAGGCGGGTCCATAGGCCAAGTGGTGGAGATCTTCAAGACGCAAGTGCTCGAACTTGCGATACTTCGTGGGCAGCATGCCATCGTACCTTACCCCGGTCTCTTTCACGGGGCGCAAGAGGTCGTCCGTCATGATTTGCTTGACGTTGGGGAAGAGGTGCAGGACGTCTAAGCAGTCTTTGAGGTCGTCGTACACCCAGGTAGTCATGCGTGCGAACGAGAGATCGAGAACTTTTGGCGCGATGGGAGGCAGAGGTCCATGCAAGGGCACTCCGGAGAAGCGCACGCGGTCGGCCTCGAAGTTCTCAAGCTTAGAAAGCTGGCCTACGACTTCTCCGAGCGCGAAGAGGTCGACTGTGGGCTCCCAGCAACTCTCATCACCGGGCTCGACGCCGCGTACACAGAGACCGACGATGTGGCCGGCATGCCGCTGGCCGCGTGGTGTGTCGAGGAAGTGGCGAAACTCGGCGAGGCCGTCGTGTTCTTGCGAGATCAGTATCCACATCAGGCGGAAGAGGTAGACGCGCGCAGGGTACACCCACGCCTTCGCCACGAGAGACATGTTGCAGAGGGCTTCCCTGTCTCCCTCAAAGTAATCGACGATCATTGCTACTATATCTACGGGCAGGGGTCTGCTGAATAGCTATCGGAAGACGTCAGTGCTCACGGTAGCAAGGTGCGACAGTGCACTCACAGCCATCGTTGTCGCAGAAAGACGGTAGTGGGGCACCGCAATGAGGCTCGACACGCTCGAGGCTTTGAAGCCCGGATTCGAAGGCACCTGGATGTGCTAAAGCTTGTGTTAAGGCCATTGCGTAAAGCATAGGTAGTATTGTGGCGCACCTGTCGGGCGGTTGGGCTGTTGGGCTATACAGAACCGACCGAGGCCCAGAAAACGATATGCGACCCAATCCCGCAAGCGATTGGTGTGCACGCTGTGAGTGCGGATACGCTGGACGACGGGAAGAGAACGAGAGTTATGTCTCCTGTGTTTATACTTCTGGAAGCGATTCTCTCCCGGATCAACTCCAGGCAGCTTCTGTGATACATGACGCGACTAAAGATCTCAGTTCACAGAATACAACAACACCTCCGTTGAAACTCAACATTTAACATGCAGAGCGTGAAGCTTTGCACCGGACAGCCTGGCCCGTTGCTACGTCGTCTGCGCTAGTACACTGACCCACCCCCGGTTCCGCGCCTATCTCACAATTGTCATTGTATTCTGACACACAATTAGGCTACGAGGATGACGTTAGCGCGTCGAATGACAAAACGGCTGGTGTACAGCTTCGCAAATCTCACGGTAGTAGCGTAGAGGCGACGAACCGCATGCCGACACCGTACATGGATCACATAATGAATCAGGGGGCCCTGGCGCCTTCCACTAGTATTACAATACAGTACTTCTCAGGGCGTCACTGTGGCAGTAAGCAAGAAGGCCAAATCTGATGAATTGAATGTTGTGACTGGCTGCTGTGTGGGCGAGGTGGTGGTGGGCGCGGGCGCGGGGACCGTGGTCACGGAGGATGCAAGCGAGGGTGTCGCGGATGCCGAGAAGCCGCTAGTGACAGTTCCAAACGAAGTGGGAGTGAACAGGGCGGTAGAAGGTGTGCTTTCAATTTGCCCTGTGAACGAAGAAGTGCCAAATGCCCCGGTATTATCGGAGAGGGCTGTAGTAGGAATGGCGGAGTTGCCGCTCGAACCTGCTGACAACACAGCGCCCGGGATAGAAGCACTCGCAACTCCCAAGGAATCAGAGAGAACTCCAGATGAGATGGCACTCGAGGTCACAGGAGTCGCTACTCCCGAAGTCGGGGACAATGTGGGGACAGCATTCGAGACCGCGGCCGAGCCGACAACAGGCGATGAGGTAGCAATAATGCCTGCGGAGGTCGCGAAGCCAGTGGACGCGCCCAGCGTGGGAACGACCGCTGGTGGGATCGCCGCCGAACCAGTGGCAGCAGAAGGGGGTACCGTCACTGTCACGTACATCGTCGTCTCGATAGTGACTACAAGGACTGAACCGTCTGAAGGGTCTGCCTGTGCGGTGACTGTACCGGTAGGCGTAGATACCGCGGTGGTCGGTGCTGAGGCTGCTGAGGACTCGAAGGGGATGGTGAGGGCAGCGGAGGAGGAGGACACCGGCACGGGAGCAGACTCTAATGCTCCACTGGATGATGCAGAGACCTCAGCCAAGAGCGCGGGTACAATATACCTTTGACGAGTGTAACCCGAGACTGATGTCGGGGAGGCACTCGAAGTGGCGGGTATGGCGAGATCAACGCTATTGACGCAGCCTCGGTCTCCAGCTAACACAGCAAGAATAAGCGGGCTTATTTGACGAACAGAAAAAGTACACGTACTTCCGCATGGATTGGCGTTCGCTTGTTGAATCGTAGGTGCACACCAAGCGGGGGCGAGCACAGCTGCGACAGCGAAGAGCGCAGTGATAACAGTCGATAGCAACATCGTAATTGATGAGATTAAAATGAATGTAATTGCACCGAAGGCAAGGCGCGTGAGGGAGGTCCGTCGGAATGAGCGAGCGACGGGACGTATAGGAGCGGACGGGAGGAGGAGTAGCGAGCACCAGGCTCTGTGATACGCTATCGAGGCGGATGAGTGTTCCTTCGTTTCCGAGAGCCTTTATATATGGTCTTCGAAGGCATTAGCAGGTCAGCATTGTACATGACAACCAGCTGAAAACAATAGTCTGATGTCTATTGTTTCATTGTTAGTTATAATTGCCCCACGACACGAGTAATTACCTGTGGAGCAGTTGCACAGTGTCAAGTATAAACCAACAACGAAGCTACGTAACGATCGCTAACCCGCAGCATGAACTCGACGGGAACGACAGGTTAGCGGCGATCACGCCGCGGCTGGCGGCAGCGTTCAAGCAGCAGAGTACCACCGTAAGCGCGTCCATGTGTGGCGCGTGCTAGACTGTCATTTTAGATCCTAGAAGCGTCAGCAAAGATCTGTTATTACACATAGTTCCATGGGCTCAAGTGCAGAATTGCAGATACCAGTCGTGGGCAGAGACGAGTCGACGACGCTTTGTGTCGACAAAAGGAAATAGACGCCAGGACAATGCTTCTTTGATGCGCACTTTCATCTCGATCTGATCCGCCAGCCCTAATCCAGTGCTGGGCGCGCCCAGCTCAGGCTGCTCTACCTGTTATGCCTCATCTAATTCTTCCAATAAGACGTTAGGAAGCAAGCAATGTTGTATTGTGATCTTCGTGCCGCCATTCCATGCCGTGATATGTGGGAAGATTAGCAAGTAGCTATATATAAGATTGAGCAATCTAGTGATAAGTTACCTCCTCCACCCCTCCTACCATACACTATGAGCCCTTCACGCCTTGTACTTTCTATGCACTCCCGTCGCTATCCCATCCGCTTTTCTCCTGCCTGACTTCCGGATTTTCGAGCCTCGACCCTGACTCCCCAAGGGAGACTAGGCTCTCGGCAATCCCCGGAGAGGTGGATAGAGGCGATAAGATACTCTAGGGGTCGCGATCCGTAGGGTCCTCGTGGTGCGCTTCTTGACCTACCCGTTGAGTAACACAGCGTGATGTCTCGTAAAAACAGAAGGGCATTGCAGGCGAATTTACGCGTTTGCCATGCCATACTCCGTGAGGCGGAACGCCCGCGTTTCCGTGGGGGCAAACTAAGAGACTAATCACGTGTGCACTGATGGTATTTATCGGCGCCCTTCTTCGCGTGGCGAGAATGACTTGATCCCCCAACGCTGAAAGCCCTTTAAAATGTTGAATCTTCTCTCTCGCCCTATCCGCTCTTCAACCACCACCGTCACCCTCCTAAGACGAGCAATGGCCTCCTCATCCACCCCCGACTTCGTGAGTCCTTTTCAGCATCTGCTCTACACTACCAGCTCACCTTATCTTGCACAGAACAGGCCCCTCTATACTCCTCTCGCCGAGATCGACCCTGAGGTCCAAAACATCATCGACAAGGAGACATGGCGGCAATTCTCCGGCCTCGAGCTCATCGCCTCTGAGGTGCACACATTTGTCTTATGTGCCGTGCTATCTCACGAACGTGAACGATTCGCTAGAATTTGACAAGTCGGGCAACGATGGAGGCCAACGGCTCGATCCTCACCAACAAGTATTCTGAGGGTCTCCCCAACGCTCGGTACTACGGCGGCAACGAGTGGATTGATGAACTCGAGGTGCTCTGTCAAAAGCGGGCTCTGGAAGCCTTCCACCTCGCCCCCGCCAAGTGGGGTGTCAACGTCCAACCCTATTCTGGCAGCGTGAGTGTCATTACGTGAATTAAGGAATCGCGTCGCTCATGTTTTCCGTCGACCCCCAGACTGCAAAGTACGGATCAGTCATAACTGCCTCGTGTACGGCGTACTAAGCGAAATCCATTCCGAATAGCTTCGCAGCTTTGACAGCGCTCTTGCAGCCCCAGGACCGTCTCATGGGTCTTGGCCTGCCTGATGGCGGCCACTTGACACATGGTTATTACGTGCGTATCTCCCCAGTTGCCACGCCTCTGACGTGACTTCTCCTTACCATCCAACATGCCACCGCTAATCTACGCGTACTGTTCAGACTGCAAAAAAGAAGATGACTGCGTCTTCGATCTACTTCCAGTCATTCCCGTACGGCCTCGATCCTGCGACTCAGTTGATTGACTACGAGGGTCTCAAGAAGCAGGCGCGCATCTTCAAACCCCGTCTCATCATCTGCGGTGCTTCCGCATATCCCCGTGACTGGGACTACGCCGCGCTCCGTGCCATCGCGGACGAGCATGGCGCGTTCTTGATGGCTGATATCGCGCACACGTCCGGTCTCGTCGCCGCTGGTGAGCTCGCGGATCCCTTCGAGTACTGCGATGTTGTCACAACTACCACGTAAGTCTTATTCTGTTTGATGCATATGTTAGATCTAATCACCCCACAGTCACAAGACCCTCCGTGGCCCTCGCGCTGGCCTGATCTTCTTCCGTAAGGACTCTGACAAGGCTGCCGACCTTGGGAAGCGCGTCAACGACGCCGTCTTCCCTGCCTGCCAGGGCGGCCCGCACAACAACACCATCGCGGGTATCGCTACTACGCTCCTGCAGGCGACTCAGCCCACATGGAAGGCGTACGCTCAGCAGGTCATTGCGAACGCGAAGACCCTCGGTGACGAGCTCGTCGCCCGCGGTTACAAGCTGCAGACCTCTGGCACGGATAACCACCTCGTCCTCTGGGACCTTCGTCCTCTTGGGCTGACTGGCAGCAAGCTCGAAAAGCTCTGCGACCTGGTCGGCATCACCATCAACAGTATGTTGTTTCCGAGCCTCGCCGGACTCGCGCACTGACAGCTCTTGACAGAAAACGCCGTCTCGGGTGACGCCTCCGCCCAGGTGCCGGGCGGTATTCGTCTCGGCACGTCCGCGCTCACATCGCGCGACATGATGGAGGCGGACACCAAGGTTGTCGCAGACTTCCTGCACCGCGCCGTCCAGATCTCGCTCGTCCTCCAGAAAGAGGCAGGCAGCAAGCTCCTCAAGGACTTCGTCCGCGTCGCAATAAAGCCTGAGGAGGGCAAGGTCGGCTACCAGCAGGTCAAGGACCTCGGCAAGGAGGTCCGCGCCTTCGCGCGGCGCTGGCCCCTGCCCGGCGTCGACGTCTCCACGCTCAAGCGCCCCGCAGGCATCCACGAGGACGAGTAGATTAACGCGCCTTAGACGCTTTCCTGCCATTGGTAGATATCGGTATGAGTTTCGGACAGGATAGAAGATTCAACGTCACAGCCATTGGGGCCATCTCGTGTATCATTTAGGACCACGGACTTTCAACAGAGCAGGGTCCACACGGGTGCTCAACGCATCTTATCACGATCTATTGTAGTACTAGTCTAATCCACTACTGGATCGGCTGGCGACTCAGAATGCCATAATGTATCCCGTATAAGCTGAATATAAGAGGCGTACTTAAGGCAGCTCGGCTGGTGTTCGCAAATCATGGGCGGGAAAAGACTAACCAATCCTGGTCCGCGACCTTCTGTCTTGATGCCGCCTGGTGAAGAAAAAAATGGAAAGGGAAGGGAAAGAAGGACGGGAAGAAGAAGAAAATAGACATGGAAGAGAGGGGGAGGGAGAGAAAATCTGAAGAAGTTGAACTGGCTCAACTGAGAGGAGGAAAGCATAGAAAATAAAACCAAAATAATAAATATACGCCTATAATTATATGCATCCACCGGGAGTCGAACCCGGAGCTAGGCCATGGGAAGACCCAATGTTACCGCTACACCATGAATGCTTAACAAGTTTGCCGGCGTGCACTCTGATACACCTATACATCCGTCGCCCCTTCAGCTACAACCACTCTTCGGAGACTATGTGGAAGCATGAGTATGTCCTAACGTGTGTATGGAGGAGACTCACGCGTCACCCGAAAACATCGTCGCCGACGCAGCGGACGAGCCCACAAACTTGCCTACCGCCGACCTGGCCGTCGCACTCGCGGTCTCCTGGCAGAGCACCCGTCCGATACCGCCCGCGCCGCCCGCCGCGGCGTTCGTCGCGACCTCGAGGATGCCCGACACGAGCGTCTGTTCGCCGACGCCGAGGCGTGCCCTGGGGTCCACGCTGTCCGCGGTCGCCTTCTCGAAGCCGATGCCGACGACCTTGCCTGCGGCGGCGCCAAAGACGGCGCCGGCGGGCCCCGCGACCAGCCCGCCGCCCACGGCGCCCGCGGTCGTGATCAGCGAGTCGGTGCTGCGTATGATGGCGCGTTTGGCTTGCTCCTGCAGCACTGTGTCAGGGGGCGTCGTACGGAGGGCGCACGATGTGGCTGCTTACGGTGTTGCCCTGGCTCGCCTGCGCCGCGGCGATGATGTAGCCCACCCCTGGGAGGCCTTCTAGGAAGATAGTGCCCTTGCCGTCCTTGCTGAACCAGTCAGAGGACATGTGGGCCTCTAAGTCTTGCTCTAGGCGAGTTGCAGGAGAATGGGGGAAGGTGTCTACGAATGTCGTCCGACTCTGTTGAGTCGCGGTCATCATGGTTCGCTGTTAAGATGCACTGATTCGTCTCGTTGGCTGCGTCATGACTGCTTCAGAAAGAGCCTTCAGCATATTTCCCTCTGCGCAGAGCATTGTCGAATCGAATGGGGTCGGGCGCGGTTCGTAAGGACCTCGGTGAAAGAAAGATCGTCGTTATTGGGCGAAGCTATTTACCACTCCTCGAACCCATATTGGCTGGTAAGCCGATGACTTCATACCGGCACTGCAGGACACGTCGCGACTTGATCCTACACAAGCCTCGCGAAATTCATCTGTGCAGCTCGGCGGCATGTCTGTTGCACCTGGCCATCCCTGCAGTGATAATAGCCTTTTCTATCGATTGGCGTGTCTGAAAACACGGTGGCATGTGCACAAGAGGTATCTCCTGAGTCTGGTGCTTGCAATCTTGCACGCTGTCATGCGGATATATTGAACAATGGACTGTGGTAGGCTAACCTTAGCTTGCTCACAATCCAACCCCTGCGCAGCTGAAGCACGGTGTTCAATTGGACTGCCAGCCACTCTGGGGCGGGGTCCATCATACGGATACATCCTTTCGCGGTTTGTGAGTGAATATGACCCCTGCTCACCATCTGATATACACGCTGTCCGTGTCATCCTTGAAGCTTGAAGTTTGACAAGTTTGGACCAGCAGACTCAGGGACATTAGGAGTATGCCTTGCCTATTCTCTGTTCACGCTTTGGAGTGGGATTACGGACATTTAGTCGAAAGATGGAGTCGTCGTCGTCGTCGTATCATGTGAGTAGATGCGAACCTGGGTCCTGGGAGCTCGAGCACTGGCGTCTGCATTCGCCGGATGGTGGTCCCGGCGTCTGTGCTCAACGTTGACTGCGTAAGAGAAATTACCTGCTCGTCGTGACTAGCTTGACTCCAGTTGACTCCGTGTCTGCGAGCAGATGTTCTGTCTCATATGGTGGCGTCTTGGATTTGAAAGTCGTGCACAAGCTCAAGGCTCTGCCAAGCTGTTAACACTTTGGCTTGGTCGCGAGATGCAGGTATGTTGACCTCCTTCAGCTTTATGTCTAGTCAGTGCTAACACGACGACGCGAAGCTTAATCAATCAAGACATGAGTTGACTTCTTGGTACAACATGTCTGCTATCTGAGGGCCCTCAAGCAGGACAACGTTCAATCAAAGTCAAGTGCCGCTCGACAACGCTTTAGGAGAAGATAATCTCGCCCTCAAGTGAGTTCGAGAAGCAAAAATGCATACGCCAATGTATGTATAGATATATTTTACTGCTACTCTCTTGAGCTCATGTTCTCGGACCGGTCTATGGTTCCGATTTCCGCTTGAAGGAAGATCTCCATGAGGGTCACTACGCTAATTGGGCCTTCCACATTGTACGTCACCTCTGCATGCCACGCCTCACACCCTCTGATGCATCTCGTCTCTAAATGAGCAGGCATTTCTTGAAGCAAGGATATCGTCTCGCTCAGACCTGAAAGAAGGATTGTAGTCCTGTTATTGTATTCGCCCAGGCCCTCGGTAATGCATGCGGGATTTTTGAACGTTGACCAAAGGTGAGCAAACACCCAGAAATGGCGCACTATCTGATAACTCATTTTCACTTTCTGGACCAGATACCCCATTTGTCTTCCGGGGGTCGATGTCCGGTGCATGCCCCTTCTCTGCTGGGGCCATCGCGATCCAGGCATGCGTGGGCGCCTGTTCGACACAATGTGCTTACGTGTGAGGCTCGGTTGGTTGCAACTTGCTCGCAAGTAAGCCATACGACCAGCTCTTTGCATTGTCCATGCACTTCAAAGATCTACTGCAGTGCGTACCCGGCCGTTCTCGAGCAGCCTCGAGTAGGCGAAGAGCAACTACGTCCTCTTAGCAGAATGATGCCCCCGCTTTCGGGAGTACATAAAGCGCAGGGAGATGGAAGAGCGTTTCTCAAACTCACATTCGACACTAGCTTGGCTCTACCATGTCGAGCACAGATACACGAGCGGAGCCTCGACAGCAGCAGCCTGCCTCTTCCCCCAAGGTGAGGGGCTCCGCATTCTGGCTCACCTTTCTCGCCCTTATCGTCTCGACCTTCCTAAGCGCGCTGGACATGACCTCGGTCGGCACAGCGCTCCCGACGATCACCGCGGACCTCCACGGCGGCGATGAGTACTCTTGGGTCGGCTCTGCCTATGCGCTCTCTAGCACGGCGGTGCTCCCGCTCTCTGGGGCTCTTGCGAACATATTTGGGCGGAAGCCTATCATGCTTGGATCCATTGTCTTCTTCGCTGTCGGCAGCGCCCTATCTGGGTCAGCACAGAACATGAACATGCTCATCGCTGCCCGGAGTACGTCTAATTCATGTATTCTGCTTGATGCACGTCACTGACACCCATGGCTGCAGCTGTGCAAGGCATCGGAGGCGGTGCCATCATCGGCCTCACACAAATCATCACATCTGACCTCGTTCCACTCGCGGAAAGGGGACTGTTCCAGGGTCTGATTGGTCTGACATGGGCTCTGGCTTGTGGCGTCGGCCCTCCGGTCGTAAGTCGTCGCTTCTCTACACTACTAGTATGTATCTGGCAGTGACCTGTGTGATGTAGGGAGGGGCGTTTGCTGGCGAGGCATCTTGGCGATGGTTATTCTGTAAGCTGAATCTCGAAATGATGTGCTCTATCTGATACTCGGCTTCACAGACTTGAACCTGCCACTTTCCGGCATTGCGCTCGTCCTGGTATGGTTCTTCCTCCGAGTGCGTGCGCCTGAGGGCTCTGTCCGACAGAAGTTTGCGCGGGTTGACTGGTCGTAAGTATTGGATCTGTTAACTGCTCAATGGCCGACTGATGGTCACTTCACAGGGGCAATGCGATCATTGTTGCGGGGACAACACTCGCGATCGTTGGACTTACATTTGGTGGGATTCGGTTCCCGTGGGATTCTGCTCAAGTACTGGCACCCCTTATCATTGGACTCGCCCTCGTTGCGGCGTTCATTTTCTACGAAGCGAAGATCCCAAAAGAGCCGACTATTCCATGGAGAGTATTGAATAACCGGATCACCTTCGGCGCGTATGTAGAAACCTTCGTGCACGGCCTTACTACCATGGCTCTCGTCTGTGAGATCTAGTCCTTCCGAGTTTACACTTGAGACTGACGGCCACCCACAGACTATATACCCGTCTACTTCCAAGCTGTCCTTGGATCTTCACCGGTCCGGTCTGGAGTACAGACCCTTCCCGCTGCCCTCATCATCTCCGTCTTCGCCATGATATGTGGCATATCCGTCGAGCGGTTCCAGAGATACATGCCAGTAAACTATGCAGGCTGGATTCTGATCACCATCGGATTTGGTCTAGCGAGTCTGTTGACGGCTCGCGCCCCTATGGCACAATGGGTTGGCTACCAAGTCGTCGTCTCAGCCGGGATAGGTATCATCGTACGTACCCTCCTGCGTTTCTCAACACATATCCCACTTACATACTCCACACAGTTCCCGGCACCCGTCTTCCCCGCCCTCGCACCTCTACCAATCGACCGGACAGCAGCGGCGCTCGCATTCTTTGCATTCGTGCGCTCCTTTGCGCAGACGTGGGGCATCACCATCGGATCGACGGTGCTGCAGAACGAGCTGAAGAAGAAGCTTCCCGCGGCGTTCGTCGCGCAGTTCCCGGGCGGTGTCGAGATCGCGTATGCCGCGATACCTCTCATTGACGGCCTCGAGGAGCCTCTCCGGACACAGGTTCGCGTCGCTTTCGCGGACAGCATCGATGTCATCTTTGAGGTCATGATCGGCATCGCCGGGCTCGGGCTCCTGTCGATGCTGCTGATGAAGGAGATACCAATGCACACAGATAAGGACGAGAAGTATGGATTGAATTTTACGCCGATAGCTACGGCAGATGCAGAGAAGGGTGAAGTCACTCCCGACTCGAGGCTTGTTTCTGAGCGGAAAGCATAGGAGACCAAGCTTTCAAGGACTCGGAGGACTTGTCAATACTGGGATAAAATGTAGACTCCGGATTATGGACATTGTATGGTGCCTGTATTGAATAACCTAGTAATAGTCAATCCGTTGATATATATATACCTGCATTTGAACAGCTCAAATGTGTGTAATCTGGCTATGCTCGAATGAGTAGTTTGTCCAAAGACCCCGAAGTGGCGTGAATGAGCGCTTGAAATGCTTCGTCTAGTACTACATCACGAACTGGGGCAAGTACTGAATATTGAATGTTCACTCGCCCTCTACATGACAAAATCAATTGCTATTGACACTGAGCAACGTGTATACTGTCTGCTGTTCATAGGAAAAGTCCCATGTCTTTGGAGGGCATAATAATGAGAGAGAGAGGCACGGATTCACTGTTATCACACTTTCACTAGATATGGTAGGCACCTTGCAGCTCTTGTTACCACAGGGTGTTTACCTTGACATGATCTACATTTCGGTAGCTTTTGCTTGTGTGTACTAGTGAGATACATACATTAAGATATAGTAAATGTATAAATGCCACAGGAAATGGATGTCATACCGTGTTATCAGGAAAACAACTTGGCTCCACAGTGCGACAGAGTGCTACAGGAGCATTTTGGAGCACTATGGAGCCAAGTCCTGTTTCCTGATGAAGTACTAGTAAGCTCAGCCCCGAAGCCACCAGTACATGAAAGGAACTGCTCATCAGTTTTGCTTTATACCATTATCCTGTTACATGTGGTGCTTAGACCTGTATTTTATGTGTAAGGATAAGGCTGAACACATTGCTCTTTTTTTGGGGACCAGTTCTCAGCTGAAGGATGTACCTAAATGTCTCCCGGTCAAGGATTACGGCCACTACTACTAGGATATTATTATGTTATGTTATGTTACAGCCTCTACTTTTACAATTCAGCCCCCCCCCATTACGCCGTAGGCGTCGCAGAGCCCAATGCAATAGCGGAAGAGAGTAGGGCTTTGCCGCAGTGTCCGAGATTCCAGTAAACGGGCGGTTAAGCACACTCGCGCGCGAAATATTCGTACCATTGTATAAGCGTATGTCAAAATTCTCGTACGTTTTCTGCCCGCAAATTCACTCAGTGTATAAGCCTCCCGGAATATTTTAAAGTTGAAAATCCTTCATCCTCCTGCAAGGGACGTCATCAAATATTAGGTGTTTAAAATCCTGATAAGATACAGACAACAATGAGCAGTCCAACCACGACCGGAACCTTGCGACGGTTTGTTACTGACTTCAACTTCAATGATTAAACTCTGATCAAGCTGGCCGCATTGCAAGTCGTATCAGAATCTTCGCGCGTTGTAAGACCTATCTTCACACTTTGGGTGATGCACCCAGTAAAGCCGGTTAGTTACTAGCGCGTTAGTCTCCGTTGCTGACTAAAAACGATTTGGATGATGAGTCGATCCAAATCATCTGTATATATGCAAGGAGAGAGTAGTCTGTTCAAGGACCTCAGTCACCCCGCCATCAAATGCCACAAAGCGAGCGCCTTCCTGGCTTTGGGCCTTGTGTCCTGCCGTCATGACGTTCTACCACCTTTCCACTCCTTGCCGCTTTCACTAGCTCGAAATCTCAGCTTACCCGCATCGGGGCTACCCAAATCAATTTACCATCGACTCTAATTGTTGTAGAAACGCGACATGTCGGAAGGCGCACAGCATCAGCTGCCGCCTGTGTTGATCCTCGATGGCGGACTTGTGGGCATCTCGCCGCTTTCAATACGTATTTCGTATTTGATCTCAGATCTTTAAGGCAGGGTACAACGCTTGAAGATACATTTTATCGTGACATCTCGACACCGCTCTGGTCTGCCCGGCCTATCGAGCACGACCCAGAAGTAATCATCGAAGCGCACCTCGCTTTCCTCAAAGCGGGCGCCAGAATCATATCCACGGCGACGTGAGTGCATGTCCGGGAGCTGTTATTGTTGCTGATGCTCAGCTGGCCTTGGCGACTCCAATCAGATATCAGTCCGCATACAACACGTTCGAACGATCCGGGTATACGCGCGCAGACGCAATACGTATCATGCGGCAGGCGGTTGCACTCGCATGCATTGCCAAGGACCGCTTCCTTGTGGAGCGCACTGAGGCCCGCCGCGAAGATGTGCAGGTTGCACTTTCGCTCGGCCCGTACGGCGCGACATTGAACGCGAACGAGTTCGACGGGATGTACCCGCCTCCGTACGGCCCCGGGCCATCTGCGTCCAGAGCCCGCAACAGCTTCTCACCCTGTGAAGAGGAGCTGCGTGAGTGTTCCATCGAGGCGCTGAAAGGCTTCCACCTGGACCGCCTGCGAGTCTTTGCCGAGGATCGAGAGACGTGGGACAGCATCGACTGGGTCGCGTTCGAGACCGTGCCTCTGACGCGCGAGATCACCGCTATTCGGCGAGCGATGGGTGCTCTCAACAGCGAGCTTCCCGCGCGTCGCTCCGACAGCCGCTGGAGAAAGCAGTGGTGGATTTCAGGCGTGCACCCCTTCGGCGTGTACCCAGAACAGTCCCCCGACGGCGGATCAGTCACAGCCGGCCACGTCGTCAGAGCAATCTTGGAACAAGAGGGAGCAGGAGAAGCGAATCCTGTTCCAGATGGCATAGGCATCAACTGTACTGGCGTGCGCTATCTGTCGTCGATCGTGGGTGAGATGGGCGAGGTGGTGGTGCATGTCGGCGGAGAGCAGAGACCATGGTTGGTGTTGTATCCGAATGGGAGAGAATGGGATGTGGGGACGCAGTCGTGGGTAGCGGTGGGCGCAGACGAGGATGAGGCGGCGGGAGCGTGGGCGACAGCCTTTGCTGAGGCCATCATGCCTTGCATGAGGCATGGGCATGCGTGGGGAGGCGTTGTCATCGGCGGGTGCTGCAAGTCGGGACCTAGAGACATTGTGGCGTTGGTGAAGGTCGTTAAAAGGGTCTGGGAGACGGTACATCGCTGATTCGTCCGGCGCCGAAGTGCTAATTTTCGCCCGCACTTTTACTCAGATCTATATTTTGATTTCTCGGAAGCATTCTCAGTTCGTGCACTTGGTTCATTCACATAGAAAGACGAAGTCAATTGTTCATGTACGTCTGGAAAAAAGGAAGAAACCAGATGCGGAGAAGTAAAGTATATTTCGGTAATAATAATTAACTAAGCAAGTGATGAAGGAGAACTAGGAGCGATTCAGAAATTCTGTCTCGATACGGCATGTGCAGCTTCACCAGACTACGCTACTCCTGCCCCTGCGGCTGAGGCTGTACGGGGTTTCTTGTCGGACTATCCCCGGGCGTCGTCGTCTTCCGGTATCCTCCTTTTGCTAGGACCGAACTGCTGGGAGCCAGGCATGGGCGATTCCGACTCGTCAGGAGCCAACATCATGCCGGGAAGGTTTTCAAACTGGTCGGGCGTCTTGTCGTTAGTGAATGCCTTGCGCTGGATGTCTGCCAACTTCTCTCGCGGGATTGAACGGGAATTTGGGAAGAATATGTCCAGAAACGGCTTCGGGTCTAACGAGGCAACCATGTCTTCCATCTCGGCGATGATGACGGACGGCAATGAGTAGAGCTGGTCAAGGTCACATTACGCTCGCCGATGAATGACCCACCGCTCCACCATTTCAGGGGCTCAGCAGAAAAGACACCCTGCGTTTTTGGTTCTAGAGCATACCCACCGGCCGTTGAATACAGCTCCCACCACCTCCACTCACGTTACTAAGGTTCGTACAGCTGGATGTAGTTAGCTACAAATGTTCCAATTGATACTGAATATGTGTAGCTAGCTACGCCTTCCTTCATGTTACTGAGCACGAACGGTGGGAGGCCTCAGCTGAAGCGTCCACCTTTGCGGCTGATGCTGTGTGCGTCGGGCCCGGGACACCACAATGACGGCGAAGCAAAGGGAAAGCTCTTTCATTTTCCAGCTGAATTTCCTGCGATGTATTAGGCGCCTGTGCCTGGGGTTTAGGCGCTTGACTGCGATGATGATCTTGTTGAGACTTGCTCCACTTGTGCCCGCACCACTTGGTCGCCACTCCGCACCGTCACTGACAGACTTCAAGCCGGTAAATGCGTCATGCAATCCACGTTAGGAGATTATAAGAAGTCGCTCTCTGGCTCTCCCGCCCCTCACTACTTAGTTTCTTTTTGCCTCGACTTTACGACTCACACGACCAGTTCTTCGACGCTTTCAACGTTTACAACTACCATCTAATCATCATGGAAAAGGCATCCTCTATTATCGCCGCCCTCGACGCTGGGAAGCTCCCGTCTCAGCAGCAAATCGACCAGTTTATCGACTGGCTTTTGCAGAGTGGTCTCACTCAGGTTGAGCCTTCACCGGACTACGGGGAGCTCAGCCAGCAAGGAAGCGTGCTCGTACAGGATTTGCGCGACGTCCTCAACGCATACAAGCAACTAGGAGACAGCAAAAATGGTACGCACTCACGTTCTCCTGTCTAGACGGAAGAATGAACCGCTCTGTAGGCGACGACCTCATTCAGCAGTCGCTCTGGCACTTGCACGAAGCTGATGTCTCGAACACCTCAACGAACATTACCGGTTCAGCACCAGACCAAGCTTCGAAGGACGCCTCCGCTTTGGCGCGCGCGCTCCGCACTATTTTCTCCATTCTGCTCTCCACCGTGACCCAAGAGTCCCAGAGCGTCTTGCACGACTTCGCCTCCTTCATGCGCCTCGCGATCGCAGACGCTGCCGACTATGTTAGCCAGAGTGCGGGCTCTGCTGCCCAAACGCTTCGACAGGTCGACGAAGAGATCGAGAAGGGCGACCGTAACGAGGCTGGTTTGAAGAACAAGCCCGAGGAGGAGAAGTTTAAGAACAAGGATACGAGGGAGCAGTTCGAGGTTACGATGGACACCATCAAAGAGGCAGGTTCAGAGACGATCGGCGCTGCCCAGGTCGCCGCTGCCACCGGCAAGGATCTCGCGAACCGCACCAACGACCGTCTGCAGGATGCGTTCAACCAGGTGAGTCGATTTCGTCGGAAGGCCTTTGGCTTTTATCTGATAAATTCCTTGCACAGATCTGCGACCGTGCACAAGAAAATCAGGAGTACCATGACTCCATCAACACCATCTTCGACATACTCAGCAAGTGGCTGCACAAGTCGCTGGACACCGCCGGCGATGTCAACACCGACACTTCCCTCGAGTCTTTCGTTGACGATCCAACGCCTGAGAAGCACCTGATCAAAGCTATCCGCGGTGTCCGCGAGTTCTTCGAGCGGAATGCCAATGGGAAGTCGCTCGACGATTTCTTTGGTGCTCTTCGCGTGTGCGGTGTCGACATCCAGCAGGACCAGCAGCTCCGTCAGGCTATGGACGATACCCTTGGTTTCATGCGCCGCTGCGTCGACGAGCGCGGTTTCGTCCGTTCTGGCGAGGCACAGGAGGCGCGCGGGCAACTCAAGACTCGATGGAGGGATATCACGTCTGCCGACACCCCTGAGGGCCAGAAGTGGCGCGAAGACTTCAAGCATCTCAAGAACGAGGGCAAGGAGTTCAGCGTTGCCCTCGAGGGTGGTGAGGACCTTACTCGCCTGAGGAAGGCGCAGGCCAAACTCGCGTCCGACCTTGAGGACGCATTCGCTACTGCAGCGTCCAAGGCTGCTGACAAGGCTGCAGAGAATGCTGGTACCCTCAACCAGCCCATTTGGATGTGGCAGGATATCTTCAACGCCTACCTTCCGAGGTTGCTCAGTGTTATCAAGGATATACCTATCCCGAGGTTCGTACATTCTTTCCCAGATCTTACGCTCATCGTGCTGACCATCCCCCTCCAGAACCGAGTACATGGATAGCGACGTGGAGTTCATCCTCGAGGACCTTGATATCTCGCGATTCGCCCTACTTCCGGGACATGCGTACATTCGCAATATCACCGATATCGACATCAAGGCCCCATCTGCCGGCGAGGCCCAGACTGCCGTCGGCTCTCTCACTCGCATCTACGCGCAGGGTATCCAGCTTGCTCTCCGCGAAGTATCATTCTATTTCAGGCAAAAGACATCGTCACTCGGACCATCGGAGTTCTCCGGTATCCTCGAGCTTACGCTCCCGCCACAGGGTGTCGACGTGGACGTTGTCGTTCGCATGATCCCCAATTCGCCCGAAGGCCTCAAGGAGCGCGAGCTCAAGAAGAGTTTCTGGGACGTCCAGCGCGTCGAGGTCAAGGTCAGCGACGAGCTCGATCTGACGATCAAGCAGAGCAACCATCAAGTGCTCGCTTCGGTCCTCAAGCCCGTCATCACCTCCCGCTTCCGCGACACGCTCCAGACCGTACTCGCCGAGAATTTCCGTGGTGCGCTCGAGTGGGTCAACAACGTTGCCTGGGACGTCGGCAACCGCGCAGAGGTCTTCCAAGACGCGGGCCTCCCGCGCGGCGCGAGCCTCGTCGCGGGCTTCTGGAGCGAGCTCGGTAAGCTTAGTCGTGGCGAGGGCGGGTTGCTCAAGGGCTGGAAGGCGACCGGCACAGGCCTCATCAAGGACGAGGGCAACGCGCGCGGCGACGCCGTGTTCGCCATGGGAGCCGAGCCGCAGGTGCTCAGCGGTGAGAAGCGTGGCCCGAAGGGCAACTTCTCCGAGAGCGTGAAGGAGCGCGTAGCGGCGGAGATGGACGTCGACGTCGACGAGCTCGAGGCGGAGGCTCGCGGTCAGACGCAGGCGGTCGGCCAGCGCGCGAAGGAACTTGCGGGCGAGGCGAAGGAGCAGATCAAGGAGGGTTACCAGCAGGTGAAATCGTTCACGCAGACGGTCAAGAACAAGGCCGAGGAGGAAAAGAGAAAGCCTGGTTGGGAGAGCAGTGCATTTGACGTCTCGGCGTGAGTTTCATATAGTGTCTCCGACTAGTTGGATCTCGTGGGTCATTTACGATACCTCACTGTACCACAAAGAAGTATGCTAGTAATCGCTCTGTCTTGTATTTTTACTGTGAAACCAATGAATAGCAATGTAGCATACACATCTCTTCTCGGCAATGCCTCATGGTGGGGTTTGTTGTGGATTTGCGAAGCTTGCGCACCGGCTCATGGCGTGTCGCAGTCTCTTGGTGAAGAATCTTTCGGTACTGAAAGGTTCTTCATCAAGAACCTTCTGGGACGGCTTGGGGTGCTTCTTGGGATAGCTTGCTTCCATAGCTGATTCCAAGTTCCGGCCAGTGCCAAATAAGATTGTCTATAAGCATGCCATGGAAAAATGAGTAACTTACGCGAGACTTACGGTCATTACACGCCCGCCCTCTAATTCGTCTCCGAGTGTCATATCCCGGATGCATAGCCTGAATATCCACTTTGCCAGATACATGTATGGACTGCATAGCTTGAATATCCACTTGTCCGCGACACGCGTTTTCCTGACGTTTTCCTGCATTTTCTCTAAGGCGCGGTGGCGTGGGACTCGTCGGGACAGGTAAGCGCCTGGGTTCACTTGAAGTCCTGCACACCCTCGCATGTCCATCTTCGCGAGCTGCCTCTTATCGATTCGTCCTCGTAGTCCTGAACATGCGTTTGTACTCGCATAAGCGAAGGAGCAGCAGATAAGACGTACCTCCGAGCTTCTGCCGGACCGCCCGAGTGGCGAACCGGTTGGGAAGTTCACAGCCCCCGCGCGAGTCGTGCGCGTGGACGATCGGCTACTAGGCTCTCTGCGGCTGTGAAAATACAACCCCAGATGAGAGCGATGCATGGAAGTCCGCCCCTTGGAGCGGAAGTGAGCGGGATGTGCGCACGTTTGCGTACCGAGTCCGGCGTCCGAGGGTCATGACATTTGCAATGAGCAGAGCCTCGGACGTGGTCCATGCCTGCGTGTCCATGGATAGACTCGGTGTGGGGTGAAAGCAAGGTCAAGCTTTGTGCTGTATTGGACGAGGATTGGAGGTTGACGTACGCATGACATTGAGCTCGAATCCTCGCTCTGGTTTGGCTCTGCGTTCGCAGCACCGGAGGACTCGGTGCATGGTAAGCTAGAGTTTATGACTTACTATAGCTCGCACATTCGCACGAGAAGCGCAAGTGGTTCCTAGTAGCCCGCGAAACTTTTCCGCAACTTTAATGCTTGTGACCCTGAATGAGGTTGCCATGAACGCGACTGAGAAACTGTCGCCAAGTCTATGCCAAGTCGCCCCTTCCGAGCACGTTGATCACAGCTATACTGTGCATTTCTAAGCGAGTCCGTGCGCAGCGAACACTGCTCTGCCGTAGCTGGGTATTGCCAGAGAGCGTGAAGGGTGACTGACAGCGTCTGGGGTTGCCGTACACACGCTTCTGAGACTAACACGCTTTCAGTCCGGAACTACTCAGCGCACCGCCCATACGTAGGCCTTGCTTACTGCAACTATATCAACGCCTGCTATACTCCACGGTTTTGATGAAATGTTCGGCGACATTTCTCCCCGTCCTTGTCCTTTTTGTTGTCTTTGACATTCGTTGAAGTATATCTTCCGCCGACACTAGCGCAGCTTTGTGAGCACGCTCGGCAACCATGATCCAGTCTGTACGACGGCCACCTCAACGCGAGGACAGTATGGATAGCAATGCCGGCTCTGTAGCAGAAGGAGGGCCGCCGAAGCGACGAGTGTTGCGACGCGCCGCGAATTTGCTAACGACACAGGGGCAGCCGGTGCCCGCGATCGCAGACACGGCCCGACGCGTCGATCTTCCTGCGTACACTCGATCCAAGACGTCCATGTCGAATGGCACCCACGGACGTCCTCACCACTCGAATAGCGTACCTGTGCCCACGCCTTCCAATGCAGCGTACCCGCCGCGAGGGATCTCGAGGAGACGGAGCGATGGCAGTGCGAGCCTGGGGGTTAGAGGGAGCATCCGGAGGACGCTGCAGAGTGTGGTGAAGTCACGCTCGCGGTCACGGTCAAGGGATGTCGATGAGGAGGCGGTTGCGGACACAAGTCTCGGTTACCAAGATTCGGTGCCGTCAAGAAGATCGATATCTTCGCAATCAGCGCCTCGAGACGCCTCTGGCTACGCTGCGCAGCCGACAACGAGGAGAAAGGCAAGTATAAAGGGTCACATTCGCTCTGCCTCGGACGTCATCTCTGCCTGGACGAAGCCGCCTCGTGTCGCTATTTCACTCAGCGAGCCTTTACCCGACCTCACTGCTCCATCCCAGACCACCTTCGAGGTGACGAGTCCAATGCCTGTTGCCAGCCCCGACGAAATGCCATCAGTGCTGCAGGACGCAGCGAACGCAGAGGCTACACATGACCCAAGTACGGACGTAGCGAAGCAGCCTTTGTCGACAATACGCGAACCTCCGTCGCCCGTGAATACTACTGTCGCATCCGAGTTTGCCGAAGAGCCAGCCGTACTCTCTCCCCAGAGCCCGTCGTCTGCGACTGACGATGTGCCAATTCCACCGCTCTTGCTTAATGGTGTTCCCATGATGAAGGTGTCGGCGAAGAAGCAGAAACGGTACTTCTTTCGCCTCGATCCTGACGAGGGCGAAATTATATGGCACTCGAAGAAGCTTCGCATCAGTGCGTACGCATTTCCTACGGCTCTACACGGTGCTAACCACTTGCAGTTCCCATCGAAGCTATCAAGGAGATTCGGACTGGCTCTGACGCACGCTACTACCGCGAACAGTTTCAGCTCACGATATCCTACGAAGACAGATGGCTCACGATTGTCTACATGCTCGATGGCTCGTACAAGACGCTGCACCTCATTGCTGCCACACGCGACGTCTTCCAGATGTGGGACACGGCAATTCGCCGACTGTACGACATTCGGAAGCAGCTCATGAGCGGCCTCGGGCATGGTGCATTGCGGCAGGTCGTGTGGGAGAAGCAGCTATGGAAGGTCGCGGATGAGGAGAAGGGTCAGAAGCTAGAATTCGACGACATCGAGCGCATGTGCAGGAGGCTGAACATCAACCCAAGCAGAGACGATTTGCTGCGGCGATTCCGGGTACGCACCCGAGACTCATAAGATGCAGGTCTTGACCTAACGAATACACACAGCAAGCAGACACTCATCAGCGCGGTTACCTCGATTTTGCCGATTTCCGCAAGTTTGTCAAAGCTCTGAAGGCAAGACCCGAAGTTGACCGGCTGTTCAAACGACTTTGCTATGACTCAGGATCCACTGATGGGACACTACGATATGATAGTTTTGCCAAGTTCATGCGCGAGCAGCAGAAGGTTCGTTTGCAATCGTACAGGAATGCTTGTCGTCTAACGCTGTATTGCATAGTCCACGCTTTCGGAGGAACAGCTGCAACAGCTCTTCGTCAAGCATGCGTCCCTCCCCGATGCCGCCGGCGAAGCTTCTTCAAGTCCTTCAGGCTCACCGGCCCGCAACGCGCTCGAGCTCACCTTCCATAACGCGGCCATTACAGCGGGCCTGAACCCTGGCACACCTGAACGCGGCCCCGATAAGACAACTAACACGAGCACGTCCCAACCTCCCGCTGACACGTCGTCGTCTCCATCGTCTGGCTCTTCATCAACGCCCGCACCCCCGAAGCCCACCCATGAGACGGGCGTGCTCACGTCCAAGAGCTTCACGACGTTCCTGCTCTCGTCAGACAACGCCGCGTTTCGTGATGAGAAGCACGACATGACGCGGCCATTACCCGAGTACTACATCTCGAGTTCGCACAATACGTATCTAGTCGGTCATCAGCTTGTCGGGGAGAGCACGATCGAGGGGTACATTCGGGCGTTGTTGCACAGCTGCAGGAGTGTCGAAGGTACGTTCACGTCATTCATTTGTGAAACCTGCAGTTTGGAGCTGAGGTGTGTTTATAGTTGACATCTACGACGGCGAGATCGAGCCCGTCATCTACCATGGAAAGACGTTGACGACCAAGGTTTTGCTCAGAGACATCTGCCAGGCAATCGCCCGCTATGCCTTTGTTGCATCGCCATACCCTATCATTATCTCTGCCGAGGTGCACTGTAGCCTGCCTCAGCAGGTTCTCATCGCGTCAATCATGGACGAGGTCTTCGGCGATTCACTGGTCCAGGCCCCGGTGGACGGCCGGCCGAAGATCGAGGTGTTGCCGAGTCCTGAAGACCTGAAGGGTCGGGTGCTACTGAAGGTGTGCCGTAATGGAGGTGATCCTCGTCCTGATGCTAACTATATCCGTGGGATAGGCGAAGAACCTATATGTCTCCTCGAAGGAGGGTATACAAGAGAAACAAGTCTCCGTCGATGCCGAATCCTCGTCGACTGAAACTTCTACCTCTGATTCCGACGTCCGCGAGGAGATACGGCACGAATGGCGCAAGGCTCGGAAGAACGAGGCTGAGATGATTAAAGGTGCGTCCTCCATACTGCTAATGCCTCCTCTTTCTCACTTTCATGGCACAGGCCTGAAGTCCGAGTTTACGAAAGCCAGGCAGATCATGGAACGCGTGAACCCCCGCCGCAGCTCGAACCCGACGTCCTCCCGCCCAGCTATCTCCCCGAATTTGCCTGCTGCCCGCTTACCCGAGAAGCCTAAGGTGAAGATGTCGATGGAGCTCGTCGCGCTGCTCGTGTATACCGTCGGCGTGAAGTGCCGCGGGCTCAATAAGAAGGAGGTGTACGCTCCCGAGCACATGTTCTCGCTGTCAGAGAACACGACGAACAAGCTCCTGAAGCAGAGCATGTTCGACCTCATCAAGCACTGCCGCTCACACCTTGTGCGTATCTATCCCAAAGGCATACGCATCGGGAGCACCAACTACGAGCCGCACCGTTACTGGTCGGCGGGTGCTCAGTTGGTAGCGCTAAATTGGCAGACTTTTGGTACGTTATGATTGCATGAAGTCTGAGGCTTTCGTTGATATGAATGACCGTAGACTTGGGGTATATGATCAATCACGCTATGTTTCAGCGCAACCAGCGGGCGGGTTATGTGCTGAAGCCTCCCGCATTGCGTTCTGGAGACAAGTCGCTGCTTTCCAAACGGACACAGCACTTCCTCGATGTCACGGTTATCTCTGCGCAGCAGCTTCCTCGCCCAAAGGATGCACTAGGCCGGGAGATCATCGACCGCTCGGTCCTAGACCCGTTCGTCGAGGTTTCGCTGCATATCCCCGACTGGACGCAGGTACCCTTCTTGCCTTCGACGTCCGGCCAGCGCAGCTACTCTCCGCCGCACAACACCTCAGCTGCGGCGAGCGGTGCGACATCCGCGCGCACAGTGACCGTGAAGACTTGTGTTGTGAAGAACAACGGCTTTAACCCCGTGTGGGAGCAGAGGCTGAACCTGCCGTTTGACTGTGTTGGCGACATGCTCGACCTTGTCTTTGTGCGGTTCGCCGTCAAGCAGGATGATAGGTTGGACGAGGAGCCTATCGCTTTGTACTGCACCAGCCTCGCGAGTCTCAACTCTGGTGCGTCTCCCCTTTTCCTTATCTGACTGGAAATGGCCAGTTGATCGTCTCGTTGTACAGGCTACCGGCATCTTCCTTTACATGACTGTCAACTCTCGCAATATCTCTTTTCGACGTTATTCATCCATACCAACGTTCGGGACGCGTAATTTCCTTGCGGCGGAAGTGGTCGTGGAGGGTTTCCCAACAGCATATATACATTCTAGGCCCATCATGCTCATCGCACTACTTCATCACACTTGTATTTTTAGACAGCATCGCAAACTCACTGAACATAACGAACGTAATATTTTACATAGGTTATCACACTTTCAACACTGGGCTGCTCAGTATTGCCGTGCATTGTGGGCTCTCCTAAGAAGTTTCTCTTCCTCGTCCTCCGTGGCGGCGAGGCTTTTCTACCTTCTCACCCGGTGGAGCAGCTAGCAGAGCGAAAAACGATGCATTGCTCTCAAGGAGTAAGCGCCAATATCGCTATTTCCTGAAATCAAGCAGGCTGGTCGCTGTGAGCGTTCATGAAGACTCTGGCGAGTAGGGAACTTGCAAACTTAAATCCGCCGTCTCAAATGATTATCCCACTGGTTTGTGGACTGCTCAGTGGTGAGTTGAACCTTACTATGACAAGATATCGTCCAGTCCAATTCATAACCCCCTTGTGTGCGATTTTGAAGTAGACCGTCCGACAGCCCTCATCAATTATTTTCGAGCTGGCTGACCATGATCAGGGCTGACGTTTCGGTTCAGGCTGAGGCTGGCACCCTCACTAGGAGTTAAAGGACAGAACGTGCAATCAGAATCACTCTATCCTACCTTCGATCCCATCGACTTGCCAGCCGGGACAATGCGGACCATCTCAGCCTTCGGCGTCCTCTCCCTGCTCCCTATCTCATCTATTCGGGCTGTGCCCGTATGCCCGGGGGCACCGGCTGCCGTCGCCACGACTTGGTACACGGGCTGGCATGCTCAGTATCTCCCTCTGGAGGATATCAGCTGGGACAAGTGGAGTTCAGTATCCTATGCCTTCGCGTAAGCCTTTCGTTTCAATGCTCTTGAGTCGATGGTTACACTCCAAACCTTAAAGGGAAACGACACCAGATCCATCGGTGATCTCTCTGCAGGACTCAGATGCAGAACTCTTAACAAGGCTGGTCGATATGGCTCATCAGAATGTGGGTACAGACATACCGTCCTCGTTATTATCGCTGACTTCGTTTTCAGAATGTCTCTGCTCTTCTGACCGTCGGAGGCTGGACTGGTTCCCGATACTTTTCGACTGCAGTAGGGTCCCCCGAGAATCGTACCATGTTTGCCAATGCTCTGCTGGGTCTAGTTAAGCAATACGATCTCAACGGGATCGACCTGGAGTAAGCATACATGAGACTTTTCTACAATCATTACTTATTGGACCTCGCCTTGCAGCTGGGAATATCCAAATAAGCAAGGCATGGGATGTAACATCATCTCTGAGCAGGATACACCCAACTTCCTCGCATTCCTTCAAGAGCTTCGCTCTTCTCCCGCAGGCCAGGGTATGACCGTCTCGACCGCCACCTCAATCGTACCTTTCGCCTCGCCCGATGGCACTCCTGCTGCCGACGTCTCTTCCTTCGCCAATGTTCTCGACTATGTGACGCTCATGAACTACGACGTCTGGGGCACCTGGTCACCTGCCGTGGGCCCGAACTCGCCTCTCGACGACACCTGCGCTCCGCCGCAATATCAGCAAGGTTCTGCGGTCTCTGCAGTTGCGGCATGGACGAAAGCAGGCTTCCCTGCCGACAAGATTGTCATAGGCGTGGCATCATACGGACACAGCTACTACGTTACCCCAGATAACGCGTTCAACGGTGCGTCGAGCGCGGGCGAGGCTCAGCCCGCTGGAACGACATCTATTGCCGCCTACCCATCCTTCGATAAGTCACAACAGCCATTTGGAGACTCCTGGGACGAAGACTCTCCCGCGGGCACCGACGTCTGCGGTAACCCCGCAGCAGGTGGTCCATCTGGCATCTTCAACTTCCGAGGCTTGGTTGAGAAGGGCTACCTCGATTCGAATGGCACGATTGTCCCTGGCATGGGATATCGATACGACACCTGCAGCCAAACGGTATGTTCTTTTTTTCATTACTGCGGTAGACTCAGTCTAGATGGTTCGCATAGCCCTACCTGTACGACCCCAAGTTGTCAACCATGGTCTCATACGATGACGCCCAATCGTTTGGTAAATAGGCGTGTTCACGTACCAGGGATCCTTCTAATGCAGTTGCACAGCTGCCAAGGGACGCTTTATTCAGCAGACCGGCCTGCTGGGGTTCGCTATGTGGGAAGCTGTCGGGGATTACGAGGACGTGCTCTTGGACGCGATCTCAGGCGGCATGGGAATTGGCGAGGATTCCTGTCAGGGTGTCATGTCCTTGGGACTGCCGCTTTAGTAGTCTCGTGCCGACCTCCTATCGGCTGGATAGCCGGCCCTGACATGTCCATGCGCTCCTCGACCATGTGTGTGATACCACTATACACCTATATTGACATGCTTAGTTCTGCCGGAGTTGACTGACACTAGGAAAGCATTGAAACATCCAATTATCGTGCTCAGGCTCCCGTGTGAGAATTGTACGCAACGAAGGGCGCTCGATAAGCGACGAACGATGTCCAGAAACACCATAGATATACGTAGCCCATGGTCGCATGGTTACACTAGTACTGCGCCGACCAAGGCTGCGCATATTTTGTAAGCCGCAGTATAAGGGAATGGTCAGCTCTCTTACACGTATAAATTATCGGTGACTAGTAGTTGGGTCACTTAGGCTGCTGAGAGAAAGCTGGCAATCATGACTGCATTCCGCTTACAGATTTGTAAACGTAGCGCGGTCATCATATAAGTATGCATGCTCCGTACCTGAAGACTTGACAGTTGACACTGCCTTACGTACCGCATGACTGTTATTTAAACAGAATCCAGAAGTCTCATAGCCTAGGATACAATCAATGGAGAGACTAGAAGAGCATAATATAAGATATGCAAGCTAGGACAGCCCACCTCACGATGCGGTTCCACCATGCACTTCAGAAAGCTCGCGGGCCTTGCATTGCGTGCATACAATGCGACTGCTTCCATATATGCTCCGAACCTAAGGCCTTGACCGGGGTCGGTTAATTCAGTTTGTCGAGTGTAATTTGGCACGTTAACATACCTTTCGATAGGCTGAGGTTAGTAGAGCTACGTGCCCATGACCCATGTCGAGTTGCCTGGCGTCTAGAAACGATGAGTAGGGAACCCTTCCTGGCCGCTTCTTGGCAGTCATGACTAACGGTACCCCAGGCAAACAACTAGTGACTAGTGGTCCGAGTTGCGGATGCCGTTGGTGGGTTGAAGCATTATGTGGATACTCTGCAAATGAAGAAAAGATTGAATATCACTCCGGGATTCGACGTGTATAAATGTTCACTCACCAAGCATTTAGCACGGCAGCGCAGAGATGAGACCTTGAGTGAAGATCCTGCTGTATCAGGGCCAGTCTATATTACGAAAAGATAGCTGACACAGACCGAGCCTCGTATTCCCAAACAACGCAGCTTGAATGAAAGCATCATACGTTTCAGCGGGGCAAGTGATATCAAATCCTGTTGCGTTTCTCTTCATAGATGGTTCCACATTTATTACGGAATGTGAACAGTGCACCATGGCAAACAGCGGGCTCATCTGCAGGGTAAGTACCGGCCCTGGTGCTTACGTGCGGTCTGAAGTGAGCACATATAGGCCACAACGAAAGGAAGTTGACATCCTTGTACGCGGGAGATACGGACAATAAGGATAGACTGTTTCTGCTTCCGACATCAGCAAACGACTGTACGTCAGAGCTGCAATAGCTACTAATCGCCGGCAGAGGAGAGTGTCGACGTATCATGCCACTTCCTGAGTGGATATATGACATTTGCTCCAAATTAGTTCGAAAGCACAGTTTGAGGCTTGATGGGATTAACGAGCGCAAGCTTCACCACAGGGCGGAGCAGTGTATTTCAGTGACGTATTCATGGGTCCTTGGAGCAGGTCACAGCGAGAGCAGAAAGCAGAATTAATGCACTTACTGAAGACGCGCTAGCATACTCGTCGATCAACGACTCGCTGAGACGCTGTAGTGCAGGCATTGGCAGTAGGGTAAGGTGAGACGTAATGCGGTCAACCGACAACGTCCGTGTCACGGTTCCTGGGACACAGATCGACACCGCGATCACATCCCGCCTACATCCATCCAACCCACTCAGTTGATAGTGCGCACCGCATGAGAGCGACCTAAAGATTAGCGGGCGGTAGAGTGGATACCGTAGTCGATACGAATAGGGTCAGAGACTGGGGAAGAGGATATAAGAGATGCAGAGCAGCCTGAAAAGATTCCCATTCACCTCATTCGGCGGGATACACTTACCCACAACTAACAATGCACTTCACTAAGCTCGCCGGTCTCATTCTCGCTCTCACTGCAACTGTCCTCGTTGCTTCTCCCGTCGCCGAGCCCTGCACTGCCTGCGAGCAGTGCGCATGCTTCGGCATTTGCTCTAGGGAGTTCACTGAGGTCAGTAAATTACATACTACAATCAGAAAGAGTGGATTACATACGCGTTCCACGGCTCGAGCTTAGGGACATTCTGTGCTGAGAAGGCGTGCGAGAGTCCTAGCATCATGAGACAGTGAGTACGGCATCCGTCTTCATTGCGTATGGCCACTGATTGTCGAGCAGGACTTTAGACAAATAAGTAGCTGTTGGAGACGCAAGGATCCATGACAGAGGATGATCGCATAGATATGACTACTGGATGATAAAGGGTGCGCTGAATATGAGCAGAGTTCTGGACTCAGCTTGTGCCAGCTACTCAATGATCACCTCGTATGACCGAGCGGTGGTGAGATTTAGAGCAGCAAGCTTGGCTGTCGTCCCATGACAAGCTCGCCATAAGTTCCTGCAAAAAATCAAGGCGAAAATTAGCCTGTCAGCGGCGGTACCCGGGCGGCGTTTTCATATCGTCGCTGCATTCTGTATACTGGGGATTTAATTGTCCATGTCTTGGTAGAGCACAAAAAACATTTTTACAGAAAAATTCACTTGTGTATTCTGCCTTGAAGAATATGAGAGTGATATCGGCTAAACGAGAAAGCATGCGGGGTGGAAGCAGGATGTGCGAGGGAAAGCGCGCGGGCGTCATAATTTAGGCGTCTAAGCACCCTCTCCACGACCATCACCCATGTCGACCACGCCTGCCCCATCCAAGCCGCTTTCGAGCGAAAATATTGTTGCGCAGAAGGTACGAAGATTTCAACCTGTCATATGTACGCGAGTTGACGCGTTGGCAGTATGACCGCTGCTGTAGGTACCGTCTTTGACGCGTCGTGCGAAGCATGCTAACCGGGTCGCGTGAACTCGGAACGTGGGTTCGGTGTGATTTTCGCATAAAACAGTGGCGGACCTGCTTGTCAAAGCGTACGTTATTGCTCTTTGAAATCATTTCTCGTCTAACAGCTTTCCTTCTATCTGTAGGGGCGTTGGCTTCAGCGTAGGCATCGTCGCCTCGGTCATCCTCTTCAAGCGTGCGTAATTGCTACTTTCCGGCTCGAACCCCACACCTTCGCGGAGAATTTACCAAAAATGCTGTTTAGGTCGCGCATGGCCCATTGCACTTTCGACTGGTTTCGGAGCGGGCGCTGCCTACGCAGACTGCGACCGCTCGTTCAACCCTGCAAGGATACCTGGTGTCCGTGTTATCCCCACCAGTCCTATTCCCTCTGCTACCCCTGCTGCTACTCCCGAGGGTACTCGCGAAGTATAGAAAGGAAAATTGGGCAAATACCGGCCGTTTGAGTGTAGGGGTGGACTAGAGCTAGCGAACGCATGGACTGATTCTCGGACGCAACGTATGTTCTCTCCATTTCTCCGGTCAACACCCACCTGCTCGAAACTTTGAACCGGGCTGGAAAAAAAAAATGCAAACTGCCTGTTTCTGCACCTGCTTGCCATCTCTGACCACAGGCCAGGCTACAATGCTCCAGTCGCCTGTTGAAGTTGACCAAAATAATTCCCACGCCTCGACGGCCAAGTGAACAAGCTATGTTAGTCTTCAGCTTAAGTCTTGTATGTGCCGTTTCCAGATACAGTGTTCACGTGAACGCCAACACGAAGGCGGTCACATTTGAAGCTGCTCTATGAATACGATCATCCTGCTCAAAATCGATGCAACAAGGCGCATACAAGACGGTTTCTGCGTTTTCCCCGCGTCGTGTTAGCGAAATACCACTATTGCTCTTTCGTCGCGTCTCGCGGATGTACTGTCTCAGAGTGAAGCGGTTCAGGGATAACTGGGCTGTGAGCATCTGGATCGTTGCGAGGAAGCGTGCGACGAGGTTTGCCCAGGACAAGACGTTCGTACAAGACATCTGTGTTATCAAAATATGTTAGTACGGTTCTAAGCAATGCAAAATGTATGAAGCGTTAGACACGCTGTCTGCGAAGAAGACTGGACAGCGAAACACGAAGAAAAATCGAAGACTTACATGACACCGCGCCCATGATTGGTACCGTGATGATGATTGTTTGAAGTCTACGAGCCTGAGGTGGTATCTTGGCACCAGCCATGTCGCAGTCGCTGAGAGACGATGACGGGAGGGTTCAGCCCATACGAGCCGCAGTTTGAATGGCAGGCGAAGCCTTTGTGGCGCTGTGATCCGCATGATCCGATTAGTACGAGAACGAAGATAACCGAGTCTCTCCAGCCTGCCACTCCATTTCTATATCTCAGCGGTCTACTCTAAAGCGTTAGATGCCTCTAACACACTTATCAACTACGAGCTATCTGCACAACAATAAATAAAAATTGTGGGCCATCTTCTAGTTTCGCCTTCATCGGTCGTCATCACCCCCTTGCACCGTGACAGGCTCGGGAGTCCCTGCCTGACTTGACGGCGGCCTGGAGAGGCTGCGAGCCACCAAAGATCAATACGCAGCGCCTGCTCTGCCACAGAGGATACGCTTTAACAGCTCGCGTCCTGACGCCGGTCATCGCACGCCGTCGCCGCCGCACAGCGCAAAGGCACAGCGTGCGCGTTTCAGTTGTCGACCAGCGAGTTATTTTAGCATCAAAAACTTCACGATGGTCGGCACAGCCATGGTTCATGGTGCCGCCCGCAGGCAAAGGGAGCAGTAAAATGGTAAAGTAATGACGCATTGGGAGAATTGGGACGCAATATGAGTGAGGCTTCACCAAGACACTGATGCGGTGCCGCAGTCTACGCCCTCGAGCAGCAGGCTATAACCTCGAAGCCGACGTTGTTACACCCTCCGTCACTGCTGGATGAGCAATTCCAATGGTTTCCCTGCGTGTCCACGGCAGCGATGGGACTAGCAGACCCCTAGCTTAAGCCAGACTGCGTCTCAGAGTTACAGTACTCACTTGTGGTTGCTGTCGTAGGTCACAGACCTGCCGTCGTTGTACCCTCCACTGCAATATTGTGTCGAGCTCTTGGTAGAGCCGCTCTCTGCGATGAGCTTACAGTTGTTTGTCATCATAAAACCGCTGTATAGCAGGAACGACCGCCCCGGTATGTCCAGGCCTTGGTACCAAGAGTTTCCTATAGCTGTACAGCGTGTAAGTCCGACGATTGGGGTCCTACAGAGATGACCCATCCTAATTACTCATCTGGCCAGGCTGACATACCGACCCCGCGTATACGGCCGGTGCAGACAAAGACAACAAGAATGAGAGCGCAAGGAGTGAACGAGGGGCGATGAAGTTGAACATGAGCTCCAAGAGAAAGAAAGCGGCGCAGCTAGCTCGTTGAATAGCAAGATACCTGTCCTGCAGGTCAGAAAGAAGAGATGCGATGACTACTTACCGAGTTTCATAGCGAACCAAATACCTACGTTGCTGGGGCTCCTCCCATCAAGGAGCTAGTACTAACCGCGAATAGCGCTAAATAGGTAGACCATCATAACCGAGCATGTTCCGACATCGCAAGAGCGGGTGATGATTGCTGTGTAGTATACTTCATCAGTACAGGTACATCAAATGTCATTTCTCTGATCGTCAAAAATTTAGTGAAACATGCAACAAAAGAGTGACTAGCGACGTGAATGCGAAAGCGACGTGCAGAGCGGTAGGCGATGGTAATAGAATGAGGTCCAAAATGATAAATATAACAGTGAAGACGTATACTATGCGGAGGCCATGCCGATAGCGGCGAGCACTACTGTGCGCTACAAGTTCGTGGGATCAGCAGCATCATAAACGAGGGGAGGATAGCCGCTCACGTCATTAATATTCTGGCTGTGACGGTGGATCCGAAAACCGTCAGATGCACCAGTGTTCGGAGTGTGGATCTCGGACTTTCTTCGAGATACGAACGAGTGAACGTTGCGAGGGTTCTGCATCGTAGCTGAGAGCGATAAAGACCGCTTGTTATGCGTCCTGATCGGGGACCCTCGAAGATCTTCGGGACTGATACCGAGCATTTTGCAGAGCTCTTCTTGCGCCTTCTGCATGGCGCGGGTCTCTGAGTAAGGTGTGAGGGGCGTGTAATCATCCGTCAAGCCTGTGAAAATAATCTAATCAGAACACGGGCGGGATCTGTCAGGGAGCATACGCACCTGCACTTCGACCCGGCAGATCAGAGGTTGACAGTGCGAGCGGAGTGCGTAAGGGGATGGGCGGAACAGGGGGAATGTCCCCAGACGTGGCTCGTATCGACGGCGGTGCGATCGCGCTGTTGCTGGCAACGCGCAGCCGACTCGGAGAACGCAGCCCAGCTCTGCGGACACTGACCTTGCGGGCAATGCTAATCTTGCTGGATCTGCGGCTGCTGGCTGGCGTCAATACACCTTCGTTCATCGCGACCTTCTCGCTGAGGTCGTCCAGCTCACGGGCGGCCTCCTCGGCGTGCCGCCAACCATCATCTCGCTCCGCCTCGAGCGAAGCGACCTGCTGCTGGAGGTGGTCCTTCTCCCTCAGATGCTTGATGAGGGAATTGTTGAGTTTGTGAAGGGCCATCGCCAGGGCACTGCCGAAGTGTATGTCTTGCAGATGGTGCAGCTGGCTGAGCTGATCGGTGACGACATACAGCTCCTCGGAGAGATGGCTCATTTGATCCGACAAATCGGTCAAGTCGTCGACAAGACGCGCAGACACGGCCTGTTCGGCTAGCTCTCCTCCGTCGGCAATGACCCGTAGGGAGTCAAGAAGCATCCTGCGCTTCCGCACTGCGAGCTTGTAGTTCGTCCTGAGCTCAGCACTCAGGACCTCCAGCCGCTGGATGTCCTGTGGAATCTGCTCTTCTAGGACTTCAGTTGAAAGAAGGCGAGTTGAGGATGGGTCGGCAGACTTCTTGATTGCAGCTGAGACAGTTTCTTGCAGTTGCTCGCGGGTCCATGTCCACTGCGCTGCCTCCAACGTGAGTCCGCGGAACTTCACAGGCTGCGTTTGGAAGCGAGGGCTCGATGAGGAGAAGGGAGGGGGCGTGCCCTTGTTGAGGAGATTTGCTGCGTTGCTCGTTGTGGTATTGGCTGGAGGGCTTCCCAACGAAGATGAAACCGAGCCGTTGCGACTCCTGCTTTTACTGAGATGAAATGCAGGACCACTCGGTCTGCGCGGACCAGATGGTGGAGGCGGCCTACTACGAGTGCCATGTACACTGGATGTCGTTCGGCTCATCACAGGAGGCAAAGGTTGGGGCCTTGCCCGCAGAACTCGCTGAACAATTTCAAAGGGTTCCACAGGGATCGAAGGGAGAGCAGATGATGACGAGGCACTCTTATTCTCGGGCAGTTCGTCAGATCTGTTTTCTGTTATCGACGCCAGAGGCTCGTCTGCGACCTTCCCCGACCTTTCTTCCACAAGCTCGTGCTCTGGCTCCGCTGGCGAAAACGACGGAGAAGGAGGCAGAGAGAAAGACGTTGGTGGTGGAGACGGGAGAGAAGGTAATGACCGTTTGGTTAGGACGAGACTCGAAGGCTGTTCAGCAACGGCAACGCTCGGAACTTCAACAGATAATCTTGAGATCGGCCTGCTGCGTGATAGAGGCGCAGGAGAGTGCTCCGGGGTATTGGAGTACAAGGACGGTTGGCTCTTGTGCGAAACAGGTGAATTGCACTCCTCAATCATCGATAATGCATCTGCACTCCCCGGAACTGGCAAGGCGTCGACGGCCTCGTGCAGAGGTGCTAGCGGCACGTCTGACCCGGACGGCGGCGGGGTCATGGGCATCCTGGTGGACAGCTCCGCGCTGACCGGCGAGTTCGCTGCCAATGTATGACGCATCAGAACCTGTCTCCCAATGCCAGACCTGGGGGGCCTGCCGTTTCTCAGAGGCGTGGTTATAGCCCGTTCTGGTGTCCCAGTCCCCCGGGGCAACCGTGGAGTCAAGAACCCAGCAGAGACCAACGGCGTGAATGCGTAGGGTGTTTCCGGGAAGGTCTGTGGCCCTGCTAGCTCTGTTGATGGAGAGCTTGAGCCTTCCGGAAGGAAGTCAAATTGAGGGCTTTCGGGCGGTGGAACGGAGATTGGAGCAGGGGGGCTGAACACTCGCGTCCCGGAGAGGCCACTGCTTCCTTGAACGACCCGAGAGCCGGCGAACATAATGTCGATTAGGTCGGGAGACCGTGGTGAATCGCTCCCGGTGGCAGGCACGACAGACTGTTGCAAGGAGGATGCGATAGAGTACGGCCGGGTTACGGACTCAATGGAGGAACGTGGATGTATGCTCGATGAGGACTGGATATAGTGAGATCGAGGTCGTTCGCCAATAGGAAGAAGGTTTACAGAAGAGCGTGGACCTAAGGCTCTTCGCTGGATCGACTCCGAGTAAGAGCGAGATATCCGCGGTCGAAGGTGGTCCACGGGTATGGCGGCAGATGGCGGTGTGCGCAAAGAACCTAGTGAGAGTTTAAATTCGCACTCGATGCCTACAAGGAAACCACGCACTTTCGGCCGAGGTTGCGCTGTGTGTTAGGGACAGGACGGGGGTATCTTGACGAGGGGTATCTTGAGAAGAGGTAGCAGCCTCAGTAGTAGTCGGGACATCGTCAGGTTGCTGCTCAGATTGAGAATGGTGCCCAGTACCGTGAGCGTCTCCAGCATCGTCTTGTGATACTTCTTGTGATTGGTGTGATTGGTGAACGGCGTTGTCCTCCTGCGGACTGTCGTTTTCCACAATCAACGAACCACGGCTGGCTGAACCAAACGCTGTGTATATGCTCGCAGCACCAGGGGCGGAGCTCGCCTGTGATGTGCTGACTTCCGATATCTTCGAGATCCGACGCCGTTTCATATCCGGAACGTTGCCCAGGACTATGTCTGTGGAGCGCCGCTTCGAACCGCTACTCCGCCTCCATGCGGCAGTCAGTCCAGCAGAACTCTCTTGCGAGCCCTCGCTTGAGTTAGGTGAAGGCTTCCGGCTGCGACTGTGCGGCGATGGTTGGGAGCTCAGCCCTGCCGGAACCGGCGGCACCGGCGGCACATCGCCGTCCTCACCCCAACCATCTCGCTCGTCCGGGCTCATGACGACGATCTGGTCGCCGCTGATACGCCGGTCCCGCCAGTAGGTACTCCCAACTCGGGAGATGGCGGCGAGGCTGCCCTTACTCGATCGCATGCTCGAGCGCAAGCTCTTCCTATTGTAGTAGAATGGCAGTTCTCCGCGCGGAAGCGTAGCAGAGTCTTGGCGCGCGAGATGACCCGGTGTGCGCCCAGAGGACCGACCTCCAGGAGATGGTGCTGAAGTTGGAGAGAGGATATACGAAGAGACGAGAGCGCGCGCCAGTGTCGTCCCAGAGACTGCCGAGGTGAGGTTGTCATCGTAGTCTATGTCCGTGTCGGAGTAGCGCGAGTGCAGCGAGCTTGGTCGGGAGCGAGAGTGAAGCCGAGACCGGGATCGAGTAAAAGAGGTGTACTGCGACAGGGGAGAGAGACTTCCGTCTGTTCGCTTATTCGGGTGGCTCGACTCCAAGGATGCTGCTCGCCGTTGTTGAACCTCAGTTTCAGGTATTGTAACAGGTATCGGAGGCAGTCGTCGTGGCGCATCCTGGGACGGGAAAGATGAGCCAGATATTGCAGAGCAAGGTGAAACGTACCCTGTCCCTCTCGCTTTCAGCCCCCCTGATATTTTTGAAGCTCGAGCTCAGCGGAGATAGGGTCGGCTATAAGGGCGACATATAAACGGAAAGCTCGAACAAAGCTGTAGACGGACTCACGTCTCTTCCCCTTGGAGCTTCGATAACTATCACGTCGTCCTCCGAGAGGTTTCGTACATGACCACGTCCCACCTCCGAATGCGACCCCTCACCTACGGGTGGCGGCATGGGCACAATCTTCGAGCCAGCGTTCGACAGCGATCCGGTGTCTGACTGTCCACTCCCACTCGCAACATGGTTGCCCTCCACGCCCTTGCCCACCGACCGATTCCCTCCTGACTTGACGCTGCTACCCGTCCCAGCTGTTGCGCCCAATGATGCGCCTCTTTCTGGCAGCGGCGCCGGAGAACCCCCTCTCTGTTGCATCAGCTCTGACGCGAGCCAGTCGGACAGCGAGAAACCATCAGTGCCAATGTCAACATTGACTTTAGGCGAGCTGATGCGTTTGCTCGACTCGCTTGGCTGCCCTTCGGCCTGGCGCGCCGATTGCTGATTTAGCGAGGACTGAGACGCTTCGACGAGCGAATAGGGGTTGAAGGGCTTGTCGTTAGTTTCATGTGAGACGAAGGAGCCGGGGGAGGGCGGAGACTGCGCGCGGTGGGCGAGGTGGAACCGGTTCTTAATCCCCTTGCGGAACACCGAGTTGAGGACCGACGACATGGATTTACGTTTGCCTTGGGTACGTCACGAAAACACGACGGAGGGACGGTGTACAGAGAGGGGGTTTTGTTAGCGGCGCAGCGCCCGACGTAACACCAGGCCGTCGAGGGTGATATGAGGATAAGTGGTATACAGACAGCTAGCAGACGAGGTCAAGAGGAAAGAGACAAATTCGACGGTTCCGTCCTGCCTGAACGCTGCAGGGGAGTCGACGATGTTTCGGACGGACGGGAGGCCAGTCCATCATTTATCTGACGCAGTTCAACCGCGCCTACCAACCATCATACTATCACAACGCAGTCCGTTATGCACCGCCCATTCGGATAAGGAGATGCGATGAGTCGACGGGCGGGGTGTAGAACAGCAAAGAAACAGCTGCCGCCAGAGCAGTGCGAGGTGTTTGAGATTGCCAACGCCCAAAGTCGTCCGGGAAATTCGCATAAAATGCGCTGAGAAATGACATGTCCGCTTATCATTTGATGGAGCTTCCTTTCCTGGCCGTCGTCGACCAACTCGACCCTCCAGGACCCTCCTCCCAATGCACCAAGGCTTGTCCCGCTTGCATCTCCGGCTTCATATTCTCGCCTAACTCTGCTGTCGACTTAAAATCGTCGGCTGTGAATCCTGTATCTGAACCCGGCGATCATCTGAAACAAGCACAGACATCAGGTGCAAAAGCGCTACGTCAGCAAGTTACGCATTACGGTGCTTACTGCGCGTCAGGCACGCCTTCAAAGCTTCAACGTTCAATACAATACTTCACAAAACTATGTTGCCGCCGCTCTCCTGGTTCCACAGTCCCGCAGATGGCCTTGATATCGATGTCCTGGATGTTCAGGGCGATGAACTCGGTCAGATTTTAACTCTTTTGCTTATCAAGAGCTGGTCTGTCGAAGGTCTTGTGCAAGCTCCGCTTTCGCATCAAAGGCACTGCTGGTACGGCCCCGATTTGGCCGTCCAACGCGCATGAGAATTGACCCTGCACGGGTGTGTGTCCGCGGATGTATTGTCGGCTTTTGACGTAGCAACCGTCTATCTATGCTCGGGCCGCTTTGCGGCACGGCCACATGACGCATTGTGGTGCTCGTATTCCGAAAGTGATGGGCGTAGGGTCAAACGATTGACCACCATTCACAAAATCGCGCCTCGAGTCTGGATTATGAAAGATTGGTTCAGGGTACAGTCAGTAGCGATTTGGGGGTTGTGGATAGTCCAGCCGGATAAGGCAAAGGGGAGACATGTGTTCAAATTTGAGGTGCTCCTGCTCGGATGTTTTAAAAGAGGCACAAGGAATGCGCTGAAAACTAGGCTGTGCCACCAGGCTGCTATCAGCCAGAATTGGCCCAGCAAGTGCGATTCTCATTAGCCAATAGCTGACGGGTGGGAGAGTAAGTCTTATTAGAGAGCTGAGTGCCGCAGTGTCTTATAGTACTGGTTGTGTCCGGTCCTCCACGGATCTAGACTGGATCTTCTGGGCTGAACTTTCTGCGTCGGCTACTTGCTTGGATGGCTCAGCCCACCGATATAGATGAGATAAACCCATGTAGTCCCACTGCTCCAAGGACACGAGTAGGGCAAGCGTTGACGTTGATGTATCACTTCCCATGGGCCATGTGCACTTCGAAATGGAGCGTTTGAGAGTTGGGCTAACAAACGCCGCCCCTCCTCCTTTAGGATCAAACGCTTCGTGGCGCCCACGTGGTGATCCGCGTCCGTAGCGCGGAACGGAGCTCATCGGACTCCGTTCACCCACTTCTTGATCGATTCAGCGTGTAGTGTACGTTGGAAATACAGTAGTGGGGTCGTTCACATAATACGTATAAACACGTGTAGTAGTGTACAACATGTGACATTACGTTTGCATTTCGAGAGTTGGTATATGCTGGACGGGTATATTGGCTTTCGATTATAGATACCACCGTAGGTGTGACCGATAATGTAGAAGCGTGCATCACGAAGTCGTTAAAAGTCATCACTGTCACACCACACTCCGTTCGGGTTTATCCAAGCGAAGTCGTCGAATTCCGGCTCATCGGGGTTCGTGGGCTTTACGACGGCACGGCAGAGCGGCATGTGCTCGACGGCGGCGTCTGGGTGACGCGGAGCGAGGCTGGTGCCTACGCCAAAGGGTCAGCTGACAGAGCCATAGAGTTTGGGAGATGGGCTCGCCTTTTGTTTCGGGTATTAGTGGGAAAGACATTACCTCGTCGAAAACACTCTTCTTCGTTCGCAGATCGCGGAAGTACGGATGGCGTAGGAGGTCATCGAGCTTGTATCGCTTTTCAGGATCGCAATCCAGCAGCTAGAGGTGGCGTTAGTTGAGTTTGGCACAACACACGAGAGCGTACACGCACCCCGCCCATAACATCTGCCGCCTCCTTGGAGAGGTAGGATACGCGCGACTTGATCCAAGTCGCGGCATCCCTTCCACTAGCTTGATACTTTCGCAGACCGTCCACCGTACGATTATCAGGGAAGAGGAACTATCATGGCGCGCATTAGACCACGCGTAGAGCTAAGCAACAAGAGCAAAGCGTACCTGGTCCCCCACATGTAGGTCATACATCGTGCATCCCAACGCCCACCAGTCGACCATGGGCCCATACCACTGATCCCTTGTCCTAATTTCCGGCGCCATGTACGCCTCAGTGCCGACATGCGCAATGGCATACAGACGCTTCGGATCCAGGGCCTTGCCTGGCTCAACGTCGTACGAGTTCGACCATTCCTCCGGAGAGTCGCCAGGGGCCAACCAAGCATTGGAGAAGTCCCCGATACGAATACGGAGCGAAGATGTGCCCGGGACAATGAAAATGTTCTCGGGCTTGATATCCCGATGGATAATGCCCATGCCGTGCAGCGCGTCAATACCCAATGCCTGTGGCCCCATTCAGTCTTGCGAGCTAGCAACGATGAAAGGGAACGTACGATCTGGGCAATCCACCACGAAACAAGTTTGGGCGGATTCGTCACATCGATGAAGGAGAATAAGTCCGTCTGCATGACGTCCTATGGGCCACGGTCAGTGACGCGCTCAGACGCAGGCAATAGCCAGCACGTACCATGGCAAAGATAACTTCCTTCGAAGTCTGCAGCACGCCGTGTATGTCCATAATCCACTTCTTCGCGCAGGGTTCCGCCAATGCGATCCGTTTGTAAGCCAGCAGCTCGGCGGTCATGCCGCGCAGATGTTCTTCGCGACCCCTGATGGGCTTCTTCGCCGAGACTTTCGTGCAAAGAACGTGACCTGTTGATACTTCGAGCGAGATGTACGCAGTGCCGAAGCTGCCCTTGTTCAGCATCCGAAGGTACTGGAACGGTCCAACCTGACTCGACGATCGCGGAATCAGGTCTGCGAACGCGGCCGTCCGCACGGAGATGAACTTCCTGGGAGAGCATGGGGCAGACTTCAAGCTGTACGCGGGCGATCCTCCAGAGAGCGAGAGGGACCCGAGCCCTAGATCGTCTGAGATCTTGACACTGGGGGATATTGGCGTTGGCGCGAATACGCCGGATTTCCGAGGTGACAGTAGCCTAACGGCAAATCGCGGCGTGGTAGGTTCAGAAGGGTCCTCGGAAGACGTGTCGGATCCAGAGAAGAAGTCGAGGTCATCGGGGCCAGACTCTGACGGGCTGAGACACGTCGAGCTGAGATGGGAAGAGCCTGCCCGTACGGGATGTACCTGAGGGGGAGGGATCGATATCTTGAGTGGTGCGCGAAGGCCATCGGGCTTGGTGAAGACGCATTTACCACCTCTTCGCGTCGGTGTTGTGTGGGTGGTCCCGGTCCCGGCGCTTGACGGAGCAGCCCCGAAGACATTTGGAGAAGGGTTGACGGGAGGCATCGTATGCGATGAGGTGGATTTGCCTGTGGGCGGTGTGGTGGGATAGGTCACCGTCAGTGTAGACATGCCAGGGTGGGGCGGGAGAAGGGGAACGCCAACGTGGAAGGGTTTAAAAGGGAGAGCTCGGTTGGCCATGGATCATTTGTTGGATTGTGGCCGCCACAAAGTTCACGCCCGAAAAGCTTCAGGTGATGACGGCTCCGCTCGCGCTTGTTCGCTTAGCTTTGCACAGCAGAAGTTGCCTTGAAAATCGCCAATCGCGCGATCGCCCAAAGGAAAGACCGACCCGCCTCTCCACGAGGTACCTATAGATCCGACGAACAAGCATGCTAAGACCTGCCAATGGGTGATGGCTGAGTGAGACGTCCCTGATCTTGCCGTGGACGTAGCAGGGGCTCCGATGGGAATGTGAGGAGAAAACCCGGGGTAGAAGAGCCAGGTAGCAAGAAGATCGCCAGGTATAGCGCAAACAGGAAGGGTATATGCGTAGATCCGGGGCGCATCCAGCGAAATGAGGAGGCGGCTGACTGTTCCGTAGGATCATCGCAGTCGTCGGCGTCGAATCAAGTTGCGCACGCTGAAGCACGATAAGCAGCGACTCGTCGTCGTCGACAGTAAACGTTTACACCACGAGCTACCAGCCACGCAGGATTACAGTCAGCTAGAACTGAGTATCACAACAGAAGTCCGCTAGCTGCGTCAAAAACTCTTTAATCGATTTGTTCCGTGTTTCAGGCATCGTCGACGTTGCAGGCCAAGAGAGTCAGACGCCCACCGTGGCGGGTGTGACACCATCAAAGACATTACGTCACAAAGATCACGACCGTTACCACGTGACAGACGCGTGCAATGGCGTGTCACGCCCTTCGCGAGTGCGCGCGAAATTCCGCGCACGATCTCGCCCATAACCTTGACGATGTCCGACGCCGAAACGTCGACAGCGCCTCGGCGCTCACAACGCGAACGAAAGCAAGCAACACACTTTATCTCTAGTGCGTGTCAACCTCACAAACACCGCCCCCCCGTCGCGTGACGCTCGTTCCCATAGTCGACAGCACTCAGCTTAGCCAGAAGAGAAAGCGTTCCGTCGTTGACTCTGATAGTGAACGCGGCGAGGAAGGTACACCAGAACCTGAAGACGAAGATGCAGATGTCGAAGAAGACTACACTGCTCCAAAGTCGAGCCAACCGAAGAAAAAGGTCGCTGAGAAAGCTCCTGCTGCTGCCGCGGACGCGAAGCCTGCGCCAAAGAAACGGGGTCGTCCCCCAGGAACGGGAAAGCCTCGCGCGTTAAAAACGACTGCGACGGCTACCACCAAGACTAGGAGAGGCCGCCCCCGCAAGGGTGCTGCTGAGTTCGATGCTGAGCAGGTGGCAAAGGAGACCAACATTTCCAACGATAACCCCCTTTTCAGTGAGTGGCCCTCTATGATACGCGACCTCTTTTAATATTCTCTAGATGCTGTTATGAACCCTGGCGCTGCGCTGCAGTCGGCAGCCGAAGACTTCCTCGAGTCCATGTCGCATACACCCGACGCGTCCCAAGCCGAGCTCGTCAACTGCATTCTACGCGCCTGCGGCTGCAACCATACGTACAGCGCGGAACAAGTTCTAGACTACGATGGTGTTGTCAGTGCCCTCGATGACCTTACTGAAGAATTGAAGCAGGAGGATGAGCACGTGTATCCGCTCACGTCGAAACTGCCCGCATTCAAGCCCTTCCGCTCGAGTATTGCCGAACTCATCTCTCGGCTCATAACTTCTGCAGCCGCACTCGGTCATCTGTACAATACCGACCTCATTCCGACCCTCACGACCTGGGTCAACCCGATGAGCAGTAGTCACATGCGCAGCTTCCGGCATACAGCAACCGTTATCGCTCTCGACGTGGCAACCGCCTTGTCACAGGTTGCCGCGACTGTTGAAAAGGAAGCTGAAGTAGTCAGCAGGCAGAAAGAGGGTGAACGTAAGCGCAAGAAGGGCAAGGGCGAGCCGGCGACGGCGCGAGAGAAGGAGCTAGAGAGCAAGGCCCGTGAGATCAGGACGCGACGAGAGAAGCTGGGGGAATTCATTAAAGAGTTTGTCTATGGGTATGTAGCATTTCTTCGTGCCTATGCGTGGTGATTAACTTGTCTTTAGCGTGTTTGTACATCGATACCGCGATCTCGATCCAAACATCCGCACAGAATGTGTACGCGCGATGGGCCTCTGGTTCTCCAAGCATCCCGCGCACTTCATCGACGGCGAATACCTGCGCTACGTTGGCTGGGTGCTCTCCGATGCGAACACGCACGTCCGCCTGGAAGCTGTTCGAGCTCTTGCTTCGGCGTACGCGCAGACGGAATACATCGGTGTCAGCGCTCTTCAGCACTTCACTGAACGGTTCAAGCCACGACTCGTCGAAATGGCGATGAGTGACACGGAGCTGAGCGTCCGCGTCGCAGTCGTGCAGATCCTACAGGCCATCGACGAGCATGGCTTGCTTGAGGACGAGCAACGCGAGAAGCTCTGCCTCCTGGTCTTTGACGAGGAGAATAAGATGCGTAGGGCCGTTGGCCGGTTCGTTAAGGGCGTATGGAATGAGAGTGTCGAGGAACGCTTGGTCGGCCGCAAGCCGACCGCGACGGAGAAGAAACGGGCGGGCGTCAAGGCCTTTGCCATGCTGCTGGTGCAGTGGGGTAGAGCTCTCGACAAAGGCAGGGGCATCCGCGACGAAGAGGATGAAGAAGATGGCGACCAGTCTGAGGGCTCGTCGAGGCAGGCGCGTCGCAAGGAGGTCGCGACCCTCATTGGCGCAGAACAGAAGTCCCGGACAGCCTTGGCCGTCGAGGCACTCTGGGACGACGTTGAACCCGTCAGCGATTGGGAAACGCTGCTCGATATACTGCTTTTGGATCATTCGGCAGAAATCACAGCGAATAGCAAGTCAAGAAAGGGCAAAAAGGTCTCCGATGACAGTGGCGTCGACGAGGTTTGGAGGCTAGAGGAGATAGAGGAAGGAGTCTTGCTCGAGGTTCTACTTGCATCTCTGAGGAAGACCCAAGCAGAGGCTGCTGGCGGCAAAAAGGCGGGTCGTTCTCAGAGGTCTATGCTATATCCGTCGCTCATGCATAGTCTTTAGGGAGAGGGAGAGACCGTCTCTTCCGATATCACCCGTGCTCTGATCAAAGGGCTTCCCAGACTGTTTGTGAAATACCAGACAGACGCAGGTCGGATGTCCGACGTTCTCTTACTGCCGCAGTTGCTGAACCTGGATATGTATCTTGAGATGCGCATGATCACGGTACGAACTTTCGCTCCTGAGTGGTTATATGCGCTCACTCCCACATCATTTTAGGCCTACTCGAGCCTTTGGGACGACGTTATCAAGCTGTTCCTTTCTCATTCTGCTCCGATCGTGTTGACCAGCGCTGTCGCTACCATTCGATATATGATGAACGCGACGAGCCTGTCTAACACGAACAGCACGAAGATTCTTGAACTTGAGGAAGAGCTGTCAACTACTCTACGCGACACAATTAAGGGTCGCGACGAGCTTGAACTCGCGTCGTTCAGTGAAGACGAAGTCATCTCGCTTGCTGCGATTTGCTCCCGCTTGGCAACGTTGGCGGGGACGCGGGATATGACAGCATGGATGGAGGAGGATGAGGGCGGTAAGCAAAGCAGTGCTTGGGATATTGTTAACGCCTTGGCCGAACGCGGGAGACTGGGTTACAAAGAGGAAGAATCGGTATGCATTTGAGTTGATCGAACTACACGGACAAGCTAATGCCTCTCTAGATGGTAGACCAAGCACTGAGCTTGCTGACGTTATACATAATCTGGAAGGCAAGAGGCTTATCAAATACCAGTGAGCCATCTCCTGAAGAAGCACGCTTGAGGGAACGTCTGAAGGAGTGTAGAGATGCACTCCTCGAAAAGTTGCTCGAGTTCGCTATCGGCACACAGTCAAATACTTCGGATGGTGTTAAACGGGCAGTGAGTGCGCTAAGTCGCTTCCTCTACATCGCGGCTGATATGTACGAATCGTAGGCTTTCCAAAACCTTATGAACCTGCATATTTTGTTTGCGCCAGTACAGGCTGCGGATGATGCCCCAGTACCATCAACAGCGGTAATGCCGTTGACCCTCGACGAGGAGACCCAGTATCGCTGTGCTGGATTCATCCAGGCCGAGATCGAGCGTTACGCCGAAGATATCGAAGAACTGTCGCCTCCGCCTTCGGAAGGCAGCGATGATGAGGGCGAGAAGTCTGGCGAAGAAGAACCGGCGATCAGCAAGGGCAAGAAGGGCAAGAAGGGCTTGCCGAACGGGTCGACTCGTAAGTTCACGCGGCTCAAAGTTGTGTCGAGATACTCAATTCGAACGGCAGCATCCGAGACGCGATCGTCGCTCGAGCGCGAGTACGTCTTCATGGGCGTCATAACAACCTTTCTGCGTGCCGTCAGGGCAGGCGTGATACACTTCCAGCACTCTGCTACCTTACTCGCACACTATGGAAGGCTCGGGCCATCGTTTGACCTTTGCGCCAAGGTGATCCTCGACATACTCCGGGAAGAAGGGCTGTACAAGAACGGCGGCAGCGACGTTGTTGCTATCATCAGCCACGCTCTTCGCGACGTATGTCACTACAACGACTTCTACGGTCTTCTCAGCTGATTAATCTATGTAGGCCTTCCAACTTTACATGGAAGGAGTCGTCCGTACCGAAGAGCATGCTGTAGCCCTCGCCAAGCTGCTCGCCGGCGCGTTCTTGATCCGTGGCGCTCAGCTAACTGTCGTGCGCCGCATTGAGAGCCAACACGTCGTCAATCTACACACGTCCTCCATTTCATGGATCTGGAAGCGCATCGCGCAGCACGATACTGGCAACAAGAAGACTCGGAATAAGAGCATCGTCTTCTTCAAGCTGCTAGTTCCTCTACTGACGACAATTGACTCTCGGGACTCCTTGGCCATGTGAGTACAACTGATACCTGTGCAGGACGCCGTGATGGCTGACGGACTGTGCAGCAAAGCGCACCTTGACCAGATTGTCGCTCAAGCAAAGATCGAGATACCTGCCACCTCGAAAGTCTGGGATCCCTATCGCGCCTACGAAAAGAAGCTAACAGCTTCCAAAGAAAAGGGTAAGTAGACCGTCTCCTTTTCGAGAGATAAGGTTACTCATCGCTTTCCAGGCGCCAAGAGCGGAAAAGCGGCGAAAAAAGGCGCTAAAGCGTCTGAGATGACCACGACAGACGAGGAAGTCGAGGAGGTGGAAGAGCCCGCGGACACAGGCGACGACGCTCCCGCAGCAGCAGCCCGCGGCAAGCCAAGACCGAAACCGCGCGGACGGCGCCGCCAGGCGTCTGCGCCCGCCTCTGACCGCGAAGACGAAGAGAACGCCGCGGAGCAGCCCGTGACGCCGAAGGCGAAACCGCGTCCGCGGCCGGTGCGCAAGGTCGCGGCGGCGAAGGCGGAGGCGACTCCGCAGCAGCAGCAGCAGCAGCAGGCCTCGAGCCGCTCGCCCTCACCGATGGCGTCTCCACAGATGCCGTCGCCGTCGCCGAGCACGCCCAAGTCAGCGGCGCTGTCGGAGCCGTCGACGACGCCTGAGCCGCACGAGCCCGAGGAGGAAGAGGAGGAAGAGGAGGACCGGGAGGCGACACCGACTGCGCGGCGCAAGCGTGCGCGTTCGGAGGAGGAGGAGGAGGAGGAGGCGGAAGCGGAGGAGGCCGAGGGCTCGTCTGAGGGCCCGAGTGCGTCGCAGGAGACGCAAACGGGCGCGATGCAGGTGAAGAGGAAGCGGGTCCGCCATTGATCGATGCCATCTTTCCCTCGCCGGGAGCCCCTCTCTCTGTGCTACAATCTTGTTCGCTGCCAATGTGCATCTTTCATCTTGTTCTGCTTATATGTTGTGCAAGATACGTTATGTTATAAGCTATCCCGCAATGCCACTCGGCTGGAGACGGAAACATGTCGCCGGCATGTAGAACGAGAAGGGGCCAACGATGCGGCGCGCGCAATATGCAATGAAGAAATCCGGGTGGATGTATATGTATGATACAACCGTACAAGTCTAGGTACACATGAAGAGATAGAGGGAGGAAGAAATCAGGCCACATCCAGTCGAGCTTTTAACCTCGTAATTGTCGAATAAGGAGGATGATGGTACAGTGCCAATGGTGAAGGGAAGCGGAGAGGCCAGGTTTCCGACAAAGCGACTGCGAGGATGAATGGAAAGCAAATTCCGACACGAGAGAGAGAAGATTGAGAGTGCACCGGAGGTGTTGAGAGAACCGGAGAGAGAGAGAGAATATCCAACGGGGTGACACGTGTGGGGCGACCGAAAACAAATCGTCAAACGAAGAAAGGCTTGGCACGATGCGATGGTTTGGATATCAGGTGGGCGGGCGCGAGTGCGAATGTGGGTGTGTGGATCGCAATCGATGTTAGGTGTGGTAAGTCATGAACGCCGATATGAAAGCTTTAAGGAGTGGGCGGGGGTAAAGGAACGGATGATATGTAAAGAGCGTGTGGCGCGTCGGGCGCGGAGATGCAGAAAGAAAAGAAAAAGAAAGATGCCAAGAAATTCGGAAGAAAAAAAAATAGGCGAGCCACGGCAGCTCAGTGGTGCTCCCCGCCAAACGCGCGGAGCTTCCGCAGGACGTCGTCCATGTCCGCCTCCTCGGCGGTGCGCGAGCGATCGAGCACTTGCCCGATCGAGGGTGACATGCCGAGCTTGAGGTTGCTCGCGTACGTGTGCGCGGCCTGCATGAGCGACGACGCGCTCATGCGCTTGAGCGCGCGCGACGTGCGACGGTCGCGCTTCTCGGACCCGTCGTCGCCGTCGTCGCCGGCGCCGTCTCCCTGTTGCGGCGCGCCGGCGACCTCGGGGATCGCGGAAAGCGTGCTCGACTGCGAGGACGCGCTCGCAGAGGCAGTCAGCGACGGCACAGAGGCGCTGGACATGACGTCCGTCATGGACATGTCGGACGAGCAGGAGCCGGGCATGGCGGGGATGTCGAAGCCGAGACCGCCCGGCGGCGGGAGCACGGGCGAGCTCGTCCGCTTCGCGTGCCTCGCCGCGTGCGGCTCGCGGTCGGGCACCGTGTTCGAGCGGCGCAGGCTCGCGAGGGAGTTCGGCGACCCGGACCGCTCGCCCTCCGCGGGCTCGATGCGCGGCGTGTAGGCCTGGCTCGGCGCGATCAGGTCGCTCACTTGCTCCTGCACCTCGAGCACGCCGTCTTCGGTGCTCTCGCGCGGTGAGTCCGCGCCAGTGACGGAGCCGTCCGCGCGGTGGCACAGGCCGGTGCTCGTTCGCGACCGTGAGGTCGAGGTGGCGACACTGGCCTCGGAGCACTCCGAGCCCGACCGGAAGCGGCCGATCTTCAGCTGCTCGTCCAGGGTCAGCATGCTCGTGGACGCCTCGCCGCCGCCCTGGGAGTTCGCGTTCAAGACGAGCCACCGCAGCCCCTTGATCTCCCTGTCCCGCTTGCGTGCCTCCCGCTCGAGCCGGTCGATGCGCCTGAGGAGCTCGGCCTTCTCGGCGGCATGTTTCTCCTGCAGGACGCGGACATACGCGTCATGCGCGCCGCGGAATGACTGGCTCTGCGCGTCGTCCCGTGTGGGCGTGGGCGTTGACGTTTTCTGCGAGCCGTCTGAGCCCTCGGACGGCGGGCGGGACGGCACCAGCAGGGATCCGCCCTCGGCGTCCGTCGGGGTCTGCGTACCTGATCGCGATTGATCGAGGCGGACGGCCGATAGGTTCGGACGCATGTAGCGCATGCGGGCACGGTCCGAATCCTCGCCGCCGCTCGAGAGTCCGCTGGAGACGATCGACGCCGGCTTGCTGATCGAGCCGACGATCGTGTGCGCCCGGATGCGGGACGCGCTCTGAATGCTTTTCCGGCTCGCGAGCGACCCGATGCGCGTGCTCGTGTCGGTGCTCCATCCGCCAAGCCGTGTGCTTGCGTCAGTGCTCCAGCCTTCGGCATCCGAGCTGTGCGGAAAGGTCGCGCTTGTTGGTGGAGACGGCAGCGGCGCCACCGGTGGAGGGCTTGCAGGGGATGACGACCGTGTCGATCGGATGGAGCGCAGTCGTGAAGGAGAAATTGATGGTTTTCCCGCGCCGCTAGGGCTTGAAGGCGATGATGGGACCTTTACCGTTTGCGATGAGTTCGATCGGGGTCTGTTCGCAGCTGGAGGCAATATCAGAGACGCTGGTCGCCCCGGCCGTGCGGGCGCGGAGCGGGTGCTGGCATGTGTAAGTTCGCCCTCGGAGGCGTCACTCGTGGTTGCACTCCGATACGACTTAGCAACCGGTGTTTTAGCTGGTCGCTCAAACAGCTCTGCGAGAGCTGATGCGGGTTTCTCGGTCGTTCGCGACAATGCAACCTTCGTCGACGGTGGAATAGGAAATTCCATCTTCGCAGGCAGCATAGGGCTTAGCGTAGGCGTCGGACTCGGGCTGCCCTTCGACGGACTCGCAGGCTCGTGCGCTTTGCCTTTCGCCGGAGTTGCCGAATTCCTGCGCTCTAGCTTGGAAGACTGGTCTTTCTTGGGTGAGTGTCCAAAGCCGAACCTAGAGACGCGAGATTTGCTTGCTGAGGGTGGTACGGGTGCGGTGCGAGGGGCGTTATAACTGTTGGCGTCATCCCCAGCCTCGTAAGGGGCAGACACCGTAATGACTGGCTTAGCTTTCGCTTTGCCATCCCCACCATTTAGCATCTCCATGTTAGTTGCGGTGGCCTTGTGGGTGAAGTCAAAGGGCCTTGAAACTTCAAAAGAGACCGATTTCTGTGGCCGAAGTATCCGTAATGGACCGCCCTTCGAAGACGATGCCGTGGGCTTCTCTGAATCCGTTGACGATGGTTTGAGAAAGGAGTGCGAAAGCGTGGCCTCGTACGCAGCCGTCGAGGATCGGGCCGTAATAGGAGGCGAGGGAGACGGTGAAAAAGGCGCGCCAAACGACGGAGGGGATACATTCAGCGGCGGGAGCGAAGACGGCAGCGAAGACGGCGGCGAGGAACCCGAAGGTGCGGGAATGCGGCTGGTGAACGGAGTCAGTTACGATTTTATGAGCGACTCGCTGGTGAAAAGCGCGAAAAAGGCCAATAGTCTGACTATATGCGGGTAATTCATGCTCGAAACGAGCTGCAAGCCACGAGGAATAGAGTCCGTGTCTCTGAGAATCAAACAGCGTCGCACAGACTCGTTGCATGCACGACGCGAGACTATTTTTGATGTCGACGAAGACACGGGTGTTCAACTTGCATAACGATACTGAAACGCGTCAAAAGCTATGGAGACTGCGCTCACCTTTTGAGCAAAGCCTCGGGCACAGCAGGATGAGACTCCTCATCGTCTTTGTGGTCGTGCGCAAGACCGCCGCTTTTGCGCTTACGGCTGAGAAGATCGGCAAGCTTGCGCCTATTTTTCGTCGGGGTGGTGGGTTCGGTGGCAGGAATGGCGGGCACAGGCGGTACCAGAGCATCCGACGACTGGTGCTTCTGGCTGCCACGTATTAGGTCTTGAATGTCTGAAGTTTTGGAACGCAGACGGCTAGGAGACCGACCAGGACCCATGGCCGGTGAAAGTGTATGTCGTGAAGGAGAGTTCTAGAGAGCGTGTTGGGTGGAAAGGAAAGCTGAGTGGGTGGAAAGGAAGGTCGTTGCGCGTGCTAAGCCGTTGCAGAGTCGTGTCCAAGGTCGCGTCTTGGTCGTTCCGACGGCTGGAGGGGTGTGCTGCACGGGGATGTGGTAGGAGGAGAAGATGAGTTCAAAACTTTGCGGTCTGGCTGGGCATGATCAGGGCTCGGCAGCCGTTGGCGCGAGTGGGGAAGAGAACGAGGACTGGGAGGTTCGACTGGCCAGATTCGCGCCCATAACATGCTCTCGCCTCCCGAGCGGGAGCTCCGAGCAGAAGCCTGTCACGCCGGACAATTGGACCCCAAATTCTAATCACCGATTCACCACATCTGCCACAAATATACAAATCGGGCAAATCTGTGTGCAGATCCGTCGTCCAAATTTTCCTTCAATCTCCTCTCGATCTCGCTTTTGGAACAAATCTACCCAGGCGCGGCCCTCTCCTCGAGCACTGCAGTCTCCTCGCTGTCCACGTCGTCCTCGACGCTGTTCGTCCTCTCCCCGCACACAGTCCGCTCGACTTGGGCACGACTCTGGCTCTCGTCGGCATGGATACGGCGCTGGGGGATCTCGATTTCTCCCGCGAGAACTTCTCGGCATCCAGACCGTCGGCGCCCCCATCAACATCCTCGCCAACAAACCGTTTCAGCGGCTTGCCACGAGGCTACTCAACGCCTTCAGTGACACCGCGAGGCCACAGCGGGTCTTGGACGCTGTCCAGCGCGCCGCTCCTGCCTGTGGCCAAGGCCGTCCGCGAGGAGCTCACTGTACAACAGCCGTAAGCTAGCTATCTTCTCGCATTCCCAGACTTATAGTTCAGCATCATGCGACCACCAGGAGCGAAGCTCGGCGCCGGCCGAGGGCGCCATGAACGCCGCCACAGGGATGTCTACTCTATTCTTTTGTTGTACGTCCGCATGCCGTCAACTGCGTACCCCCGGAGGGAAACGTGCTAGATTGCTTTAGCACACGATCGACCGTGGTATGACGGCCACAATAAGGGATGCAAGCAGACCCATCAGAACGAATGCCCTACAGTCCACCCATGCCGCGTGTATACGTTTAAGCACCACCAGAATGCGTCGTCCACCGCGAGAAGGCTAGAGGTTGTAGTCCAGACTGCGAAGCATATCAGTGAAAATCGAGGTCAACGAGAGAGGGGACCGCCCGGGACCGCATGTCTGGGCCCGGGGCTTATTCAACGGTCGCACAAGGATCGGAACGCCGCGGCCGGGAGACGCACGGGGGGAACCTTGTCATTAAGGTACTCGCGCGGAGATTGGCTGTCGTGCAAATACTTACACAGGGCCGTGCGCCCCGTCGCACCTTGTCCTCGCGTAACGACAGCGAGTACCTGCGAATTCGATTCCCCAGGGTATACGTACAGACTGCGCTGCTGACAGCTATTTTGGCACGGTGACGCCCGTGTGTGAACAAAGTCCAGCCCAGTCCACCCAATCTCAACGGCTACACATGGGCGCAAAGCACACGGCTCACACTGGGTAAAGCTTGGTGCTCGCTCATGGCAGGCCGACGAAAGCGTGGCGCTGTACACGCTTCACGCGCAAATTGGCGTTTGCGTTGCACACCCGCACGCCGCACACTCATGATCGCCGCATCGTGACGTTAACACGCCAGATGGCCAGAAGGTGTGGAAAGGCCTCCCGTGGCGCCAAAGCACAGACCGGACCCGCTCAAGTCGCCGCCCCACCTCGCAGGCGAGAGCGCGAAAACGCACTGATCTGCGATGGCACGTAACGGTGAGAGCAGGAGCGCGGGCTTGTCGGTCGTGCAAATGTGGTACAAGGGAAACGACAGGGTCGTATGGTGAAGTCACCACCCTCAAAAGCTTGCTACAAGGCAAAACCAATTGTATGATGTGCGAAGGGTGATCTGCATATTTAGCGAACTTTAGACAGCGGTCGTTGACCCTGATCGCAGGGCTGCGCTTCCTTTGTCGCACAAATTATTCCAGCGGCCTCTTGATGGCCAGACCTGCACTACAACCATCCATCAGGATATATCCGCAGTTTATGGTGCTGGCTAGCAGGATCTGTCGGACGTCGACGGGACGGGTCTGGTGCAACGCCGCCACGGCGCGAGCTAAACGCGCTCAGTCGGGCGGATCCCGACGCCGGCCGCTCGCCGCCTTGTTTCGCTTCTCAGCCAAACCCAAAAATTGCTTATATTGAGGAACAGAATGCATAATCAGGCCCAGGTGGGGATATCCGCGAGGAACAACGGAGGAGCGTGGCGGGTTTCTATGCCAGGATACACAAACTTACTCGTCTCATTAACCTTATGCTCAACAAAGGCATCCCCAAACGAACCTCGTGCGTTCCATACCTGTAAAGATGAAAATACTGACAATATCTGAAAGGAGAAAAAACCTGGACACAGCCGTCCATGATATCCGCGCTAACCATCCTGGCATGCACAATTCTGAAAGAAAGAGGGGCGCCTGCAATTTTTCCAAACCAAGCATCTTCTTCTCACGCCTTTTTTCCATGTCCAAGACGCCGCGCTGTGCAGGGAAAACCGGGCTCGACCTCTTGCCGTCCACGGACCACGACAAAAATGCCCGACATCTCCGTCGGCGCGCAGATTTTCGACATCGCCTTCCACCCGACCGCGCCCGTGGCGTACGCGGGGCTGCTCACGGGCGAGGTCGCGGCGTACGGGTACGACGACGAGGGTCAGGATGCGCCCGCACGCAGGTTCCGCGTACGCCCCAGCAAGCGGTCCTGCCGCGGTCTCGCGATGAGCGAGGACGGGTCTCAGTTGTGGGCGGTCGGCAAATCCAAGGCGATCTAGTGCGTGTTCCGTTTTTTTTGTGGGACATGGGTGGGAGCTGAGGTGAGACAGTACGGTTGACACCGCTCTGGGAGAGGTCAGCGAGACTCGCAAGGCGGCGCACGAGTGAGTTTGAGAGTTCGACGGTCTGGTGGACGTGTATTGACTGAGGCAGTGTTTGCAAGCGTAGCTATCAATCGTGTGAAGCGCGTTATGCCGAATATGCTTGCGACGGGAGATGACGACGGTGTGGTGAAGGTGCGGAGTCCGCTATTTGACCTTATACACTGGACACTAACTCTGGTCAAAGCTCTGGGATCCCAGAAAAGCTGACGTCATACGGACGTACACCCACCACTTTGATTTCATCTCCGACTTCCTGTGGCTAGAGGACAAGAAGCACCTCGTCTGCACCAGGTCAGTATCCTGGCTTCTCGGTCATTCCGAGCTTTCAGCTGACATATCCGTCAGCGGAGACGGTACACTATCAGTGATTGATGTCCGGGCGAAGAAGGCTGAGCCGTTTGCACGGTCCGAAGACCAGGAGGACGAGCTGCTGTCCGTGGTGGCCATCAAAGGGTACGTGCACGCGCCTCAAACCAGGCCCTACCGCCGACTGACCCCGGCATAGAGGCCAGAAACTCGTGATCGGTACCCAGCTCGGCATCCTGTCCGTCTTCAACCGCCGCAGCGGCTACGGCGACTGCGTCGACCGCATCCCTGGACACCCGCACTCCATCGACGCCCTTTGCAACATCCCCTCACACTACCCAGACGCCCAGTCGACGGTTCTCACCGGCTCCTCCGACGGCTTCCTGCGCGCGGTGCAGATATTGCCGACGAAGTTGCTTGGGGTCGTAGCGGATCACGGGACCTTCCCCGTCGAGCGAATAGCCGTCGACCGCCGTGGCGAGGGAAGATGGATCGCGAGTTCGGGGCATGATGAGGTCTTGAAGTTGACGGACTTGAGGGAGGTGTTTGAGGACGATGGCGACGAGGAAGATAATGAAGGTGAAGGTGGAGAAGATGGCGAGGAAGATGGCGAGGTCGAGGCGCAAAGTAATGACGCTGAGGAAGAAGAAGAGGCAGAGACGCAAGGAGAGAAGGGAAAGAAGGTTTCGGACAGTGAGGAAGAACCGGAAGCAGGTTTGCAGGTGGCGGAGGACTCTAGTGACGACGAGGCTTTCAAGGAGAAGAAGAGGAAGAGGAAGAAGGAGAAGGACCCGTTTCGAGCAGCGAAGAAAACAAAGGGCAAGAACGAAATTGAAGCCGACGCTTCATTTTTTGCTGACCTGTAACCCCTCTGTGCATGCCTACTTGCTACTAGTGCTCTGTATCTGGAACCGTGATGATGTGCACGACCCCGCACTCTGGGCGTCTAATATAAACTTGCTCTTTCCCCGCATCCTCGAAGACAGTCTTTACGCGTGCGCTGTCTGCACCCATGTCTTCGCGCATCGAGACGGAGACATGGCCCACCGTGTCCATTCATTATATGGAATGCTGGCCGCAGCCTAGACCATAAAAGAGATACTTCGTGTGCTCAACTGACCCTGGACTTACGAACCGAGCTGCATGATCCGGGGTAAGCGTCTCATCTCCGCACCCCAGATTCACAGCCTGACCAACGACCACGATGATCTCCAGACGCACCCTCACACACGTACGCCGCGCACACATCCTCTCGCGCACGCTGTCCAGCCGCGCGTCCGCGGTGCTCGGCGCCCTCGACATACCGACGGCGCGGGAGGTCCCTGGCGTGTACGACGGCGCGTGGTCCGGCAGTGGAGAGGTGTTTGAGAGCGTGTGCCCCACGACGGGCGAGGTGCTCGCGAGAGTGCAGGGCGTGAGTGGTCTGACCCGTCGCCTCACGAGGTGCTCGTTCTGATTGTTACGTCGGTGTAGGCGTCGCCGCAGGAGCTGCAGGCTGCCATCGAGAAGTCTCGGGAGGCGTACCACTTCTTCCGGTCTGTGCCCGCTCCTCGGAGGGGCGAAATCCTCAGACAGATACGCGAAGCCTTGGCTGCGAAGGTGCGTCTTACCTCGATTTTGGTGTCCTAGTAGCCTTACGTCGGAGCTTGTAGAGAGATGAGCTCGGCGCGCTCATTTCGTTGGAAATGGGCAAGATTCGCACAGAAGGTGTAGGGGAGGTGCAAGAGTTTGTTGACATTGTAAGTAGCCCTCGTGTGTTGTGCTTACTCATGCTAAGTTTGCTGCGTTTTAGGCAGACTATGCTACTGGCCTGTCCCGAATGATGAACGGCAGAGTAGTCGCTTCGGAGAGGCCTGGCCATAGCATTCTAGAAGGTATGCACTATCTTGATACCGTCGCTCTCTTGGTTCTGACACTACTATAGTGCCGAATCCTCTGGGAGTCGTTGCGGTTCTCTCCGCTTTCAACTTCCCAGTGGCTGTATATGGCTGGTACGTCCCTATTTTGGACCTATCCGCACTAGGTGCTCAAACATTGCAGGAATCTCGCCCTGTCGCTTGCCGCAGGCAACGCAACATTGTGGAAGCCTTCTCCGACCACGCCGCTGTGCTCTGTTGCTGTCACCAAGATTGTGTCAAGCGTCTTGGAAAGAAATAATATCCCTGGCGCTGTGGCAGGACTCGTGGTTGGCGGCAAGAATGTCGGCGAAGCCGTTGTAGAAAGCGAACATGTCAACATGGGTCCGCTACTTCATTCGGCTCTTCCGTAAATGTCTTACTGACGGCTGTGACTGATTCAGTGTCTTTCACTGGGAGCGAAAATGTCGGACGTCAGGTTGGCAAGGTTGTCCAATCCCGCTTCAGCAAGCTTTTGCTAGAACTAGGCGGAAACAATGGTAGGCATCTCTTTGCCACCTCCGCTTTTGTACCTGATTCGCCGCCACCTTTTGATAGCCTCGATCGTCATGCCCGACGCGGACCTGTCTCTTGCTGCACCGGCAGTATTCTTCGGAGCAGTTGGTACAGCAGGCCAGCGCTGCACGTCCACGCGTCGCCTGTATCTTCACCAGGACATTGCACCTGCCTTCCTTTCGCGTCTGCAGGATATGTACAACAAGCTCAAGCCCGGTGACCCGCTCGCGCCTGCGACGCTCTTCGGGCCGCTGCACACCCGCGCCGCCATTGGCATATACTCTTCCGCGATCCAGCGCCTCAAGAACAGCGACGCGCAGATCCTGTGCGGCGGGCAGACGTACGCGTCCTCGGAGCTTCCGAGCGAGCTGCACGGCGGCAACTGGGTGAAGCCGACGATTGCAGTCCCGACGAAGGTCGACCTCGCCAGCGACATTTGGAGAGCGGAGACGTTCGCACCTGTGCTGTGTGTCGCGACGTTCAGCGAGCTCGAGCAGGCGATCGAGTGGAACAACGGCGTGCCGCAGGGCCTGAGCAGCTCGCTCTGGACGCGGGACATCAGGAACGTGGGCAAGTGGATTGGCCCCGCTGGGTCGGACGCCGGCATTGTCAACGTGAGATTTGGACTGCTACAAGCGGCTGGAAATATGCTAATGGCTATGATAGGTCAACGTCGGCACTAGCGGTGCGGAGATTGGTGCCGGGTTCGGTGGCAACAAGAGCACTGGATGGTGAGGCCGTCTATTCTTGTTTCGCCGACGTTGTGTCCTGACGAAGCTTTTTAGGGGACGCGAGTCGGGCGGAGAGTCGTGGAAGCAGTATGTGCGCTGGAGCACGTGCACGGTCAACTTCTCAGACGAGGCACCCTTGGCACAGGGTGTCAACTTCTCTGCGGCGTGAGGGACATGATGTCATTCTGCGGAAAGAATATGGACAGTTTCTTTACGCTGTATAGTGGTGCACTTAGAACGGATACATCACTCGGATGGAACATAAAGGTTCGCTACGTAGCAAGTATTTTGACGAAAGGGCCACGATGCGACTGCCCACCCGTCACCTCCCGAGGGGCATAGGCTGTGGTGCTGATGTGCTCGTACGTCCGGGCTGAACCGTAAGCAAGGGCAGATAGGACGCGATCAATGCTGATACACAGATCCTACGTGGAGGGTCAGAAATTTGGCTGCCGATGCACGTAAAAGGCTCAGGGTGCGGGAGGCTTACAGGAGGCCACTGTACGGGTTATTTGAACCCTCCTTTGACCGAAGGGGGTTCTGGTTGAAGATGCTCATCAACGTGAGGAAGACGTTGGGCCAGGCCAAGTAGCTGAATCAAGCGAAGTTGAGCGTGACCAGGCCGAGGTCTTTGCCAGCCAATGGGGCTTACCGATTACGTGTAACCATGATAAGCCCAGAAATAAACAGGACTAAATTTTACGTCAGTTTAGAATAAGGAGTGCCACGAGAACAGACTGCGTACCCATCCCGCTCATGCTGTCTGCGTCATCGAATATTCTGGATCAATATCCACATTGTACGCCGTACTCGTACGTACTCACCCAGAGAATCTGTCTTCCATTTCTCAGGGAAAGACATACGCGTCTCCGCCGACGCGTCCCGGGGGTCGTCACCAGCGGTGGTTGTCGACATGGTGGTTGTGAGCAAGCAGAGAGTCGTGCGGTTCGGGGTCATGGCGCTAGTCTGGATATGGCAGCGGCTTTGTGGCGGCCACGTGTACTGTGCCTAGGAGCGGTCCAGAAAATAGAGGGCGACCACTGTTGTGGAACAGAAATCAATGACATCACGGCGGTTTGTGTCTTTTTACATTACTGCATAATTAATCGCCGCCGCTGACAGCTCAAACTGGGCGAAAATTTCCGCATAAATACCCTTAGACCGATCACCGCCACTCATCATGGAGCCAGGGCTACGGTGCTGGAAAAACACGCCACTTCATATTATTATTGCCATCGCTGTCAATGAACCGGAGTGCTTCGGAAGCGTAGTTTGTACGGTTGCCCGACGGGTGGTGTTCGGGGTCACCGAACATTGCGGGGCGCCGTCACGTGAGGCCTGTGCATGAAGCGGGGAAAGTTGGCGTGCAGCCGAGCTCTTGTCCTCAGAACGTCGACCACCTGCAAGCAACCCAGAGATCGCGAGTTCACTTCTTCCTACCCACCGCCAGCACATATATTCTCCTTAATACATGCTGCGTAGCATGGTTCTCAACTCGATCATCGACGACGACGCGGAGTCGGCCCCGCCGTTCAGTCGGCTGCTCAGCTCTTTCCTGGGTTCTCCCTTCATTACAACCTCTGATCTCCCACCTTCCGACTTATCTCTCATACGGCGACTCGATGCCGGAGCAGACCTCGAGGCTGTCGATGGTGCCTTCGCCGCGGTGCCACGCGCGGAGACGGTCACTCGACCCGCTTCGCCGACGCCCAGCTTCGCCACAGACACCTACTCGCTGATCAACTGGACAGAGAAGGGCGATTGGGCCTCGGCACAGCCACGACCATCCTTATCAGACTCTGCCCCGAGCTGCTCACTCCTCCCCTCTGGCTCTAGACGTTCGGCGTCGTACACGTACTCCTACGCTTCGCCCTCGACGCCCTTCAACTCGTTCCGGATATCGAACTCAAGCAGCCCCAAGGGCTCCCGCAACTTCAATCTGCTGCCACGACTCTGGGAGGCCCTGCGCGACTCGTCGCCTGCGAGGAAGGGCAAGCGACGATTCGACATCGCCTCAGACGACCTCTGGACCGAGTTCGGGGGGAACGGCTACATCGATTATGCGAACCTACCCCCACTTGACGGCGAAGAGGGAGAACTAATCGACGATGAGGCATGTTTCATCGATGTCAGAGCTGTTACAGGCCTGGGTGAGTCTCACACCTTGGTTTGAGTTCGATCGCGGGGATGCCGGTGGTATCGAAGGGGACACCTATGTCCCCGTCGACCGTCGTGCAGTCTCACGATAATACCAAACGTGCTTTCATGGGATCGTAACCATGTTACAGTCCCGACCCGTCAAGACGAGGACACTCGCTTTTTCGGACTCGCACGTTACGCATCTTTTGAATACTTTGCTACCTGGGATTCAACCTGACTGACGTCACCGCAGATATCATTGCCAATATCCCAGATGAACTGGCCTTGCACCTGCTTTCCTTCCTTGACCTTCCCGACATCGTCGCATGTCTACGCGTATCAAGGTTTGTTCTCTCGCATTTCCCATGTGCATGAGACCTAAACCATTCTATTAGAACATGGGGTAGACTGGCCTCGGATAACGCAGTATGGCGTTCACTGTTTGCACGGAAACGAGGCTCGGGCTGGTTGCTTGACCTCCGTCGGCTGAGGTACCCCGCGCTGTCTGCTTCGGCTGCGATCTTACCTCCGCAAGATCTAAGTAGAAGTCGCACGTTCGAGCTCCCCGCTCCTCTTGAACTAGATTGGTACAACCTCTACAAGAGTCGAGCTGAGCTTGACCACAGATGGTCTGCCAGTCCATTCACTGGCAGGAACGGCGAAGACAAGGAGAATGCAAAGGCTTGGGAACCCCGCATTAGGAGGATGCTTGGACACACAGATAGGTCCGCCTACTCATGTTTCTATGAACTAGCTGAAACGGCTCTGACATGCTCCCCACAAGTGTGTACTGCCTCGAGTTCGACTCTTCCCGAATCATCACTGGGTCACGCGACCGCACTATCAAAGTTTGGAGTCTCAAGACCGGCCGCTGCTTGGCCACGTTCATAGGTCATGGAGGAAGCGTGCTCTGCCTAAAGTTCGAGCACGACTTCGATCTCGACGACACCAATGCCCTGCCCGAGGGCCAGGGTTGGAAGAAGGGCATGATGGTCAGCGGGTCGAGCGACTGCACCGTCGTCGTTTGGAATCTCTACTCTTATCCTGCGACTGACGATGGCGACGACGAGTTCACCACGGTTGCTGAGGTGCGGGGTATTCTTCGTGGCCATACCGGAGGTGTTCTCGATCTTCGCATCGAGAATAACTGGATTATCAGCTGGTGAGTCGCCATTCTATTCTTGTCTGCGTTCGACTCTCAACGATTCTGCAGTGGCAAAGACGCGGCTGTGCTGGTGTGGGACCGCTCGACGCTGACTCTACACCGTGCGTTCCGCGGCCATGACGGTCCGGTGAATGCTGTCGGTGTACAGGGCAATCGGCTGGCAAGCGCCAGTGGTGATGGCAAGATGATCCTCTGGGACATGTCTACTGGAGAGCGTCTACGGACATTCGATGCCCACGACCGCGGGCTCGCTTGCATTGAGTTCAAGGCAGGTCGCCTTGATCCGCTCTGCGTGGTTCCCTACTGACCTTCTTATAGGGTGACCTGATTGTCTCGGGCTCGAACGATTGCAAGATCAAAGTCTGGAGCGCCTCCACTGGGGAATGCTTGCGGACCCTCACTGGGCACGACATGCTTGTTCGCACGCTGTCTTACGACCCGTTCAGCGGTCGACTCGTCAGTGGCAGCTACGATCGTAGCATCAAGGTCTGGGATGTGCAGACCGGCAAAGTCGTTCGCGAGTTCCGCGGGCTGCATTACAGCCATATCTTTGACATCAAGTTTAACTGCTGTCGGATCGTTAGGTATGTCCGTCAGAACTCCGTATCATCTGCCTGTCTGATGGCTCTTCAGCGTCTCTCATGATCAACAGATTGTCGTTCTTGATTTCACGGATGGCCTCGATACTTCACTTTTCATCTAAGCCGCCTCCGCAGCGCTTTCTATCCCTCGCTTTCCGTCTTTCATTCTCTCACATGAACTCATCGGAACTGTAATTTTATAGCTCCATATTCACGCGGAGTCTTTCTAATACCGACCACCCATCCATAATGTGCGCAACCTTAACGCAACTTTGGCTTTCTTGTATCATCGGACCTGCAGCAAGGCTTGGATTTCTGGCTTGTTACATAATTCTCCATGTATCACGTACGACTGTGTCTCTGTAGCTGTTAAATATATTGCTCCCGATCGTTTTCGACGCGCAGTCACGGTGCGCAGCTGGCGGATGTCGGATGCAGGGGCCCATGTGAGCGCCTAGATCAAGCTTCAAGGCCTGAGCGATCGGCAGTTAAAGTTTAGATTAGATTAACACATCCCAAAACTGCCCCGCATCTCGACTTGACTCATCCCACCTTCAACGACCATGAAGTATTTTTCAACAAGAGGCGGCGAGCAACTGCTTTCGTTTGAAGAGGTGTGTCTATCTCGCTTGTGATACTCAAGACGTGGCTGAAAGCAATTGTCCAGACTGTGCTCACCGGTTTGGCACCAGACGGCGGCCTGTACATCCCAGAGCAGATCCCGCAGCTGCCCAAGGACTGGCGTACTACGTGGGCAAACCTCTCCTTCGTCGAGCTCTCCGTCGAGGTCCTCTCGCTGTACATCTCCCCCGACGAGATCTCGCGCGATGAGCTGCGCGCGCTCGTCGAGAAGTCGTACGGCACGTTCCGTCACCCGGACGTGACGCCGCTGCACAAGCTGAACGACAAGACGTACATCCTCGAGCTCTTCCACGGCCCGACGTTTGCCTTCAAGGACGTTGCGCTGCAGCTCCTTGGAAACCTTTTCGAGTTCTTCCTTGCGAGACGCAACGCGAAGAAGACGCCGGGTGAGAAGCGGGAGAGGCTGACTGTCGTCGGTGCGACGAGTGGCGACACTGGCAGGTGTGCCTTACTACCAAACTTGCTTTTCTCGAACTCAGCGTATGCGCTTTGAAGTGCGGCGATCTATGGCCTGAGGAACAAGACTGACGTCTCGATCTTCATTCTCCATCCGAAAGGACGTGTCTCGCCCGTACAGGAAGCGCAGATGACCACTGTCACCGACGAGAATGTGCACAATATCGCCGTCAAGGGTACCTTTGACGACTGCCAGGTACGTCTTCTCATGGGACGCGACAGGGGAGACATCGGGCAGTATAATTGACAGTGCCGCCGAAGGCGTTCGTCAACACCACGTTGTGCTATACTAGCGCTGCGTCTCCCACCAGGCCTTTGATTATGTCTCATCGGAGCTACAGGATATTGTCAAAGCACTCTTCGGCGACAAAGAATTCAATGCCAAGCACCGTCTCGGCGCTGTGAACTCCATCAACTGGGCTCGCATTCTTGCGCAAACGGTCTACTACTTCCTCTCCTACTTTCACCTCGGTCGCCAACTCTCGTCATCACTCACGCCTGAGCAGCTCACCGAAGTCAAGATCCAGTACGTCGTCCCCACTGGTAATTTCGGCGACATCCTTGCTGGTTACTACACGAAGGCCATGGGCTTGCCCATTGGCAAGCTTGTCATCGCGACGAACTCGAACGACATCCTCGCACGCTTCTGGAAGGGCGGTGCGTACGAGAAGGTTGACTCGTCGACGCTCAACGGCAGTGGCGCCGCCGCCCCAGCGGAAGGGTCGTCCGACGGCAGACAGGGTTCCAATACAGGTGGTGTCAAGGAGACTTTAAGTCCCGCCATGGATATTCTCGTGTCCAGCAACTTTGAGCGCTTGCTTTGGTACCTTGCTTACGAGGGATTGGCCCACCGCAACGCGGAGACAAGGCGCGGCGCGTCAGAAACTGTGAACTCCTGGATGCAGGCGGTCAAGAACGAGGGCCGCGTCCAGGTACCCACTGAGGTCCTTGAGCTTGCGCGCAGGGACTTCTTGGCTGAGCGTGTTACAGACGAGCAGGTATATCGCTTACAGCGGCAGGTCTTAGAGTGGCCGCTCATCACATACCGCTCTTAGACTTTGGAGACCATCCAATCCTACTTCATGTCGGAGCCTTCGTATGTTGCAGATCCCCACACCGCCGTAGGCCTCGCGGCTGCTCGCATGATCTCCGCACAAAAGTGCGTGCCCTTTCCTGACGCTCCTTCTCCGATAAACTCACATGCTCCACAGCGAATCCTCTACTGTTCAAGTTGTCCTCTCGACCGCTCACCCAGCCAAGTTCTCTGAGGCCGTCACGCGCGCGCTGCAACACTCGCCCAAGTTCAACTTCGAGCGCGACGTGCTTCCGCTCGAGTTTCGTGGCCTTCTGGAGAAGGAGCGCAGGGTCATTGACGTCGAGGCGCCTCGCATCGAGCTGGTCAAAGAAGTCATCGAGAGGTTTGCCCGAGATGAGAGCGCGTCTGCATCTGCGGGCGCGAGCGTGTAATTGTGTAAAAGTATTGTACTCATTGCTGTCTATTTAGAGCAAGCGATCTCCATTTTGCGCGGACGTTTGCCATTGACAAGATGCTTTCTAGTGATTTGGCAATATGTTTGTTGGTAATCTTTAACAGCTGAACCGGCTGAAACAGCGGTGAGCAATAATGCGGATGTACGGATACTTGCGCGTTCTGATTTTCCGTCATTGACATCACGCCTCTGAGATCTGTGTTCCAGGGATTCGGTGATGAACGTCACCATGCAACGTATACAACAGTGGTCTTGCCTAGATTACATGATGACTCCCTATGTCAAACGACGATTAGACCCTCTTCCTCCATCAACAAGTCGCATGATGAACGTATTCGAGCTCACTGGTTTATAAGCTTGATGGGCACTAGGACAAGCGCCACGCCGACCTATCGACACCGTTCTGACGCTGGGGGCAATAACGTGACGCGCTTGCATTAAGAACGCTCCTATCGCTCAGAAAATAACAGCTATCAGAGAAAGTACGAATATGCAAATGAGCATGCAGCTGTATCGAGAGATCTAGAATTCTTTATTGCGCCACACTCCAGTATGCCATTGATGCGATGACGGCACAGCGTCGCAATATAAATGCGGTGACACGATGGTACAGGCTCTTCACGGACTCCGATATTGGATATTTGAGATGATGCACATTGTCAAAGCTCCGTACCAGAGTCCCTTGTCGCCCTTGGAATTGAGTGGAATCTCGGCCATGGTTTCTCTAATGTCAAGGACATAAACACAGCGTATAAGTGGCAAGAATCACCATGCATAGCGTATGACGAGATGAATGCGCACCTACAGATTTCATGAGCCGCATCTCATGGGTCAGAGTCCAGGCAATGCAGACTTTGGCAGAACTTCAGAGCGACTCACGAGGTCAATTTCGACCGATCGTGAGGACCGCTTATTGCTGAGACCGTTGTATCTGCATGTGGTGTGTGTGCGGATGGTTTGGTCTAGTTGAATCCGCAATCTGTACACAATATCCTGAACTCAGAGGGACTTGCCATTTGATGGCATCAAATGATCATGTGATTTATCCGTTTTTCGACGAAAGCGACAGCGTCAAGACTGCGCTCAATTCGACGCCACGCTATGTCGCAATGTGTCGATCTGGCTACTTGGGAAAGAGCTCTTTACCAATTTTGGACCGCCCGTCCCGACCTCGCTAAACTAGCGGACGATCGCTTCAAGTTATGGAACAGGATTGCTGGCGCCTTGTTTTCGGTATCCTGGTTTCATGTGCGTGTACCGTGACATGCTGACTTGGTCATGTTGCCGCGCAGCCTCTCCTCAAACAATGGAAACGGGACATACCTCGGTGGTCACGAGCACTCCCTGCTTTGGCAAGGGCGGAGCGTGAGGGTAGAAAGACTGAGACTTTGAACATGTATGGCGCACAACATGAGGCTTTAATGGCGGAAATTACTGTTCATCCCCTACCCCGAGCCCTCGCTTTCATACGCTCGCAGTCTGCGGTAAGATTTTCATCACCCAAGTTCCACGCTGTGCTGAACCGCAAAGACCCAGAATCGTAAGGAAGACTGCACAGAGCCAACGCCCTCTCGTCTGCCGGTTGCGCGTCCAGTCGAGCCCTCGCAAGAGCAGCTGCTAGGCCATCCAATCGGACATGCACCCACGAACTCGGAATCTCAGCAACCTAATCCGCCCACAGAGGCTCACGAGCATCTGATGGACGTCGAGGCCGATATCGCTTTCACAGGACCCGATCTGCATGCGTCAGCCGTAACCGACCCTTCGCCGGCGCCTTCCCCTCTTGGAGAACCTTCCTACTCATCGCCGCCCTTACCTGGGCCATCCTCGCCACCGAAACCACTTGATATTGAGCCAGGTCGCGGTACTCGTCAGCGGCAGTCGGATGCATCGCCGACGAGGTCTCGTCCCCCGTCAATTTCGCGAGGGCATAAACAGATACCCTCGTCACCCTCAATGCTCCTCCCAGTAGCTGATGCTCCGACGAATGTCTCTGGTCAAAAGGTGGATAACCATTCCGAAAACGTAATTTCGGAATCTGGTCATCCACCGGCTACCGGGACGCCATTGACGCCAATAGCAGCTGTTCAGGGAAGCTCATCTAGCAATGACCCGCTGAGGTCTTCCTCGAAAGCCGAGTCACCTCTCACCCATCAGTCACGACAAGAGAAGGTCGAAGAGAGCCTGGTTACCCACTGGACACCGTTACTCAGTGTCGTGCAACAAAAGTCATCGTCGCGCCAGTTTTCTTTCTGGCATCCCAGTTCGTTGGCGTGCCAGAGCGATTCTGAGGTCGATGAGCTTATTTCCAGCGACTCGTCAAAAAAACGGTCTAGCAATCCGGGCGAATCTCCGAATCGAAGAGCGCGCGATGTAACCCAGGCGACTTCTCGACGTCCTAGTGGTTCAGAGATCGAACAGGTGAGGGACGGTGACTCCGATAATTACGTGAACCAGCACTGACTATTGGATGAAAGTTGCCCATAAGAAGACCGGGTCGGAGGAACGACCCAAGACCGCCGTGGGAGAGGCCTAATAGGAGGGCGGAGTCTAGTAAATACATGTTACATTTCACTTCACAACAGGTAAATAAACCAACTTCAGGCATATGTCGGAACTGATCTAAATCCTTAGACCGGCTCCGCCGCCTGCGACTTCTGTAAGAAGAGAGGATGGATCTGCTATGTGATACCCACCAGTAGGAATTCCTCCTGTCTCGCTTGCAAGATGTCCAAAATGCCCTGCAAATATGATGGCGCAAAGCGTTCCGGCGGTCGTGATATCTCAAGCGCTCCCGCTCCTGGTCTCTGTGATCGACATGCACGCATCTCTCCAGAGGACCCCAGTGACAACGGCGATTTCGATGCCAGCAAGCAACTGCCGGAGCATGAGTTTTCTAGCTCCGGAAGCGACTCCGAATACTGCGAGGATTCTCTTGAGGCTGACACGACAGATGACGATACGTGGGAAGGGCGACGCATTGAAGACCATAACGAGACTGCGGCTTCGCGTACTTCAGAAGCTGGTCCCGCTCGTCTCTCTCACCGGTCACAATCAACTGCCGCAGCGACTCATCGCAAGGAAAAGTCGTACAATATCATAAACCAAGCACTGACATTCACGGAGACCGTCGAAGACCGCGCGGTTCGTTTGCGTTGTAAGTAGCTGTCTTGACTTTTCCCGTCGCTGGCTACTAATCTTACCCTGCTTAGTCCCAGTGGATGCTGCCAATGAATTGGCCATGCAAAAGTTGGCGGATCAAATTCAGGCATTGGCCGATAGAGTGGAAAAAGTGGAAACGTCGTGTACGTATATTCGAAACTATCTTAGCTCATACCCGGGTATGGATGTAGATTAGTCACCATGCCCATATGCCTTCAGTAGCTCGCGTCTACAGGCATATCTGTAGCACAAGTAGCATCTCTATATACAACATTGCAACATTACAAACCTTCTGCATCACCCTCATTCCTGGAACAAGAGAGGCACCACAGGGAACTAGATTTTACTCAGCACAAAGTCTGCAACGCAGGATGAACAGCGAACGTCAGAGTATGAAGTGCTATGGTATAGTGCAAGCATATTTTCAGCCCCTTTGTTACCAATACTACTCTATCAGGATCTCCTGGTCATACGGTACCTGCCTTACAAATTCAGTTGGAATAGATACACCGCGTGTCAACTGTTGTTTTCGGCACAGCGTTGTAGATGAATTAGTTCATGGAATCTGTATTGATGTCTCGGGAAATCATAAGTTGTAACACTCGTTTATGCTACAGCATTCATTCCTCAGAAGGTCTAGAAAGAGAATGGTATCAAACCATAGATGTCGGCGAGACCTGGTCACACACACATCAGCTAGTCACTGATGTTGGAATCTCGACGGGGTGCTTTTGCTTCAATTTGGCAGCATCGGTCGGCGGTGTCGGGACATTGAAGACATTAGTTCAAAGCCCTCGCATTCGGACCCAGATTTGGATTTGGAACAGAGCCGGCGGCGTTTGGACACGTCGGAGAGGCATTAATGGACGCGTCGAAGATCGTGGTGACATCGATGCACCACGGTGCACCGTTAACTCAGTGGAGACGCAACCGATGGGCGCGGACATCAGATCTGAGCTTCCCCGGTGTCTGCTAATTTCTCTGAGGTCGCTGGGGGTAGATCAGTAAATTTTCGATACTCAGATAGTCCTCGGTCGGACGGGGTTTTCACTGGGCTTGGGTCACAAACCAACAAAGCTCGTTCCTGCTCTATTACGTATGCTGAGTATTTTGATGCCCACTGGAATTACAAACCGGTAAGGGGGTGCGTCATGCGTTACAGTTTGCACCGTTCACTCCGCTGCAGTAATCGAGATCTTGGAAGTTATCGACTGGAAACAATCGACATCTTCTTATATTCCGGCGACCTGCAAGCTAGGCAGTAAGAGAATACAGCTTAATTTATTGCCAAGAACAGTAACACTGTGAAGGAAGCCCCTACGACTAGCCCCATAACGCCTCCGCGTCAACCTCTCTCGGACCTCGCTGCCCGCCACGCTCTTCCGCCTCGTCTTCTGGTAACCGAATAGCACCTTCCTTGTGTCTGCTACGAAGCTTCATCCACAGAGCAGATGCAACGAGCGCGAGAGGGTGTACAATAGTGAAGATGACCACAGTAATCTGTATAAGTCATCTAAATCATCCGAGCTCGACGACAGAAGCATAGAAGACGTACAAATACAGGGAACGGCTTAGGCTTGAGGACCCATATGCTAGCGTCAATCCAGCTTGCCGCTACACACCAGACGATGTCTCGTCTAAGCACGATTATTATCAAGCCTGACGGCGTGGAATTAAATTAGCTCAAGACGTTTGAAGTCGACATAGCGAAAAATATCGCGCACTGAGTAGATTGACGCCCAGCATGACGCCAAGGCCTGCCCACTGATGCCTGCCGTAGTGCTGCGGCTCACCAGGAGACCATGTCATGCCGAGGGTGACACTGGGATACGACCGAGTGAGCCAAAATGCTTAGTGAAGCGCAAAGAGCACCAACAAGAGGTTATACGCGAATAAAACTCCGAGAGGTAGGATCATAAACGCGCGAACAGGGGCATGGATGAGAGCAATATCCAAGAGTCTGCAACAATTCGAATAAGTCTTACTGCGTAACATGAGTTTCAGAAAGTGACTGTCGTACCTTTCATGGGTGGGAGCATGGTAAATGAGGAGAACGACGTTTGCATATACAAGCAGAACCAGCAAAATGCCTTGCAGAATGGCCGATATAAGGAAAGCTTGAAAGAGCTAAGAAAGGTTCAGCGTGCTGGGTTTGACATTGCGCGAAGAACGCACCCAAGCTACGGCCCAACCGGCCATAACCCAATTAGCAAACACGAGGGGCAGTCCGACGCCTTTCACAAGGGTATCCTAGCATGTATTTCAGCGCGGATCTCCTCAAGTGAGAAGGAAACGCACCTTTGTCTCTCGTTTGCGCGCTAATACCAGCAGCACACAGTACCCGACCTGTCCGAGATATATTGCGCCAAGATATATGGCTATCATTCGGGGATCTGGGACTATCACAGCAGGGTATAGTTTGGCAATGTCGCCTGGATTACATGTTAAGTTCATCAATAGCACATGATGCATACAACCAGCTCACCAAGGTTCGGGTAGATCGTTAGCGTACAGACCATGACGGTCGCCATGTTTATGAGCAAGGACAGCGGTGTAAGGATTTGCAACCTGAATGCATGATATGTCGATATTTTCCTACATAGGATAGTCCCTAGGCACTCACCGAACGAGGGCCAGGTAGTCCCGCACCGCAGGATGCGAGGTGTCCAAAGGCAGGTCCGAGTCCATCATCGTAGAATGAATACAACGGGGAGGTGGACGTCGTGGACGTCGTGGATGTTACAGTCAAGGAGACGTGAACCCGTTCTGTAAAGTACGACGACCCATGTTCGCTTCTGGATCCTGACCGCAGGATGATGTCACAGTTGGGGGTGGAGAACAGAACAAGCGCGGGCCACCTCAAGGCGGGGGCGCCTCCTGTTCAAAAGAGGAAGTACCGACGTGTGCCACGGAGCTTGCCGAGCAGCTTTACGACGCGACCACACAACCGGGCCACATCTGCCACCGTCAGGCGAGAGACCACGCAGCCACTACTCATATCAGCCGATTTTGGAGGACGAATTCGAGGCCATGGAACAAGAGCTGCAGAGGGTTCGCGGGATGCTGAACATCACGACTCACGACTCAAGTACTCATGAGCGAACAGCAATGCGAATAGTCACGAACTCACGGGTCACCAAACATCTTGATCACGCCGGCGAAGAGCGTGGCCCCACGAGGACCACGGTTCAGTTCGGCACTCAGAAGATTCAAGAGTGTTGTGACAGTGGGATGGTACCTGGCACGCTAGCGTTAGCCCGGAACTATATATGCTGAGGGAATTCAAGTGTTATAAACACCAGCGTCGTCCTGTGCAGAGGGAGAGGTACCTAGCATGAGCAGATCGCAAGACGCAAGGCTCGAGCACTTGATGCCCCAGAGGATCTTCCAGAAGGCTTCTCGGTGAACATCCTACTCTCGCTTGCAAGTCATCTGTGCCGCATTCTGACGATCATGTCCACACCGTCAGTTACTTTGTAAGATCCCCAGGGCGCAGTTCAGATGTTGCAGGTGACAGCACTCCTAGCTCACAGGGTGGTTATCGTACTCCAGAGCAAGACGATTTCTTCGATTCAGATTGTCCCCAGTGAGGCCGAACTACACCACAAGTTATACGCTTCTTATGCTTTCCCCGCAGACAACGCGACTATACTGGCTCCGGCTCACGACCTCATACGCTGTCGCGCTTTCGAAGCTTCCTGACTTCAATCAGGAGCATCGTCCAGACCCTCCTCCATTTCGCATACTGCAACATCCCGCTCTTGTCGGCCCCATCCTTCCCATGCTTCTCGCAAGACCTTGAAGACTTCAGAGAGAACGTACGAATTGCCCAGCTCAATAGCACTGTCCAACAGGCGTGGTCCGATTTTATCCTTACCTCGCTGATCACCTGGAGACGGTCCGCAAGAGATTGCATATGGATCATCTTGTAAGTCAAGGATGTCACTTAGGTGTGCTTAGTGACGATATTGGAACCACAGAGCGAGTGCATCACTCGCAACATTCCAAAACCGTGGATTGAACACCCTCTTCACCGGTGCAGGAACAATACTCCAAGTCTGCTGTTGCTGCTCTATCGTATGCATCGTCCTCGTAGGGAGCATGACACAACACTTGGTTAACATCCGGGACCGTCGAGAAGCGGCTCGCAACTTATATTGGTCGACGGAGCGCAACGCGGCTTCGCCTTACGTGGCCACTCTGATGCTGATTGTAGCTCCGATAGCTTGGCGGATATGGTTCGCATCTTCTTTTGATTGTACGAAGAGACGACCTTGCTAAAGCAATCTTGCATAGGGCATACGTGACATTTGGGTTGGCCATCGCCAGTCTTCTTTGGAGCACCTATGCCTCTACGGATGCGATGGCTGATGCTGCCGACGCAGTCTTAAAGTTGAGCAAGAACGCCACCGCACTTATTCAAGAGCCTATGTCGCAGGGCGCGCATGCCGTGACAGAGATACACCCCTCCTCAGCCCTAGTATCTCGGCTTCTCGTTACCGCTATCGCTATCATCGGGCTATGGCATATAGCCTTCGTCTGCATACATTTCTCGCAGCTTGGTTACCCTTTTCCACCACACGAAGATCGATGCCCAGTGTCCGCTCGCGGAAGAGGGTGCTGCCACACCTCCGCGACACCTGATGAGTGCCATACTCATGTGAGCGCTCCCGCTTTTATCTGCTTTTCTGCTCTATTTAATGCGTACATGATCAGATGTCGCCGACATACATGGTTTGAAACCCACCTCTCCGGATCACCTCAGTATTTACTGAATGTTGTAGCATACCCGCGGCCGAGTGTTACGATTTGTCGAGACATTATGTAATACGGATTACATGAACCAGCTCATCTACACAGGCAACCGGGAAATTGAGTAGTTTCACAATTGTAGGAATTCCATGATATCGAGGGAAAATTTGGCGATATCGAAATCGCGCTGACCGTGGTCAGCCGAGACGCAGATTCTGTCCTGCCAGGAAACCGCATGGGCGGATCTCAGACCTACGATCTGAGCGCCTGCACAGACCGGCCATTGCCGCCCATGAGCTCATTGTCGCAACGAAACAGTCGAGAAGCCTCTGCAATTTATACTACGCATAATACAGCATGCTACATATCACTTTCGTTGGATGGACTGGCCGCAGGTCCACCAGGTCCACCAGTAGTAGGTGCAGACAGGATTGCAGGCCCTTCGTCATCGAAACCATCTCCAACATTGCCCGCACCATACCCAACGTCGCCCACAGCATCCAATTCCTCGTTATCGCCTATGTCTACAAACACGCCTGTACCTTCGTAGCTCTTGCCATGCTTCTTATAGTCTTCAGCAATAATTTCTTCCTCCCATCTGACAGCCATTCAAGTCACGTCTTGACGGCCCCACACAGGTCAGACTCGGTTTGAGCTCATATGGATTGCAGGAACTGGTCGTACAGAAATCCATGCGGGGAACTGGCTGGATGGAATCTGGCTTCTGGCACAACACGGGCGTCTCGATTTCGAGACACGCAATGCTGCACGTGCGGCGCTGGAATCTGACGCTATCTCTTCGAAATTCCTTAAATTGTGAAACTGACTGAATTTCACGTTTCCCTGTGTACTGTGCGTAGCTGTGTTCGTTCCGGCAAAATGTTGCCCTAAGGAGACAGGTACGATCATCACGTCGGGCCATCTCAAGGGCGGACGCGTCCACGACGCGGCTGCATGACTTGCTACCTGCCGTCGGCATGACTTCGTGTTTCATCTGCGTTTTTCGTTAGCTGGACCTTCTGCTTTATACTGGTCGGATGACAATACTAGGAATCCTTGAGCTTTTCATCCTCTGCTTCACGATATTATATGCTTTCTTCACGTGCACAGACACTCGTCATCTGACATCTTCTAGGGTGTGCTCAGCATGTTTGATATATGTACAGCATGGAGGTATGGGCAAAGGACAAGGGATCTGCCGGAAAGGGTGTATGTGCGTTGGCGAATCACAGCATACGAGCTGCGTAGGTGCAAGCAGAGTGAGGGGGAGTTCTATTGCTCGAAGAAGTGCCAAGGGCGGTGAGTTATCTGCATGTCCTCTACGCGCGATGCACTAAGTTTGGACATGTGCAGGATTGGAGGCGGCGTGGACACAAACGCGCGTTTTCCCTGTGAGGTCGACACTCTATGCACTGTATGATTCGACTTGGAAGTCGTAGTGTAAGTTCTGCGCGCTCAAACAGGCCTTACGTTCGCGTTAACCTTTATTTGGGTCGCCAACTCTACCTCGTCCAAATTCGCGCTACGCTATATAGGCCACTAGTTGACAGACAAACCTCTCCCACGGAAGCTGCCTCATCAATCCATGCAGGAGGACAACGTGAGCTTTTAGGCTTTTGATGACATTTCCGGCGTCTGTGGACCAGGATCTGGGATGCGAGTTCCTTTTGCGCGCGCGTCCCAGGGTTTCCTCGCGCTCACGCTGCCATCCGGCGTTCATGCAGTTTCTTGAGGATGTGGCATGTGGCAGTTCCTGAGAGTTATGTATAAAGTATGGAGCCGCGGTGACCATGGACGTTGCCGCAATCGCAAGATGGTAAGTCTAGCAGCTAGTCCTCAAACGTCCCACACATCTGAACATCAATGCGAGAAGTTCAGCCCCACTCGTTTATCGTAATCCTATCAGGGGAAGACGACCGCGGCGTGTTCTAATCAAAAGTTGAAATCCGATGCAGTGCCGCACCTTCCGCTCAGGGTACAAAACATTCGCATGTGGAGAAAACAAGATTCTGAGGTCCTGATGGAAGCCACCATCCACGTTCCCCAGAGGTTTACTTCCAGCGAGTGTATAAAATACGGCCGTAATGTCTTCTGCATATCGCGGACCCTTCGTCTCTTCCATCCTCAGTACCCACTCAAGGGTACGTCGTCTGAAGCGCCATCCGCTTTGGAAGAGTCTGCTGGTCGCCTCAACCCCAGGATTCTAGCCCGCGTCCCGAGCGCCACTTGACGATGGAAAAGGACATCGCTGAGACCAGGGAAAAGTCCCCCGCAGACGACTATTCCAAACACTCTGCGTCCGTTCAGCAACTCGACACCGTCGGCAGCAATGCCTATGCAAAGCTCGTCAATCCGCTCCAGGGCATCCCCCACGACGAGCTCATGGAGAACGCCGCAAACTTCGCCAAGACTTACGGGCTCGAACACCTGACGGCCGAATTCCAGAAAGGTGCACTCGTAGCTCAGGACCCTGGCGCTTTCGAGACCCTGCCGCAGCTCACGGAGGACGACAAGGCCACCCTCCGACGCGAGATCACCCACCGCTGGCATCAGCCTGCGCAGCTCTACTATCTCGTCATCATGTGCTCATTGGCTGCTGCGGTCCAGGGTGTGAGCACCCTCCATTTCTCTCATGATCATATGACAGACTGATATTGCATGATCATCGCAGATGGACGAGGCTGTCATTAACGGCGCCAGCCTCTTCTTCCCGGTCCAGTTCGGTATCGACCCCAACGCGACGGACGGCAGTGCCGGCCGCAATCAGTGGCTGCAGGGTCTCGTGGTCTCTGCACCCTACGTGAGTCTCTCACGCCTCTGTTTCTGACGGATTCTGCTCACGACCCCCGATTTCAGCTGGTGTGCGGTCTCATCTCATGCTGGCTCACGCACCCGCTGAACCAGTGGCTCGGCCGTCGCGGCACCATCTTCGTGACCGCATTCCTCTCGTTTGTCACTTGTATCTGGCAGGGCGTTACCAACTCATGGCAGCATCTCTTCGTCGCACGTCTGATCCTCGGTTTTGGCATCGGCCCCAAATCAACCACGGTTCCAATCTATGCGGCGGAGTGTGCTCCTGCTGTTATTCGTGGAGCAATGGTCATGATGTGGTACGTGCGCTGCTCTCTTAGGTCGTGCGATAGCGTATCTCTGATGGCGCCTACAGGCAGATGTGGACGGCCTTCGGCATCATGTTTGGAGATCTTGTGGACGTTGCGTTCTATCATGTGAAAGATACGAAGCACATCAAGGGTCTCAACTGGCGTCTTATGCTCGCCAGCGTACGTTCAGCACGAATATCTCCAGAATGCAACTACTAACGTTTCCCACAGGCCGGCATACCCGCGCTCATAGTCATGAGCCAAGTCTTCTTCTGCCCCGAATCGCCGCGTTGGCTGATGTCCAAGGGCCGCTACGACAAGGCATACGCCTCGCTCGTGCGCACGCGCAACACGCCCCTCCAGGCCGCACGCGACTTGTACTACATCCACACCCTGCTCGAGGCCGAGAAGGCGTTTGAGACAGGTCAGAGCGGCTTTGTCCAGCTGTTCACCGTCCCACGCAACCGCCGTGCGGCGCTCGCGTCCGTCACCGTCATGTTCATGCAGCAGTTCTGCGGCGTGAACGTCATCGCGTACTACTCGTCCAACGTCTTCTCCCAGTCCGGTTTCAGCGTCTTCCAGTCGCTCCTCGCCTCCTTCGGCTTCGGCCTCATCAACTGGATCTTCGCGTTCCCGGCCGTGTGGACGATCGACACGTTCGGCCGCCGCAACCTGCTGCTCACGACGTTCCCGCTCATGTCCATCTTCCTGCTCATGACCGGCTTCGCGTTCTGGATCCCGACGGGGAAGGCCCGGCTCGGTGTCGTCGCGCTCGGCATCTACCTCTTCGGCATGGCGTACTCGCCCGGCGAGGGCCCCGTGCCGTTCACCTACTCCGCCGAGGCGTACCCGCTCTCCGTGCGCGACATCGGCATGTCGCTCTCGACGTCGGTCCTCTGGTTCTTGTGAGTTCTCTCATCTTCTCTGTTCGCATCTTACCTAGACTGACCCCGCGCGCGCGCACCAGCAACTTTGTCGTGGCGATCACCTTCCCGCGGCTGCTCGGCGCGTTCAAGCCGCAGGGCGCGTTCGGGTGGTACGCGGCGTGGAACGCGATCGGGTTCGTGCTCATCCTGCTCTTCGTGCCCGAGACGAAGGCGCTCTCGCTCGAGGAGCTCGACCAGGTGTTCAGCGTGCCGACGCACGTTCACGCGACATACCAGCTCCGCGCGCTCCCGCGCAACATCAAGCGCTACATCTTCCGCATGAAGAGCGTCAAGCCCCTGCCGCCGCTGTACGGGCACGAAAACCCGGGCGAGAAACACTACGCGCCCGCCGCGTCGGGACACGCATAGAGATCTGCGCTCTGGGATGCTTGTTCACGACGTGGATGATCTTTCTCGTCGTGTAATTTATTTTTTTTGTGCCCTACCAGGCTTGAGATATTTGAGCACGTCCTCGATATTGTAATTTCATGACAACAGGTCAGAGCCCCGGGTGAACATTAAGGGGGAGCGGCCCTTGGGACGCATCAGCCCACAACATCCTTCAGCACAGCGGACACAGGCACTGTGATCAATCACCCGCTAGTTGCATATAGCAAGAGTCTGCGCCGTCTTCGCGATGCCGAAGCGCGAGTTGTCGCTGTCGTACACTGTGTAGAACCGCTCGAGGAAGGACATGCCGTTGATAAAGTCCAAGCCCTGGCCGCTCTTCGAGCCGACGTCGCCGACGATCAGGTAGATGGAGTTTGCGTCCCCGCCGACTTGTTCGTTCAGCTGGTATAGAGAATCGGTGAGCAGGGACCGGAGGAGGTTAAGGGGGGGGACTAGACTCACGGAGCGCGGCCAGGTCTGTGCGTCCTTTGTGAACTCGTACGTTTCCTGCGTATGTTGCAGTTAGCACAATCGTCTCGACAGACGAAGATTGTCGTGCTTACCCCTCCGATAGTGAAGAACAAGCTCTGAAGGTTGTCATACTGTGCGGGAGCGATCTTCAAGAGCCCTGTGGCCTTATCGGCCACAGCGTTCGTCAGTGTCTTGTACTGTGAGAAGGCATCTACGGATGCAAATTAGTGCGTCAGAAGAGCATCCAGCCTGCAAAATAAGAAACTTCGGTACCAGTGGCGATCAGCAGAAGCGTAGTGCCGGTGTCGACAATCCCAGAAGTAGTGCCAAGTATCTGGGTTCCACTGGGCGACCCGTATGTGATGGACTGGTCGATGCCGACGTAGTTGCTTGCGGGAGAAGTCGAAGTGATGTCACTTGCGTTTATTATCGAGACAAATATGAGTCTGTCTATGCGGCATGGGATACCTAAGACAAGCACTCACACATAATTGAGGGAACCGGTGAATTTGCTGGGGTTGACTCCTCCGAACGTAAGTTCACCGTTGTTAGAGTCACTGGACGTCGTTGGCGCGAAGAATACACCGACTTCACGCGAACTGATGACGCCGTCCGTCTGCGCGGTGTCTGTAACAGTGGGGATCGTCTTTTTGGGATCGTCCTTGATGGTGCCTAAAGTACGGTTAGTGTTTGCTGCCTATGTAGCATTGACCCCGTGTGCTTGCCTAATGTGAGATCTGTGGGGCCGATGCTAATGGCAAATGCCATTAGCCATTCAATAAGAGCAGAGAATATATACGGATGCACATACCCAAGGATTCCATCGATGTTAGAGCCCTCAAAGCCTGTGGACATGATGGCGGCAGCGACACCTTGCTTTGATATCGTCAATGCTCCATTGCTGCCGATTATCACCGTATCGTTCCAGAGCTCTCCTGCCGGTTATGTAGAGTGCAGAGTCACTTGAAGATGCACAAAGATTCATACCGGAAAAGGAGCCTGAACCATACTTAACAGCCTGCCAAATATGATGATTCAGCCTTCCCGGCTGGTTTATCAGAAATTATTGGATACGTACCACTTCGTCTGGGGTGCGTGATGATGATTTGCTAGGCCTGTACGGCTTGGTTTTGTTGGCTCCAACCCAGGTGTTGGAGCTCCCAGTGTCAACAAGTAAATTGTCTACGGGCAACATCAATCAACAGTGCTATAAAGTTGAGGCATTTAACGTACACGTTTGCGCAGGGCTACCGACCCCGACCTGTACAAAACGGCGTCAACACGAATAAAGACATCGACTCGGGCGACTTTGTCAACAATTACCTGAACAGTGTACGACGTTGCAGCATTCGCAACGGGGACAGGGGCCGCGGGATCCTTAGCGAAGGATCCTAACTTGAGGGCGTTGGCCCTCGCCCGGTCGTTCTCCAGAATCTTGGCTGCTCCGCCGGTGAGGTTCAGGTAACGGGCGAGAGGTATGGTAATGGGGTTTATGTGGGAAATTGAAGCGAGTGGATACGCTGTGGCCGTCAGCGTGAGGGTTAACAAAAGGAATGTGTATAGCCGGAGCATGGCGGGACGGAAATGCAAGAGGTATAGGGCCTGGAGCCTGGAAGATGGGAGCCGTTGTCAAACACCATGCCAGTATTCATAGTTATATAGGGCGGAACGTCCCGGGGCATCCACCTCGGAAAGATTTTTGGAAGCTTTACGAACACGTTGAAGCGACCATGGCATTCTCAATGGAGAACATACCATTCTTGTGCTCGCTACATCTGGAAATTGGTCAACTATCGGAATTTTATGAGAAAAGAACGACATACACAATGTTAGTAGTTGCAAATAGTTAGACCAGCACTGCGAATACCGACGGGGTCGCCCTGCCTTGCAGTGGCTCTGACACCGGATCACGGTTTGCAATGAGTTTTGTAAGTTGTAATGCAGGCAGCGACGGACAAGTTCAAGGTCCGCTTAATAGGAAGCTCGTGTCGAGCTACAGTATGTGACAGCGGCGGGAATGATCAACTGAAGCCACGCAATATATTATATTTGCCGGCCAGACTTCAGCTTGAAGCTTGAACTTGAAGTACGCTATTTTTCTAAGGACAGTTGCGCTACACACTCCTACTTTAGCCAATAGTATATGAAGCAATCATTGGGATATGAAGCTTTAGAGGCCTTTGCGTAATTTCGTGAAAATATCAAAATTTGCTGGCGTTGTCGTGCGGAACCTCACGGGCGATTCGAGCCACGTTGTCCCTAAATGAGAGGCTTGTGGGTCGTGTAAAATTTCCAGACTATTCAAATAAACGAAAAGCTGTATACAGAACCCATTATGTTTCAAGAAACCAGTGAAGACTGAAGAGTCCCGTGCCTTAGTGCCAGTGAGATATAGGAGGCTGGGATTTAGTAGAAGGCTCTGTTACTGGGTGAAACTGCTAGAAAATTGATTAGGTGAGCCTTGGGGAGCCTTGAGCACTGCGAGGGGATGCGCTCGGACGACGGACGGGGACACACGCTTGCGCCGTCAACTTGTTTTCCGTCAGACGCGTTAGGTCACGCGTTAAGCCAAGCACGGTCAAACAACGCGAGCGCGTCACGGTCTTCACGAACATACGCAAACAGCTGTAAAGACGCGAAGCGCGATCGAGTAGCAGACGGCTTGGAACGCGATCGAGCCAGCAGTTAGGTACTTAAGGCCATTTCTGACTAGGAGAAATCTGTAGCGAGGCATATGACAACGGCAGCAAAGACTCAAGAGCGACTCGGAAGCGGTACGGCTTTAACCAACAATCCACGATGTGATTGGAGGCGCACCGGACGAAAGTAATGGTGACAAGCACTGTACTTACGCGGAATTTTCCATCCCTCGATCGGTGACGAATTGCACGAGGTGTTCACTCGTATAAGAAGACCGATTGGTTAAATTGGTCTCCGCAGCGGATTTACAGTCTGTTTAAGTCGAGAGATGAAGCCGAGCTTGGTTGGAGATCGTTAAACTGGAAGGCCCTACGAAGAGGTACTGGTTGTGGCAGAGCCCCTATGGCTGCAAGATGAGATATGAAATCCGGGTCTACGCGATACAAGTTTACAAGAGGTCATATTCTCAGCACAATGTGGTACTCCTCGCGCACGAAGCACACTTCTCCGACTCTACGTATCCTTACTCGGCCTTGGCAAGAACATCCGACGAAGATGTCGGACTGGAAGAGAACGGGCCTTCCTGGACGATAACTCCAGCAAGGCTCTCTACAGAGGGCGATGACAACAGCGGCGTGCGCGAGGTACCATCGCATGAGACTCGAACGATAGACTGTGACGTGGAGCCGGGAGTCTTCAGCGTAGACACGCTCGTCGCAAACGGGTCCTCCGCGGGTACAGCTTCAGGGGAGACGCTGACGGTGTCCCGGCATGCACACCGCCTCTTAAGTCTGCGCAGCTCCCTCTGCAGGCCCTCGCCGGTAAATAGCCCTAGCGCGATGCCCGACCCTAGGGTCCGCAGTAGCGATAGCGGGATGCACGTGTGGAGCCCAGCGTTCGATGACGCTGCTTTCGACAGCGACGCAATCCATGGCAGGTCGCCGTAATGCCCGCAGTTCGGAATACCGCGCTCCAGGGAGGTGCGGGCCGCCTCTTCCACGCACTGGAGAAGAGACTGGAGGTCTTCGAGATCGTAGTAGTAGACGCATTCGTACCAGGCATCGCATTTTTGTACGGCGATGTCGGCGAGGGTGACGAAGAGGTGGCAGCTTTCTTCGTTTGCGTAGTCACGATTCTCTTGATAGACCTGGACGGCAAGCCTGGCATAATCCTTGAAACGCATGTGAGTTCGGTTAAGGTCAACTGAGATGAGATGGTTTAGTTTGGTAGATGATGACAGAGGGTTAATTAGCAGCCTCACCAGATATACATCCACCATAAAGACGAATAGATCCCATCTTCCTGAGGATCTGAACGGTTATTGTTTTGAAGCTTGGAATTCGTGAAGGTGACTCGACATCCTCTTCCCGAGTGGAATCGCGATAGAGGTCGACAAGGAAGCTCGCGTAGGCCTGCTTTAACACATGAGCAGACGACGTCCTGGTGATATGGTAGAGAAAGCAAAGCGCTTCGACGAACATGGTGATGTCATACGGCGAGAGTTGCGGCGAATCAGAAGCTTTGAGGAGTACAGCAGCCTTCCTGAGCTCCGAAAGCAGGAAGTGTCCAAGGATTTGAAGAGACATGGAGTTCCAGGGATGCAGGACGTCCCATGTATCCCATAGGCAAAGCGTGTACCGCACGAGCCCTTTAGCAGAATTGTGCTGAGTATACTGGCTGCGCAGAAACTCGGAGAGCTTGTCCACTGTTATGTTGAACTTCCGACAAGTTGCATGAATTGGAATTCGAAGGCGCGACTGCACGCTGTTGCTCAACTCCGGGACGTCGATGTGATAGGACAGTCCGTCGAGTAGAGTATCGTCCTGCCGTTTCTCGTATATCCAGACGACCGCATCGACCAGATGCATGAGCTTGGTCGTCTCCACGTCGAAGCAACGGTCGAAATTATGACCGGACTCGTCAGCAAAGTTGAGGTGCAGGTCGCGCTGCTTCCAATCAGCCGGTACCCGGTGCCGGGAGAGCTGATTACGCAGGAAAGCGCCCGACACCAGCCCTGCCGTCCACAGCAACCGGTAGTAGAATCGACATGCGTATCCCCACACAAGGACACATGCCCAGCCCGCCGGTGATCGATAGGGACAACGGTGAAAGAGGGCCGGGATAAGGACGACCGAGAACGCGATGATAAGGAATACTGCAGAGGATATAGAGATGATCACGGCAAGAAGGGAGTTCAACGTCCAGAGCATTGCCACAATTCCCACCATGAACAGCACCAGGGCCATCTCGAGTAGTCCGGGGAGCAGGGCAACAATGAGAGGAACCTTCCATTGAAGGAAGGCTTTGTAGCGTATCTGACGGAGACAGATCGCCTCCTGGAGCGACTCTGTCTGCCACGCCGGATATTCGCGTAACCAGCGCTTCACTATCATCCCGAAGAGCGCGGAAGCGAGGCTGAGGACAAGGCTGAGGAACCACAGGATGTTGATTGCAATATCGATTGTGGCAGCTTCGAATGCGGGTAACTGGGCAGCATTCTGCGGAGAGTCCTCGGCAAGCTGGGTGGATATGTGAAGGAGCAGGTCGGCAGTAACCTGGGTGTAATCCTGCTGAAGCCAGCCCGTTGAACTGGCGAGGAATGCCGTAAGAATCGTGGCAAAGAGGCCCGCCTGTGAACAAGATCAGGAACGGTTTTACAAACGCTTGCGACGAGACGTACGAGAATGAGCAAAGCATTCAGATCTTCATCGCAATCCTTAATCATCACATCGTCGTGATTGCGAACGAACTTGTCTGTTGAAGCCAAGCTCTTGTATCCAGAAAAATCCCCTGACACGCCATGCTATAGAATGCAAGGGGTTAACAGGGCTCGTAGAGCAAATTCTGAAGGACGGGAATACCTTATCGTACTGCTGGTGCAGACTACTCCTCATATCAGGGAGATAGAGAATCAAGAGCTACAGATAGCCAGGATGTGAGCGAATATCCTAGGATGGGACCGCATTATATACGGGGGAGTGACGCTAGTGACTCACGCTCACTGGCGCATTATCCCGTAAGTGCAATGCACGATGTCGCGCGAATGCACCGCCAGATACAAAAAACGAATAGGCCTGTCTGATCTTCCATAGATAATAACAATGGTCTGGTCCTTTTCGGTATCTAGAATCATCGAGGGGAATATCGCCGACAACGAAGGTGATCACGGTGCTCGCTACTGGATCACCGGCGCACGGAACTTGACCCTTCCCAGCAGATTCGCGCCTTATATTCCTTTCATAAGTCCATATGCATGCATCTGAGGCAGTGCGAACACTCACAGATATTTCCCCCGTTCATGGCGGGGGAGACAAGTCAACAGGTCCCGCGCGCTGCCGGAAGTGCCTAATTCAGCAAGCCGCTAGGCGCCTCGCGCATGGAGTGAGCTCGGTGTGAGCGCATGCTGGATTGGTCCCCTCCAACGCTCATATTCCCGTTCACTCCATCGCCCACTCAAAATCATGAGCCTCTTCGTGACAGTCAGCCCCCAGGCCACGCAAGAGCGATGGCAGGACAAGCTCATGCGAAAGTTCAAGGAGGAGCCGTACGTGCCCATCGGTACGTCGTGCTCAAGCTCAGGACGCATGCGACTGCTAACGTCGTAGCGGCTGTTAGGCACTGCATTGACATGTTTCGCCTTGTACATGGCGTTCCGTAAATCTGGGCGAGATGGCGACCCAAAGGCCCTCAACCGCTGGTTCCGTGCGCGTATCTTCTTCCAGGGTGCTACCGTCGCAGCTATTGTCGCCGGCAGCTATAGCCTCGAGGCGCGGAAGCAGCAAGAGGCCGAGCGGGTGAAGGAGACCGGGCAAGATCCACAGATGAAGGAGAGGCTTGCGTTCGAAGC